ATATAAAGATGATTAACGTAGGTATAGGTACATATTTATACTTACCTAAATATAATAGAAATAGGTATCTAATATTTATCTGATATTTGTAATTAGTTATCAATATATATATTCTTATTTATTGTTTATGTAATCTACGTATTACATAAAAGCGAAATACCTACTGTTCATTCAGGAAAATATAAAGGTCTATGAACTCTGAGTATTGTACAAATGTTTACGTTCATTAACTTAGAGTTTTTAGAGATTCCAAGAACAGGAGAAAATAAAATCGAATTAAACTAAAAACCATATAGTTTCCTCATTTTGCTCCTTCCTTAGTTAGATAAAAAATCTAATATCATTTAAAAACTTTGATAAGACTTAGTGTTGTTACGACATACTTAGTTATGTTTTCATATCTAGTAACCCGATAAATACACAGTTTAATAAAAAACTGATAATTTTAGGCGACTACCACTGGATAATAAGTAGGTAACAATATCTATATAGGTTTTGTTACGTTCATACTAATTTATGTTTAATTATATACCGATAATAATTTAATATTTCTTTAATTTAATATTTGATACAAAAGTCAATTGGTACAGCAACATTATAATTTTATCCCAATAAGGTAATCCACATGACAGTACTTGACGTATTATACATATTTATCTTTAAAGGAAATACGTAGATAGCCCAACTTTGTTTTATGATAATTCTATATCTTGCATATTAATAATATTATTTCATAATTGAAAAATAGTATAATGTTACGCAATGAAATTTATTATCAGAATAATAAATATTGAGTCATACAGAAAAATCAACATTATTTTCATCTTTGTTGGTTGTGCCATACCCGTTTATTTAGATAAAGCATTTTAATTATAACTTTTTTTCATTCCCTACTATACTTCTAACTCAACTGAAGAATTTATTAATCCTTAATCAAAAAATGCAACAAAGTATAAACAAATAAATAGATGCATAACAATAGATGTAAAGGAAAATATTTTCAAATTTCCCCTACCATGTTTTGACTGGTACGATCAAGAATGATGATGATAAATACAATGTAATAATGGGTAAATAACTATATTCCCACTATCTTATGTCTATGTAAATAATACATAGATACCTATGTACTTACCTAATTAATTTCTATAATTGATGAGCAGTACGAGTATCACTAGCGAATTGCAGATTGTAAGTGCATTTACAAAAGCGATAATAACTCCAACCGAGGTTAAATTAAAACAACAATAATAAATAAGTACCTATAGCTACATTGTATTTCTTGCTACTTCAAATAAGAAGTAGACGATAAGGAGCCAACTAAAACAGACCATTCAATATTGTATTTTATATGTTATATTATAGATATGTAATAATATATATAAGATTAATGAACTACTTACTCCATAATCATACGAAAAAATGTATATCATGTCATACATATTGTATTATTTTTCAAACAAAATATTATTTTAAATTATTTCTTATAATAATTAAACATTGTGTCCCACAAAAAATTTCTTCAATGATGACAAAACTAATTATTTTGATTTAAAAACTAAACTATTGAACCGATAATGTTAAAATTTCTATGTAATCAATCTGTAAGTCTCTAAATCGGTTTAGAACTGACGGAGTTATGAGGCAACAAACAAACAGCAATTTAACCGAAATTAAATTAATTTAATCTTTTTTTTTGAAGTCGGTAAAAAATGAATAAAGTTTTATCAACTTTATGATTATTCTTAATTAGTCTTCTTAGAGAGTTTATAGAGAAATTATTTATAACACACATGGTCTTTAAAATGACAATAATTTTTCACCTAAGTTATAAAATAAAATTTCCAATACAGCAAAGTTTATTCTGCTTAGATCAGATACTCTATCTTAAAATATTCAGTCGGTCTTGCAGATCTAATTTACATATCTATTTACTAATTATAGTAATACCAAAGAATTTTTTTAATGGATGATAATGGAATGTTAAGTAAATGGTAACAGTGAAAGATAATAGGTGAAAATGAAAACATATTCGAAACGCACATACAGATGAGGTGCTGCATGAAAATTTATTATTAACAACGAAAATGTGATACATAGATGGAAAAAATCAAAATTGCCAATTTTTTTTATACAACTTAGAATGGCAAACAAGCTGACGGCCCACCTCATGGAAAGTGGTAACCGTAGCACATGAGCAGTATCATGGACATAACAGAGTATACTGTTTCGCCCATGATACCAACTATATAGTTTATAATTATTTCATACAATGTTAAAATTTAATTTTTATAAATATAATATATACTAATACTAAAATGATATATGAGTACCGCCTAGTTAATGCTCAAGGTTCGACCCCATAAATCAAAATCATTATACTTTAAACAGCTGTAACAACTTCAATAGGAATAACAAACAATGGTATAAATAAAAGAATTGTTCATTTCTCCGTAGGTGTGATAGAAAGCATGTATAGCATTGGGTGGTAAATCATTTACACACACAGTATTCCTTAGGCGAATAATTAACTATTATTGATAATTTTTTAAGGATACTTTACAAACTATTTACTATGTTCTATCTGAGGGAACATCAATAAGTTTCTGCAATCGGCGTGTAAATTTTTACGTACATATACATGACAACAAATTTTTATGTTCATATTTTATTGAAATATTTGTTATATTACGGAAGTCAATATCACAATTATTTTCTTTAATTCCGCTACCATTAGAACATGTGTGATTGCCAACAGTCAAAAATTTACCATCATCATTGCTACCAGAAGTTCTACAACCTTCCATATTAGCCCTCAATCTCTGACTACCATTTGATTTGCCTAAAGATGTCTCGTTTAAAGGGAAAATATGGTTTGTAAAACGTGCGTAGACAAAATGGCAGTCGTGCCATTTCAACTAAATTAAAAGTACTCATTAATTCCTGTTTCTTGTAGATAGCAGTTAACTTAGTTTTCAAATCAAAATAATTGGTTTTGTCACAATTGAAAAGGTTTTTTTTTTTTCTGTGTAACACAATCTTATTTACCCGTGTGGACTAGAACATTGCCATATAATATGGCATAGGTATACTGGTTGATAATGTAGCTTATTGTAGGTGAAATTATTTTTTAAATAAAACATGCAACGCGAACATCTAGAAGTTAACTTTATGTTTATCTACGATTAGCGACTTTAGACCATTACCTTTGGATCAGATTATATTCAAACTAAGACTATCTAAGCTAAATATAGTTCTCAATTTTATTAAATTGTGAATTTTCACATGGGTAATGTACCCATTTCCGTATAGGTGTCTATGTAGTAGATATATAGTTTTATACCTTTCTCTCATAATTACTTTAAGGTGCAATATAAAACCGCAACCGAATTAAGTGTATTAAGTAGGTATATTGTTACAATAAGTAATTAGAATACCTATTACTTGACAATCCGTTCTAGCTTTGCTTGAAAAAAATAATAAACTTCTTTTTCATTATCAACATTAATATTTTATGTTTGGTTATAGTATATTCCTGCATATCTGTGCAACTCATGCGTACAATATAAAGAATTTTTGTTTGTGGTTAATGCATTATGTCTTCCTAGTTTGTGGTCATGCAAGAAAGACGAAATAGGTACATATAAAAATAAAATTTATTAACTTTAGGTAAAATAAGTATCTCATGTTAATTTATTTCTATAAACCGTGATAACTTTAATACGTAAACCGTCTCCATATTTAGAAAGGTACATATGTATTTAGAAAATAATAAATTTACTTTATAAAGTATTTGATATCGAAAATGTCTCAAAATAAGTTATTTATTACTGCCTAATAAAATTATCTTTTTACTTATCACCAGTTATCGCGTTTAGATATCATATAACCTTCAACTTGACTTTAACTAGCAATTTTATTGCATTTTAAATATCTGAATTTTTTCTATAAGTACATCGATGTAGTAAATCTATTCTTATAGAAATTATAAAAAAAATTGACTCTTTTAATTTACTTAGATCAGAAGTTTATGTTTGTTTTAAATATTGTTAATAACTATTATTCGATTAAACGAACCATTTGTAAACATTGAATATCTGTGATATTGAATTTAAATTCGATAAGATTCTCTTTGGATGAAAGAAAAAGAATTAAAACATCGGACAAGATAATTAAGTTAGCTTTGCAGCTTTTTTTATTTTTTACACATTTGCTCATATCATTTGTAAGTTATTTATAATAAAAACAACCGAAGCAAATTTACATTGAAATTCCTGCTTAAATGCACTACTTTGATTTAAGTACAAACTTTTTGTCACAAACTTTTACAGGTCTCAATATTCTACCTCGCTTATCGAGGTTCATCATACACTGAAAACAAAGATTCACAAATACAGAATCTTTGCTTTCAATATACAAATACAAGCTACTTAGCTACGTTACGCCTAGGTTTACTGTTAACTAGATATTTTAATAAACAACAAGTCTGACTAAATGTCTTGATCCCCAATCCATTATATAAGTGACGACTTGCATCTTCACCAATATTATAAATGTAAAAGTGAATTTGTTTGTTCGTTACAGCGCCTTAACGACTTAACTAATAAAATTTGCTACACCCGCACTATATAGTATGGAGAAGGTGAACATACCCGGACATGCAGACGAAGACGCGGATAAAATATAGTATAATCTATATTAGTTCACAATGTCCACGTACTTTTGTAGTGCTTTAAAATATATATTTATTTTTATGATACTATGTGTCCACACCATCCTAAGCGAACACAGGGATAATATGGTACATGAATGTGATCAACTAAAAAGAAAACGTTCCACTTTCAGCAGTTAGCTACACTGTGCCTGTGTGGCTGTATGTGTGTGGCTCACTAATTATATTTTCACGCTACGTTTAAAGAATCCAAGGTTATAGGACGAAAGGAACATAAATTAATAACAATAGAAATTTATCACTAATTTTATTATTTGTGATTTTTCAGGGATTCGAGCATTTACTTGATAGCCTCGGCCTTGGAGGGCGGGTGTTCAACTCTCCGCACGACCTGGCCCTCCATCGAATTAATGGTACCTTCCGCCAACTTCACGACACGCAACACAGACACAGGAGATCGCCACCACCAACAAGTTAGTACATTTAAATCTCGACTTTAGATTCTCAAACTAAGTAGAATAATATAATAATTATATTTTGCTCTGTAAAAAACAACTTTCAATCATGAACACACACACACATGTATACAACATCGATAAATTCAATGCTTAGTAGACATCGCTAGGTACATTAAAAATGTTTAAATCTAAGTCTAAAAATAATATTTGCTTTGTGTCAAATAATTTCCTAGTCTGCAAAATAAGTTAAATCAATCAATATATGTCTACATAACATAAAAATAAATTTTACCTATTTTCAACAAATAGAAATAATAAAAAAAAAATCGATTGAATGTAAATATACCTAATAGCCTAAAAAATTTTAACTTGTAAAACTGTATTTTCCTCTTGACTTTTTTCTAATGTAATTAATTAATCATACCCTTCCATGGAAATGATAATTGATAAATTTTAATGGTTCATTGGTCACAGCTGTCTTAATATTTAATGCCCTTGCAGATTGTTTACCCTTGAAAGTTCCCACGAAATTTAATGAAAGGAGGAAATGTTGCTATTGTCCGAAGCACGAATTTATCCTTCAATGTTTGCGGTAAAAATCGAGAGGTTTATCTATCATTGTTACTTAACTAAGTGATTATTTAAATATAAAAATACATAAAGGGGAAATCTATGCCCAGCAATGGGACACAGGTTTATAAAAAGATCTAGCAATATAAATAAAAATAGTTAAAGGGCTGTCTAGCTTTACGCCAAGTTCTATGTATATTTGTTTTATTGTTTGTATTTATAATAACTTGACTATTGTAATCTTATGAAGGAAATAATAAAGAGTGTTCTATATATCTTTGTAAGGTAGGTAAGGAAAACCGAGTCACACTTCTTGCTTCATACACTTTCGTAATTCGTCTCATTCAACATATCAGTTTCAGTCTCGTCTTAAGCTGCATTTAAGTAATATACCATTTATTTAAACACACTGGTATCACACCAGCATAAACCAATAGCGCAGAAAGGCAGCACAACCAAAATAAAGTATATTATTACAGTAATGACATAACTGTCGCTTCCTTATAACTTACAATTTGTTCCACGTAACGGTTGCTAAAAAAGATCTGCTAGTAGTTTTTATTCTTAATGTCAACAAACTGAGTTGCGATCCATTTGAATCTACTAGGAACCTACTTTTGTTACTTATGACAATGGTGGTATCAGTGGATCGCACGGCGGCATTTTCTAATCTAATTTTTTTGTTAATGTGAATATAATTGGTAGTACCACAGTTTTTTTTAATAAAAAGTAGCTAAAACCCTGTGTTAAAAACTCTTACTATACTCATACTTATTACCTTGATGGTTTTTAGAAATTTTGCCAATTTTTATAGAACATATTTACATTCTGATACTACAGGTAGTGGTTCCAAAGAGAGACTTTGTACAAAAGTCATCCGCTTGGGTATCTCTGTCCCATTCGTGTTTCTGCCGTGAAGCAGTTATTTGCATGGCTTTCGGTTTGAAAGAAGGCATGGAAATAAAATTACAGGGTGCAAAGGCAAAGCATCGTAGTCCTCAAGAATAGCAATGCATGAAGGATATCATGGTATACTACGACATAGTATACTCTATTATGCCCATGGTACTTCATGTCCATAAACGACGGTTACCACTTTTCATCAGGTGGTACTCAGCTTGTTTGCTACTCTAGCTTGCATAATAAAAAAAAGTTATGTCTAATATTATTTTTACGGATATGTCTTTATTGACCGATCACAAAGAAGTGATCCTTTTCTCGTGATAACGTAATCAACAGACAGCAGATATCAATTTTTGAAATGATTAATTTTTGCGTCATTTCTAAATTCTCTACCAAACTTTCATGAAAAAATCTCCATTACACTTTAAAAAAATATTTATAATCTATGGGATTACATATACCAAACCCCTTGGCCAATTAGGTTAGTATTGCTTGTTGATATTTTTAATTATTTTTTGTTCGAAAATTACAAAATTATTCGGCTTTCATAGAAGTGTGTATGCAATTATGCAAACGCGTTATGAAAGCAAATGAAGCAAGAATAGTAACAAAAGAATAAAGATCTCTTGTCCTACTTCGTACGTAACATGGTATGAAGAACGTTCAATACTTCTATAACTAAATTATTATCGAATACTAGTGATCCACCCCGGATTTGCAATTTTCGAAAGTAATATAATAACGTAATTTGCTTGATTTTGTTTTTTACGAAACCCTTATTACACCATTTTTCTTAGGTCCGGATTCGCATACTTAACCTAAATCGACACAATAAAAAAATACGCATTTTAATATAAATAATTACAATATTAACAAATCAAAATATGGCTAGTATAGAGAGATTTACAAAAATATTTTTTTTGTACTCACATTATTTATATTAATAATTACAATATTAACAACAACTAGTATAGAGAGATACTAAAATATTTTTCTAGTCACATTATTTATTTCGAAATCATTATTTACTTATATATACGCCAAATAATAATTAATCTCGGACTTATATGTAGTATAAAACGTACCTACTACTTATTATAAGTTATAAATATGAAATCAGTGCTGGATAGAACAACTCGTTAGAAAATGTAGGTTGTAGCTAAATATACATTCGAAGATATAGCTACAAGATATATATGGTAATCATGTACTGACATAAAATACCCAAACAACTCGATTTGGATGTGTCATTATTTTTTTTAATTTTCAATATTACGCTAGATTATGTATATAGTATTCAAAGAAAAACTTATATTTTCGAATTTTTCTTTTCGTGCTCTAGTTGTTTCCTTAATCCACTGACTAAGGAAATTAAAGAAACAACTAGCAGGAAAAGGATTTGTAACCAATCCTTTTCACCTCCATGATATTGTAAGAGGCGATAATAAAAGCTATCTGAATCAGCGTGAAAAAATAGATTGTTGTGATAGGTAAATGTAGATTCCCTTTTTATCCCGGTCATGTAAATGAAGTCGCGGATAAAAGCTTGTATAAAATAATACTAGCTATAAGCGAATCGTGTGTATATAGAGTTGATTACGCGAGAAGACGAACAGCAGTACGATCGTCATTTATAAAACTTCCATTATCCTATTACGAGAATAAAACTCAACTGACGTCCATCTACGGGTACCTACTTATTTGTCGATTCTAACTTGTACACAGTCACACATAAAGACATTAAATGGGATAAAAACACTTTATATGACTTGCGTTGCTTATGTATACCTCATTATTAAAAACGAATCATTAAGATTTTTTATATACCACTGAGGTGGCAAACAAGTGTACGGCCCACCTGATGGTAAGTGGTTACCGTAGCATATGAACACCTGCAATAACAGAGGTATTACGCGTACGTTGCCGACCCTGAAGAAACCTCTTTATCCCCCTTTTGAAGAACCCCATACTGTAGTCTCTTGGAAAAACCTCGGCAGGGAGCTCATTCCATAACCTGAGTGTTCGTGGGAGGAAACAAGATGATTTAATTAAAACTTATGTTCCCAAACACGTTAGAACTTATCTAGTGTTACTTAGTCTATTTTATGAGTCAGTTTTACTACTTGTTTATTACACTTTCACGGACTACTATAAGACTTTTCTATTGCATCTAAATATAATTTGACAAAGAGATATCTATTATCAATGGACATAAATACGTGTAACGCAAGGTAAAGGACTTAATGTTTTTTTTTTTTTTAAATAATATTATTGTTATTTTGTTAATAAATATCTTTATTGTTACAGCTGATTCTTTAATCCAAAAATCATGCTTATCTCCAAGACAAATACTGGAAATGTATGGAATGGAAAATGAGCCTGGAGTCATAAGTATTAAACCGAAAACATTCTTAGAAATGTGTCCAGCTTTAGTATACCAACTAGATCAACGTTCTTGCTACAAAACTGAAGTGCCTGGTCCGAAATTGGAACGACATTGGAGTAAGTAGCAATATTAAGATTAGGTGCAAAGACTATTGAATGCAAATATGTATTTAATTTAAATACTTAACATATCATATTACTTTTTTCCAGCATGGATATATGCCACTTTGAGTATCCTTGTGATCAGTGCAACTGGACTGATGGGTGTGGCTGTAGTACCCCTTCTCAAGTCCGTGGTATTCAGCTACGTTCTTCACTTTCTTGTCGCAATAGCCGTGGGTACGTTGTGTGGCGACGCACTTCTACATTTATTGCCTCATGCCCTTAAATCACATGGTCCCTCTTCTGAACCACAAGAAGAGACCGAAGTCGTCCTGAAATGTAGCGTCACATTTTTAACTGTACTCCTTTTTTATACGGTCGAAGCAATTATGCAAACTATACATGGCGGACATTCCCATTCACATGATCATTCACAAGGCAAAACTGTAGAAGAAATAAAAACTGAATCTGCTAAGCAAATAGAGTCCATTGAATTGGGAGCAATGATGCCGGGATCACCGCCACCACCTGCCGAACGTCCGATGACATCTACAGCTCTAATGGTGATTGTTGGTGATGGATTACACAACTTAACTGATGGCTTGGCTATCGGCGCTGCTTTCAGTGGTGATCCGGTGACTGGTTTCGCTACAGCACTAGCTGTCTTTTGTCACGAGCTCCCGCATGAGCTGGGTGATTTTGCGGTGTTACTGCGATCTGGCATGAGTATAAAACGTGCGTTATACTATAATCTTTTATCATCTGTACTCAGTTTTATGGGAATGGCAGGTGGTATCTGGTTGGCCGAAGACCATGAGTCGACATCCCAATGGATTTACGCTGCGACGGCTGGTACATTTTTGTACATAGCTTTAGCCGATTTAGTGCCAGAAATAAACGAAAACAATCATGGTAAAAGTTTGAATTTAATTCTAGCCGTATTAGGTATACTTGGAGGAGGTGTAATTATGCTAGTAATTGCACTTCACGAGGATTCAATACAATACTTGTTCCGCAATGCCGAGCAATGAACTGAATAATCAAGAATATATGTAAGTCAATAATTAATACTTAGTACATTTTGCAATGTGATAAACTCATGGTTGTTCGTCTAGGTAGTTGAGAAATAATTTTAAATATTATAGCATTAGGTGTCATTCTATGAATATTATTTTAAGGGTGCCTACATATATACTTATGTCACATATACTACCTTAATCGTTTAAAAGTGAATGTTATATTTAAAGGAATGTGATATAAATTGTTTGATACCTAAATGTAACTCTCGAGACCAACACTGGCTTTCATTGTGATGGGATATGAGAGATTAGCTCATCAATACAAGGGTATTTGCAAATTGCTCAAATTTTAATTGTATAATTAGGTTGTCTGTGGTACTGTACCTCCTATGCATAATAAAAAAAAGTAATAACGTAATCTAACTGCTTTTCAAACATTTTACATTAATATTATTGTCTATTTTGGCACCATTTATGGAAACACTAAATGTTTATTATTAGTATTATTATTATTTATAGTTAAAATGTTTCCTTTAGATATTTACCTAATTGTATAGAATATTGTATTAAAAGATTTTTACCTAGTTACCATTAGGTAATATTCCTATTACGTAGATATCTACCTTCTTACAAAACTCGAAAATGTCATAGTAGCCGAAATATTTACATTTAAATCAATAAGTATTTATTTTTAATGATAGTTTACTTGAATTTGTTTTAGATATATTTGATTAATATTTGTCAAATAATTAATGAGTATTATTATATAGTATTATAAGTAGGTATAACCCTAAAAGTGCCTTAGTAATAAAATCAGATAAATTTGTCTAAACTTAGGTTCCTATCTATAATATGTATAAACATGTATTTTAATCCTTCATAATACAGTAAAAGTAATTATGAAGCTTTTACAAGTTTATCCTAACGATCAATAGGCATATGAATAGAAATGTAAGCGACGCTTAGTTCCCTTTAATTTGTATCCTGTTTTCTGTTAATCTAAAATGTACCTAATATGCAACTAAAATTATAGGTGGAAAAAGTACCTAAAATGCAACCAAAATTATAGGTGGAAACGGTTAATAAAATACTAAATCACGAACCGGGGATCTCAAAATCAGAACTGGAAGATATTCCAGAAATTGCCCTAAGCATCAGCTTTATTATATATTATAGATAGTTACCTATTAACGTCTGCAAAATCATTTTTAGTCGGTCATATAGTTTTTTTTTTTAATATAATAATAAAATTATATAATTATATATAATTTTTTCTAAGAGCATTTATAAAAGAATTTTAATAAGTATTCATGCTGTAAGTAATGCATAATCCTACAACTAGGCAAACTTTGATTGAGTGATATCTACATTTATTGTGTTCTTACGTTGGTCCAAATACCGGAAATTATCTTCCAATAATCTACGTTTGCTGATTTTTTTTTTTTTTTTTAAATAGATAAAAATATAACAGCAACGCCACCTGCTCTATATTTATAGTGGCAGATAGTCTAGTGAAGAATGATAAGTGAAGATGAAGCCTGGTCAATTGATTCACCGATATGAACTCATATGATAGTTTCCAAGAATTGTTAACTAGCAATAAACTCACTAGTCCTTATTACTAATAATTTTACTACTTTTATAGGTGTTATTGAACTATTTTCTACTTGACCCGAAATAATGCTAAATGTGAACCGTTACTCCTTGCTAAAAAACATCTCAATACTTATGCCGTCAAATTTCACAATGTTATAATTCGAGAGGGACTAGTTCGTTCGATGCAGGATAGGATACTTGCCGATATGTGGATGAATCGACAATAAAGAAGTCCATCATGAAGCGCCATTTTTTTAAATCTATCGGTGAATTTAAAATTTCAATTTCACATCACAGCCAAATTTTTGTTCTAAAGACCAATATTATCCAAATTTCTAGTACATTTAAGTAAAAATTATTATAAATATAGATTATGATGGTCCAAATAACAGTAATTTCGCGAAACTATTAAATTAAAATATTCGGTTAAAAGATAGGTTTAGAAATATAGCTCCCCTGAATCGGTCAGTAAACACAATCCATAACAAAGCTATTAATGCCCCGGAACTAATATAATGGTAGAACAATAAGATACACGAAAAATTATAATACGAGTAAGTAATAATAAATAAAATAAAAATTAAGTTTCGAAACAAAATTAAGAATCGATACAGTACCTAGGGATACAATACGCTGTACCAGTAAGCTTTTTCTTTTATAAATGCTCCAAGTACTATCAAACTGCTATATACCTATATTATAATTACATATAATAATAGTTACATAATTTATAAATTAATGTCAGTGATTTTTACAAATATGTAACGAAAAAATTTTGCGTGTTATTGAATTGTACAAAGTTGTTTTAAGTAATTGATTTAATGTATATTAAGTTAATGTTATTATTAAAAAACTTTAATACATGTTTGAAAAGTCATTAAATGTGTAAATAATATTTTCTCATTATCTTATTGATTTCCCTAAAAAATTGTTTTATACATGGAACAGGTCTAAATGTTTACTGCGATCGATTGAGTTGATTAATCAATGGATTAAACAACTATTAAGTAACGCTAGTTAATATATAATAATAGTTTCTGCTTAAATATTTACTAGGTATTAAAGTTAGGTAGGTAATTAGTATACTATATTAACACAAGAATTCTTTTTCAATCGAGGAGGTTTTCCTCTTTTTCTTTCCAAATACATTAAGTGATGCCTCGCCACTTGCATACATCATGTAGTGCAATATTTAAAAAGTCGTCGCTACATCATGACCGACATTATCAAAATCAAATTATTTATATTCAAATAGACTTCTTTACAAGTTTTTTTAAATAGTAATTTTTTTCGGATTCGGAACATTTCAGTGACTGTGTCGTACATAAGAACAGACTATAACTACGTCATATTGCATTGATATTTTTATTTTAATTAAGTAACTACCTTTTAAAAATAGCATTAAATTGAACAAAAAGAACTACGAATCATTTCTTTTTTAAATACATACCTGCTGTTATAAGAGTTGATTGAAATATTCGAAAAGGTTTCTAATCTTTCAATTAACTCCAATAACGGCTTCTTCCCAATATTTATAGTGTTGTATGAGCTTGAAAACGTACTCCTTAAAAAAATAACCACGTCCACTAAATGACGACATTACAGCCATAGGTACTTATTGGCTTTACGCGAGAGAAAGAATTGCCACTAAATAAGAATTAGCAACTCCATTGCAAGCGATATAGGCTGTCACAGATTAACCTCCTCGTGATCCTCTCTGGAAACCATTGTGGTTAATCGATGATGAATGCGTTACTATGGACTATAGAAACTAACTTATTCAATAAGAATAAGAAATTGATTCTTATACTTGATCTTCGCCTATTATTCTTTACTATCCCGTTTAGCGTAAACCGATTACGTAGACGAAGTTACCATTTCATTGTCATGCATTAAAAGCTGACTCACTGATAATTTGCCTTTGTGTTTCAGTGACGAGTACATTAATACACTTATATATCTACCGCAGGCCCTATTGTTTACGTTTATCATCTTATGATCACGTACATAGATAAATATTACCTATCTACTATCACGTCAAGCGCGTCACGTCTGTTAACAAGTATGCAACGATACATATATAGTAAATAGGTATAGTACTCACCCTCTCTTACCATAAAAATAAATTTTTATTTATTTATGCTTTATTGACCACATTACAAAAAATGTCTGGTACAAAAGGCGGACTTAATACTATATAGCATTCTCTCCCAGTCAACCTTTGGCAAAACAGAAATTTTAATATGCAAAAAAAATAAAAATAAATTATATAAATATACATACATGAATATATTAAACAAATATTACATAAATATACAAATATGCATATATACAAATATAAATATACATATATAAATATACCTACTTATAGATTATATATACGATAACACAAATAAACAACGATAGAGATCAAAAGTGATGATGATGAAGATGAACTGCTTTCACAGTTTTTTCCAAAGATATTCGTAGACTTTTCTCTTAAAAATAAATCAAATGCTTCAAAGATATTTGCTCTTTTCTTAAGTTTGGAGAACCGAGAGACAGACGTCATGTCCTTATGATTTGATAGAGATGGCACACGACACTAGTGTTCTCGTTAAAGCAAATGTTGAGTATCAGTGGAGCTACCTAGACAGAAGGAGAGACAACGGAAAACTGCTATTTCAATAAGTTAATAGTCAGCCGTCTAAACGGACAACTTCTTTCCCATTCAGATACTCGCTCACCATCCGTCTGGGTACCGACCACCGAAAGAGATGCTTAGAAAAATAAGGGGTACATAACTGAGATAAATGTATAATCAGTATAATAGTATATAGTCTTAAATTATATAGACAGAACATCAATATAATATCAATCCTCAATCTAAAAAACATTGAACTTATTCAAATACTGTTTAGGAATAATACATGTTTAGCACAGTGCAAGTGATATCTACTTAGTTAATAATTTGCTAGTTTACTTTTTACTGTAAAAAAAAAACTGTATATTTTGAAATAATCAAATATTTTACTGAATTTACCTGTAAATTAGATACATTTTGGTCATTTTTTCAATAATTTTAATTTTCTGACTACTGCACAATACTACAATGTAGACAAGATAAATATAATATTTCTAATCTTAAACCAAAATATCCATGTTGGATCGGTTTTATATATTTCATATTATTCCATAAAAAAATCGACATTCTATAGATCAAAACACGAATGTAATTAATCTTCCCACATTGGTAATTTTATTTATGAAAAACTATTTTTGAATTTTTTGCAATTTTTGCATTTGGCAAAATTGAAATCATTAGCTTTGTTTTAGGAAAGAATTTTAGCAATGAATGCGAACATTTATATTTAAAACTCTATCTAAAAATCTAATTTTAAAAGAACAATATTAAACCGTACTGAAAACAAATACAGCATGACTTTGTCTACACATCAAGTTATCGTCAAATTAAAAGCACATTTAAAGCAACGTTTAAGCAAGCAAGTAAGTACTATTCTTAATCTATATGGGTAGTCAAGGCCCTGGTTCTTATTTTTTTTAAGGATGATAATGGATTGGTAACCCCGCCTGCGCTATCGGTATACACTGGCTGGGTACAAGTGAGAGATGATAGGTGAGGATGAAAAGGCAGGTCGGTTAGCCATCGTGACGAATTCAACGATTAGTCACGATGGTTTCCAGGGGGAACCGCGGGAGATCGACCTGATGAGGTATATTGATAACAATAGGGGCTAACCTTCCCTTTACTAACAATCCCTCTCCCTAGGCCCTGGTTCTTAGACTCACGTAGACTTGTGACACACGTTTACCTCTTTAGCCTAAAATCTAGCTACTAACTTCTACAGATTGAAAATTGTTTTAAATGAAAGGTAATAAAAAATATAATACAATGCGCCCGGATCATGTGCTTTTAGTTAACCGCAAACTGGAGTTTATTAAAAAAAACTGTACCTGAAAAAATTAACGGCGAAATTTTAGATTAACTGCCATTGCACATCAAGAGTGAATTGATCGTGTATCGCTATCTTAAGGTAAAGACTTTTATCTAATCAACGCCAAATTGCTTTGTCATAGTTACACAAACTGTCAAACGTCAGTCATTCAAACGAAAAAGATTGTTGTTTTAGTTAGAATTAAAAATTGGCACTCTTTGAAATTAAAACAAATTTACATAATCTTTACAATTTTTTTCAAGGATGATCAAAGCGTTGGTAAGCAATAAAATAATATATATTTGTATTAATCAAAATTCTAAGATCTGAATTGTAAAAGCATTTGCAGACTTCATTTTCTATTATTATAAATATAAATACCCACGACTGTAATCTCTAGTTAGAGGCATTCATGGCCTGTTGCCATTGCATTCAACATAACTTTCAACATCTAATAATTGATTCTTTGGAAATAATTTCATTTCTCTCTTTAATTATATTGGAATTCCCAATGTTCTAGATACTTTTTTAATTTCCAATAATTATATTTTAATAGGTGCCATACAATCATTAATTACAGTTAAATAATTAATTACGTGATCAGGTAAATCACCTATAATTTAAGAAAAAAAAAACCGCAAAACAATACATTAACTTTTATCATGCCAGTTATTTTGATTTAAAAAGTAAATTACTGAAATGTCTGTTGAACCAATCTGAAAGAATACACTTTAGACAAAAAGAGAATTTTCCAAATCAATTTATGACTGAGTTCTGAAGCAACAAAAAAAAAAAAAAAAAACTAATTTGAGAACCAGTTATTGAAACATGGGGTTTTGAATTTTACATTCATGAATGTTTCTGACTGCCCTATCATAGAAGGAAAACAGATATCTTATGGAAATTGAGTGATGTTATAGTGATAATCAGTAGCTGATTAGCACAATTGCCACCAGTAAGCTATTAAAATTTAGCCTAATTCACTACTGTTCACTCTAGCCTACTCAGCTTGCTGGTAACTCCACCACTGGTAACAATCATCTTACTATAAAGTTTTCTTTCTAAAATCTATGAGTCTATTTTTAAATTTAAATGAAATTTGTGTGTAAATAAATCAATATCTTTTAAAAGTGATTTCTGATTTCATTTCCTTTCACCAACGCAGGTGAAATTGCTTGTAATCAAAAAGAAAATGTTATTGCACCAATTGACTTTTAAAGTCATGTTAAATATAATGATATTTAATCTCCTTTCTGTACATTTATAATTAAACCTATTTTTTATAAAAAATCTTTGAAATAGGAATAAGAATCTTATATTGATAGTTATAAATTGCACAATGTGTTTATTGTAGCGACATTTTCTGTAACAAACTTTATTATAATTAAAAAAAATTACTTTGTATATATCATAATATTTATATTTAATAATCGACCTATTTCACAATAGGTTATTTACTATAATTGTTCAAAACAGGAGTAAGTCATTTATAGGTACAAATAATTACTATAACTGGATCACTTATTTAATCTCAAAGCTGTTTTATTATTTCAGATAATATTTGGTACTGGAGTTTACACTGGTGTTTATGTAGCACAAAATTATCAGGTAGTAACAAGTGTCAAACTATGATTGGTACTCAGCATGTTCATTTCTTGGTCGACTTGCTTACCATTCTAATATTTCAACCTCATTCTAACTACACCCAAAAAAATGGTGGAACTTTGCCTGCTTCTTATCAATAAAAATGGATGAAATTAAACCAAAAAATAACAAGCTGTGTACAACAATTTCCTAAATCAATTATGAATATGAAATATAAATTTTGGTAAAAGATATCACAAAGGAGGCCATGCCCTAATTCAATTTTATGGTCATCCATTTTTACTCAACCATATACTTCCTAATAGCAAGCTCCTGGTTCATAATTTTGAATGGCCTCTTTTGTGTCTGTCATATTCTAATATGTATTCTGTTTTGTTATATTTGCTGAGTATACATTTTTTTCAATCCAGGATGTTGTTCGACTTATTTGTAAGAGAACAGTTCAGGAATGTGACAAATCAATGGATAGAAAAAAATGGTTAGTTTCCTTTTTATTTAATTTTTTTCATTGCTTTTCTTTTTGAACCAGGAAATATGCTTAACACTTGCTAAAACAATAGTTATTAAAACATTTACATAATTACTTTGCCAAAAATAACAAATATATGTATATATATATATATATATATATATATATATATATATATATATATATATATGTCACTCAGTATTAACTTATAATTTATGACTTATTTATTCTAAAAGCTTTATTTTGTATAACGCTTCGTTCCAATCTATTATTTAACAAGTTACATCAAATAAAGATACATATATAACTAATCTTCTTTCAAACATTTCTTAGAACTGAACCTTTTGTATACTATTGTAACAATAACACTATTGACTAATGTACAATAGTACCAATGACTAAACAAATTAAGATAATGTACAAGAAGTTCAGTTAATCATAATGTTTATCATATACATATCATACAGCATATAATACATATAAAAGTAGTTGGGAAATGGCCTCTATTAAATAACTGCAATTAACACAGTTGAACTCAGGTTTTCTATCAACCCTAGAACTCTGTCAAAGTGATGTTGTATCGTTTGATGATAACATCTGTTGCTGTAGCAATGTTCTAGCATACTTATAAGTATATTAAAATTATCATTTTATGTTATAGATAGACAAAGTTGAAGATCCAAAGGCATTGCTTGAAAAAGCACAAGCTTATCTGAAGGATAAAATGGCAGAATTCAGTGAAGGCAAAAAAGGAGGCAAGGACAGCTAAACAGAAATGAGCATGAAATGAAACTCTAATAAAATTTGTCTGTAAATACCGTTTATTAGTTCTATACAATGGTAATCTATATAAAATAAAATTAGCAATAAAAACAGTAAATAATGCTATTTTCTTTTTTTGCCTTATACCAAGGACATACCACCCCCAACATATTCTACTCTAGTTTGTGGTTCTTCAAATGCTAACCAATCACTAGAATGTGTGGGTAGTAGACCCATACTTTGACACTTATAGAGAGCCAATAGTATATTGACAATATTCCCAATAAAGTAAACAAACTTCTGCCCAACTGCCTGTGTTCCTTCTACCATTTTGAAAGTGCTTTGTGTAGCAAATAGTGCTTTAACAGGTCGAACAATCAACATACCAACCATCATTATTGGGAAAATAGATATAGAATTCCCTGCCATATACATAATAAAAAGATTCATCGGCACTTGCTTCAATGGTCCTAATGCAACATCCCAAAGTTTTTTTATTAATAATAAATTTGAATCATTGTCTTTAGACGATTCTGTATAATTTGCATTTGCCGATTGACTGTAGCCTGGAGGAGACGGTAATTCTGCTGTCGATGTTTTATTCCTGAAAATCATTGTTTGATATTAAATAATATTACAATAAGTAAATAGTCAACCTAATAATATACACTCACTTTGGGTTGAAGTCCAGAGCCCACTTAAATTTCTTGTTTGTTTTCATTTGAGACATTGCTAGGTTTAATGAAATTGAATAATACGACTTTGTCTTAAAACGTATCTCTTGACCTTCTGTAGTATCAGTGTTCACAGATACGAATATTGTTATAAAAATCTCGTTTCAGTTTCCCCTGGATTAATCAATATTAAAATTATCTAGTATAAATTGATTGAAGGAATTATAAATAGACTAGAAGACGTGAACTGACAGCAGTGACAGCTAAACTGACATCTTATATATGTCACTGTCAGATCCCACTTTTACTGCCTCCAAACCTGAAGTATTGGACAAAAATTTCAGTTTGGGAGACAAGTATTTATCTATGCTTGATGAATGTTTTTTAGCGGGAAAACTTGTAACGCGAGGGCGGAAATTTTAAATTCATTTTATTTGTTTAATATTTATTTGTTGCTTCTCCTAGTTTCTCTTACTTATTTATCCAATTTAAGCCCTCGTGTGTTGTTAGAGGATATGTGCGAGTCAAGCGGAGGCAAGTTAAAAAGAAGAAAAAAAAATACTTCCATATCTGATGAAGAGCCAGATGCTAAAATTAAATTTACTCACTCAAAAAGAGGACTGTTTAAAGATCAAAATTACCTATATTCTGACACTACTAAAAATGAATATTTTATCCTGTTGTCTCCTATTGAGGGCAACAATGTAAACTTATTGCAAGTCAATTCTATTCTGAGGACTGTACCTGGTGTATTCTATATTCATACTATGGGTTCTACTGCATTCAAAATATGTTTTCGATCAATGAAACAGGCTAACGAATTTTTATTAAATAAAGATTTATTAGAGAAACATAAACTTCAGGCTAGGATACCCAATAATCAGCTGGAATCTCAGGGAGTTATAAGAGCTCCTACTGAAATATCTGAGGAAGATCTCTTAAATAACTTAAAATCTACTGTAGATATCATCGGTGTTAAACGTTTCAAAAAAAAGAAAGAAGATGGAAGTTTTCATCCTCTTCCTACAGTTTTAGTAACTTTCCTCTCTACGCAGCGACCTGATCACGTAACGTATGATCATATTTGGCTGGATGTGCGTGAATTCATTAGACCTCTACTCCAATGCTTCACTTGTTACAAATTTGGTCATGGAAGCAGTTCCTGCAGAAGTAAGCAAGTTTGTTCCATATGTGCCGGTGCCCATGATTATAGATCCTGTATCAACAAAGACAATCCTAAATGTGTTAATTGTAATGGACAACATGTAGCAGTATCTAATAGCTGTCCCACTAAATCGATGAAATTGTCTCAAATCAAAGATAAAATTCTAGGCAAAACATCTTATGCATCAGTGACTTCAAAATCGGTTAACTCTGTAATTAATTCAAATACCCCTGTGTCTATTAACAGCCCAACGCAAAATAAATCTCCTCAAAAAAGGGCATTAGTTATTGACATCATTAACTCAGATATTGTACTCAACACAATTACTAAGACTGTTATTGAGCTAGTTAAGAAAGCTCAAACTAATTCTGATACAATTTCATCTAAATTAATTAAGGAAATACTCATATCTAATTTTTCAACATGACCATTACATCTTTAAATGAAATTAATATTGTTCATTGAAACTCAAGACGCTAAAATATTTCAATTTAAAAACTTTATTTACAACTTTACATCACATTTTGATATCATTTTACTAAATGAAACTTGGCTTGATTCTAACAAAATCTGTAAATTGTCTGGTTATACTATATTAAGTAGATTGCAGATAGGTCATTGTAAATTTCCTGCACATTTGCAACGTATTAATTTATTGGATAATTCTATCTGTAAATACTGCCAAAACATTTTTTCTAATTTGGATCATATTTTTTTTTGTTTGTCCTAAATTCTCACTTCAACGGTTACTTTTTATTTGTCAATGTCAAGATTTAATAAAATGTCAAAATATTCCTACTTCAGTGCAGGATCTACTAAAACATACAATTTTGTACCAAGAAATTTTTCATCAATTGGTGAAATTTAAATATGTAATTGTAACTTATACTTTTCTACTTAACTTACTTTCTTAGTATATTATAATTAATTTATAACTATAATAATTTTTGTAATTTGTCTTGTAATTTTATATTGTTACCTTGTAATTGTTACTTTTTGGCTGATGGCTTTCGCCAAAGTCACAATAAATGAAAAAAAAAAAAAAAAATATCTATGCTTGATCTATGGATTTAGCAAATTTTGTTTTTATTTTATCGCATTGTGTATGCAAAAGTAAAAACCCTGTACAATTATTGTTCATTTATATCATCAATCTGATGTGAATTTCTGTTTAATATTAAAAATAAAATTAATTACTATAACTATACGAATATGAAATAATATTTATATGACATGGAACGACACATATCTATACAATATATTATTACCATCAAATAGAGATTATGTATTAGGTACATACCTACATTCATAATTACTCATGTGCGTGGGAAAAATGATTGATAGTAATGAGTTTCGACAGCTCCTTTACTAGCAATATACTCTATAACATTAGTTTCCACATGACTTTCCCTGAAAACTGTCGCGGGTAATTCTTGACGAATTCGTTTCGATTTTCTAACTGATCCGTTTTCATTTTTCTCTATCAACGCTTACTGATATCTTTACAGTGTATAAGTATCTACGGCGCAGGCAGGATTAAAAAAAAATACATTTTTAAACAATATTATGCAATTTATTATTGAAACAATCGACGATTTACTTATCTAATTCCTTATTTTATAAAAGTATACGTAATCAAATGTACCTAAATGTATAAAATTTAATAGGTAACTCATATAAACTCGTATAATCATGATTTTATAATGATAATATTAATTTATTTTCATGATTCATGCAATGGTTGGTATATCTTCACATATCACTTTTGTGTCTTTTTGTACAGCCATTTCACTACTTTCGAATTCTCTCATTTTTTCTCTGGATGTGATGTTTTCTTTACAAAACAATGATATCCTCTGACAAGCCTCTCGCAATATATCTTCAGGTACTGTTAGCACGATTCTCATATAATTGGGGTAACAAAAGCACTGCAAATAAAAGTTTTTCACTATTATTAAGAATTTAACCTTACTATAGCTATTTAGAAGAAAATATTTCATTTACAATAGTGAAAAAATCTATAAATAACATTATATACCTAGATAAGTTGATTACATTACGTTACTTAGTAAGACCATTACGTCGCTAATTTTATGAACCTGTTTAGATAATTCTTTTTACTACCAGTAGGACTTCTGATGTTTAAAGTTACTGTTTTTCTTTGTGGAACAAAAAATTTGGTATTACAAAGCAAAATCAAGTTTCAAAGCAAACACTACTGGTAATGTGGTAGACAGCCGATTCCAAAATGAAGAATGTCTTCCAGTTTGAATTTATCAATTTAAATATTTTCAAACAAATGTAAGAAATGTCTTTTCGTTCATAGTATGTTTCTTCACAATGAAAATCATCTTTTTTGGGAAATCAAAGTGAACCTATCTTCTTATTAAATAATTAGGCAAGTCAAAAGCGAATGAAAAATCAGCTAAGTATCTACGTATTTACGCTTATAAACTTTGATGTTTGATGATCTACGATTTCTACACCATGCAATTGATTGTATAATCGCTATTCGGTCCTAAATAGAAAATAAATTAAGTACAAACCTTTCCCGGTAAACAGAAAACCGATTGTTCAGAAACCATACGTTCAACGAATTTCAATTCATTCTCAAACTTTGGAAACATTGACATTTTGATTTCTATCATCATATACATAGCACCCTGTGGCATTATAGGGCGCAGCCCTGGTACTCGTCGCAGCTCCTCATAGGCAAGTTTTGCTTGATTCTGAAAGTTAAATGTAAGATTGATTATATTAGTACACCATAAATGTTTTGATCTAAATCTTTGGAAGCACACCTTAGAACATTTACATATATATATATATATATATATATATATATATATATATATATATATATATATATATATATATATATATATATATATATAGAACTGATATACTAAATATCTAATTTCAGAATCGAATAACTGATGCAAGAAAAAATAAATAAAAAAGAAGATGAAAAAAGTAAACAAGTGCATTGCTTTTATATGTTGTGGCATTAGTAGTATTTTATAATTTATTATTCACTTCATTTCTAGATGATAATAGATACTTATGACCTTTATATATTATGGTAGTAATAATTTATTATTCACTTAAGATGGAATGACCTATGCTATCGGTATAGAATAGCAGGGCACCAGTGGTGGATGAACCAATGAGAATAAAGTCAAATCATTTGGGCAATTATGACGAATTCACTAGAAATTAATCATGGTGGTTTTCAGAATATATCCTATGGAGGTCGACCAGACTGATATATTACTAAGAATGGAGACTAACATCCCCATTTCAAACAATCTCTTGCCTCCGGAAGGTTTATCACTAGACTACATAGTATATTCATAAAAATTTAACATTTATTATTTTATATTCAATCGTTACAAAATTTTCGAGAGCTCTCAACGATCTCAGGCATACTAAATTAATTCACATCTTTACATTCCGGTTAATATTATTATACATCGTGCGGGTGCTATGGAACCTTCCACTCACCTCAATAAACAAAACTACTTCATCGAAAAAACTTTGTGGCGTATTTTTCAATATTGATGGCAGCGCTCTTTGTATTAATGTGCACGGTCCTAAAATTTTGCTTGCAACATTATGCAAGCCTTTAACAATCTCTTTTCCTAAAATATTATGTCGATCGTGGACTATCAACCAGCCCATTCTCCATCCAGGAACTAAAAATCTTTTGGTTAACCCACCGCATGTCAATATTGGCACATCCTGGGATAAAGCTGACATGGCAACAAATTCATGTCCAGAAAATACAAAATGTTCGTATATTTCATCCGCAATTATTGGTATATGATTTCTAGAAGCTATATTAATTATATCACATAAATGTTCTTTTCTATAAACTGAACCACATGGATTCGAAGGATTAATAACTACTATGGCCGCCGTGTCATCATCAATTTGACTTTCCAAATCTTCCAAGTCCACTTCCCATTGTTTATGAGGCTGAAAGTAAATAACATAATGAATCTTAATTAGGTAAAATGATTATTTATAAACAACCTTTAATCAAGGATTTGCGTAGTTATGAAGAAATCAATGAATAAATAATATGCAAATATAGTCCACAATAAACTGGAAACTTGTTATGTTTCTAGAAACTAGTATAACATCGCTTCGTATACACATATATCTATATATACGATACATTTTTTAACAACATTAATATTAATTTAATATAATAATAAATTATTTTCAATTTTATTTGAAACCACGAAGCTTCATTTCATGGTTTTATTATTAATTCAGGTGTATATTTATCCAATATACATTTTTTTAATATCTTTATCAACCATATTTCTAATGATTTATAATACAATACAAATATTTTTAAAGATAGAAAAATAGACGTGGATACTATAATTATAATTTAGGAAACCAGTTAATTCAATATGATAAAAACAAGCCATTCAAATATGTATTGAAATTTGTTTTCTCTATTGAAACCTATGACAGAACGTCCTAATAACATAAAAATAAGATACATACCAACAAGTCATAAAATTTTATTCTTATTCCTAGTCCTTCAGCCACTGTTTTGTATATCATGAATCCGGGCCTTGGGACGAGCACATTTTGACCGGAGTCTGCTAGTACTGTGATGGCAAGTTCTAAGGCGTGGGAACAGCCACTGCAAAGTATAACATTTTCTGGTGATATTGGCCCTTGATGAGCACTGTACTCTGCCACAGCCTGCCTCGCTTCCAGGTGACCCGTGACGGGGGCATAGCCTCGACTTGTATGCCATTGTATACTCTCACGAACAGATTGTAGCACTTGTTCCGGTGGATTGAGATTACCAAAAGTCGTCGGGTCACCTGAAATGAATTTGCATGAATAAAAGTTCGAGTTTATAAATATTCTGTAGGTACCTAAGACCACTTTATACTTGTATAATAAAAAAAAAATATATTGTGAAATCCATACATCCTGTTGACCTTGTCGATTATTTTTAGTATTCTTTATTGAAATTATAAAATCAGAACGCTTATGGAATCATCTCAATGTCTATCTGCTACCTACCTACATTCCTACTAAAGGTTTCTTGTATTGCCTTTGGATCATAATTCAAAAATATGTGACATGTAAAATAGGGTATTCTTTAAATATGGACACTTTTGAAACGGTAACCGCACCTGGGTCATTGTTATACGCTGGTGAAGTACCGGTAACATATGATAGGCAAAGATAGTATATATGTTAGTAATGGAATATACCGGGCCCATTACTAATAATTGATACTGTCAGGACGACCTCTTCGCAGTTCTTCTTGGAAACCATTGTGGTTAATTCCTACTGAACTCATCACGATGGGCTACCTGATCTAATATAATTTTACAATACATCATATTACATAGATCATTTTATCTATTATCCCTCACTCACACACGGGCAAGTGAGACTATTCCATTTTCAAAAATGGGAATATGAGCTAATGTATTTATTAATATACGAATCACCATGTAAGCTAATACGACTCGCACTTAACGAATTTTAATCGAATTCTTCTAATTAACATAGCATATAAATTCAATATAAATTTATATATGAACGTAGGTAAAATTATTATATGAAATCACCAGTTGTCCAAATCGAACATATTAGAAAATATAACCTAGCTACTGTGTCATACAATTAGTTCACATTTACTTACCTACATTTACCAATTCCTAGGTAACTCTCGTAGTTAGAGCAATGCGTGACATGCCTGAATAGGCAAGGTGCCACCATCTTTTTCTAAATCAACAATCCATACGATGTTGTAATTAAATCTGATAAGTAATGAAGCCCGTTCGAGAGCATATTTTGACACGAGAAAAAAACAAGTCTTCGAGAGTTCCGAGGCTAAATGTACGTCATGACCCTATTAATACTATCAGGGGGGAAAGGATTGTTAGTAGTAAGATCTAACTGACCTATTGCTAGCACTACGCCCTATCAGTTCGACCTCCACGCCGTTCCCCTTGGAAACCATCGTGGTTAATTCTAGTGGAATTAGTCACGATGGGCTAACTGACCTGCCTTTTCATTTTCACTTATCATTCCTCAGTGGTGGCCCGCCAGCGTATACGTATAGCGCAGGGAGGGTTACCATTCCATTATTACCCATTAAAATATCATACCTTCGTGATACACTACACACCTACTTTTTGATAATAATACCTAAATAGATCCTGATAATATTACCAATGTGAAAGTTTATATAGATCTTTGACTATTTATTACTCAATCACACTTGATCTGAAGGGATAATGAATTAAAGACATATTTTATTCTAATTTACATAGGTAAAACTGCGGGGTACGACTAATAGGTACATGCCTAATTATTAAAACCGGTATTAGCTGTGGCTCGCGACTTTGCATGAGTGTATAAAATGCCTAATTTTATTTAAATTTATTCAATTTTTCTAAGTTTCCAAAATTAACACGCATTTTTTTATACCACAATGTCGTCAAACCAGCGTAGGTACAACCCGTCTGATGAACCACGGCAGGCAGCTCATTCCACAGCCTGTGCGTACGAGGGAGAAAAATCCTTTGAAGCCGCACTGTACTAATGTTCTAGTGTGTGAGAAGCAATTCTCTGTCGATGGCGAGTGATGCAATAACAAAAGTTGGTTGTGAATATAATTTCGAACAATTCCTCAGAACATATTTGCAGTTCAAGACAAAATAAGACGTAGTTTAAGTAACTTTCATTTCTATATCTTAAAATTCAGGTGGGCCGTCAACTTGTTTGCCATTCTAAGTTGTATAAAAAAAATTAGGGAATGTATTTTTTTGTATCGTCTATATCTAGGTATCACTGGTCAGCAATATACTTAAATATAAGTTGTTTTACTAAGCTTCATTTCTATTCGCTGCTCTTGAAAAGTACATTCCTAAAAACTCTACTGATCTTATTCGATGAGTATTATAGTCACAGTGACAAGTAAGCCTGCTTTAACTGTGGTTTTTTACCCAAGGTGAAAATATTAAAAGTTCTGTATAGTAATATAAAAATTACTTACTAGAATTTTTCAAATTCTCATTGATACAATAACAAAAAAGAAACTGTAGGTAACATGACAAATAATTATGATTAAACATCAATCACACAGAAAACTCACCCACGGAAAGAGCAATTAATTCTTTATTTGGATTCGGCTCCACTTGCAAGTTCTCCACTATGCCTCGTATCAGATTATGGGTATTCCTCGCCAACGTAGAAGCGCGAACCTCCCATGACTGTTTGTCCCGTGACCGTCGCGACATCGGCACAAAACTTGCAAAAAATTAAAAGCTGTAGCACCTCTTAAACTTGAATTGTGAATATTGCGCACTTTCCGCTACACCTTAGTTTTGTACCAGAACTGTGGTGTTTGACGAACACAAGCTCCCGAGTAGCGGAACAGGTTTCAAAATGTAGATGAGATGTTGGCGGCAAAGCGTGTTGATTAAACCTTCGTTTTATTTATATTACGTATACTATAATGATTTCATAGGCTTTGCTATTAATATGAATACAAACAAAAATAGATGATAATTATATATTTTTACATTGGAAATTAATATACTTTAACATCCCTTGATATCATTTGATAGTTCCCATCCCCATAAGAATTTTCATTCATAATTCCATTTTGTGAGGAAACCACAGACAATAAATATATGCAATTGTGCTCTAATTATCAATCAATGTATCCTCTTATAAATATGACCCAGATCAGTATAGATAAGTACGAAACTTCTACTTCAAGTTATAATTGCAACCCAAATTTCAGATATATATAACCCTAATAATTTAGCTATGAAAACATTAAATATATAAATGAAGGTATATGAGGCTTTAATTGCTAAAACATTAACTTTCTGAGTTGTGTCATAATATTAAAAATTTAATTGTGACATCAAACCTATTAAATTAATATTGATAACTAATACCAATTGATTATTGATCCTTGACACTTACCTACCCATAACTATTTCTTTGGGGTCAACAACACGCGCGTGACATTTCAGGCAACGTGTTGCAGCCCCGATAAGCTACAGTAACCGTTTACCATCAGACGAGATGTAAACTTATTCGCTACCTTTGTAATATTAAATATTTTAGTTTATACCTAAGTATAACATAACATTACCAAATGCAAATTAATGGGGGGAAGGGATTGTTAGTAATAGGGAGGTTAGCCCTCATTGCTATCAATATACCCTATCAGGTCGACCTCCACGTGGTCCCCTCTGGAAACTATCGTGACTAATTTATCGTTGAATTCGACACAATGGGCTAACTGCCTTTCATCCTCACCGATCATTTCTCACTGGTGCCCCGCCAGTGTGTACTGATAGCGCAGTGCGGGGTTACCATTTCATTATCATCCATAAAAAAATGCAAAATAACGGTATGGAATTATCTGGAGTTCTATTAGTACTTGATCTCTTTATTGTAAGTAAGGTAGATCTTGTTTGTAGGTATTTCATATTATTGAATACAAGCTGGCAATTCACTTAATGTATACCTAGTACCTAATACATGCCGCTAAAGGGGGGAAGGGGATTGTTAGTAATGAGGTTTAAAAACCCCATTGCTATACTATATACTCAATCAGGTTGACCTCTCTGAAAACCATCGTAGTTAATTATTATGGAATTCGACACGATGGACTAACAGACGGAAGATAAAAGCCAGTTTCATCTTCACTGAACATCTCTTACTGGTATATTGCTAGTATAAATACAAAGCACAAGCGGGTTTACCATTCCATTTCTAGTCATAAAAAAAACTGTCGCTAAAAGACATTAAAAATACCACAAACATTACAGCGATGCTCTTGTTCTCACGCCACTCATGTTGTGAGATTCAAGATGCTACGGCTTATATATTAATGATTCAAATAACTTTTTACCCTTCACATTGAAACAACTTACGCAATTTGGACTCATGGCTAATAAATTATTAGAACAACACCAATCCATCGCTTCGTCACAAGTAAGTAACAAGTTGTTGCTGAATGTTAGCACTGCCAGCGCTGTACCAGTTATTGTAAATTACCACAGCTTATGCTGCATTCTGATAGTTGACCACACGTGAGTACGTATACTGCGTCCACGGCCACATTAGCAACTATGTAGATATACATCAGCATATTATATTTTTTTCTCTCGTATAGGGATCCAGGAACTCCGGCCCACAAGTGAGAGTAGTACATCATGAAGAGCCGGACTTGCGACTTATTCAATAAGTCTTTATCTCAGGATACCGTACAGAAGTACCGTTTTGCTCTATTGAGAACGCTTTTTGGACGCCAGTTTGACCCTATTTTCAAAATGAGCAGGGAACTCTACAGTGCTAGAAATGTCAATACCGAGGATCCATATACTTATGGTGATGGTACCGGATGTGTTCTGAATTTGTGGAGCCACAGTTAATGAAGGTTTTTTAGCAATGAACGCGCAAACTTTTCTTATGTAGATGGGTTGAACTGGACTAAATTTAGACATCCTTAATTAGAGACTCTAGTAAGAATACTTTCGATTTCAGACACAAGCTGTTCGCGGTTACTCTCCAAGCGGCCGAGCGAGTGATATTCGCACGGCCTGTGTAGTATGCATCCCCAGTACTATAATCCGCAAACATTAAATGTCAACTGTAACCAGCAAATCATACGGGACACAAATCAGGAGCACATTGCTTTAATACCAATGCTAGTATGCCGTTTGGACCATTCGACTTACTGACATCAAGATATAACAATTTATCTTTTAACGTTAGATACATCTTTTATTTCATCACATTACCAGAAATAAAAAAATGCTATAAAAGTCATCCTGTCTTTTTTTAATGGGTGAAAATGGATTGGTAACCCCGCCCGCGCTATTGGTATACACCGACGAGGCACCAGTGGAAGATGATAAGTGAGAATAAATGCAGGTTAGTTGGCTCACCATGATGAATTCGACAAGAATTAAACATGATGGTTTCCAGAAGGAACCGCGTGGCGGTTAACCTGAGAGGGTATATTGCCAGTAATGGGGCTATTAGACCCCATTACTAATAAGACCCCATTACTAACAATCCCTTTCCCCCCTTTCATCTTCCTGTCTTACATTTCATCGTCATAATTGTATTTTTGCCATGAAGAAACCATCCTTTTATAACTGTGTTCGAGTTCAAGGAATAGGATAGTGTAATTACAGGATACAGAAGCGTAATATTTAGTCCTCAAGAACAATCAAAACATGAACCATTGGCGCCACTGTTTCTTTTGTGGCGTCTATAATGCCGTTTGTGGTTCTAGGCGATATTTTCTTCTTTCAATCGTGTTTACTTGTTCTGTGTTTCAATAAAGTGTGTAGACTGTCAGCTTGTTAGCCTTTCGAAATTTCATCAAAAAAGGACTCAATTTATGTCTATGTACAACCTGTACATAGATAGAAGGAGGAGGGGAGACCTCGATTCGTTGATAGGATATTTGTCCAAATAAGTAATTATCAGGTAATATAACATTTTAATCAAATTTTAATTAAAATTACGTATAATTAAATAATTTCACAATAAATAGTTATTAATTAATATTGCTTTCCCGCATTACGTGGTCACGACAGAAAATTTGTATCCTCATACAAGCCTCGCGTAGTATATGTTCAGGCACAGTAAGTACAATTCTCATGTAATTAGGAAATTGGAAGCACTGAAAATATAAAAATATATTATCATTTATAATTATGTGGGTGCATTTAACTCAAAACTTAGACATTTAACTAATAACTACAAATATTATAAATGTGAAAGGAGTTTTTTTTTTATCTCTGAAATTAAAATTTAATATACACGTACTATTTATAATGGAGAAAAATATAGGCTGCTATTTATTTATTTATATTAGCCAATCAAAATAATTATCCTGGTCACACGAACCAAGTCGCAGATAAAATTTTATGAATAATAATTAACTATAAAACTTAACAGATGTAATCTAATGAATTGTATATAATGAATGTATGTAATGAATGTATTCTAATGAATTTATATTAATTAGCTTATATATGAACGTCATTTTTCTGGATTTAAATAATAATTAGATACTATGCTATGTACGTAATACATACTTGGCCCGGTATACATAGTACAGATTGCTCGCTATACATGCGCTCAATAAATTCCAATTCATCTCTAAACTGAGGAAACACGGACATTTTTATTTCTATCATCATATACATCGCTCCTTGCGGTAAAATTGGATTTAGACCTGGCGCTTGTCCTAGCTCTTCGTAAGCTAATTTGGCTTGACTCTGTAAAGTTGTTAAAGAATTAGTTAATAATAAGTAGGTAATATATACCTAAGTAACACAAAAACTTTAAAAGCCTGTTTCTTGAACTAGGATATATTGACATATAAGAAACAAGACAACGGTTATCAGGAAAACAATGAAACTCGTGCCAATATTCATAACTTAATAAAAAATACTATTAATAAATAATGAATTATATTGAAAAGAGAACACAAACTAAGTATACACTCATTGCTAACTTCGTAATTGCTAAATCAGTAACGTTGGTTGTCAGAAATGCTAAAAAAATTTTATAGTGTCAAAATTTTGGCAAATGCAATTCTTGTAATATTGGTAATGGATAAAATAACGTACCTTACTAAAAAAATATTATTGAATGAAAATCTTCATGCTTTCTGAAGTAATATCTTAAAAAATCACTCTACGCCGTCTTACGATAACTAACTTTAGTATCTTTATAATTGGTGACAGTTTCAAATGTAACTTTTATATGTGAATTTAATTTTGAGGTACTTTTGTAAATTAAATCTTTTTCTAATAACAGCATCCAATCATTTGGCCACGGAAGTTATTAAAATCATAATTAACATGATGTTACTTGTTACTAAATACTAAGCATAGCTACCTTCTTTAGAAAGTTAGTCAATATCTACTGTTATAGCTGTTTATTTAACTTGTGGTGATAATAGATTATCTGGCTGGTTTATTGTCTAAGAAAAGTTATTAACCAAGTAAAAAACAGTATGTTATAAGAACTCACCTCAATGAACGACATCACACTATCAAAAAAGCTTTGCGGTACAGATTTCAATATTGTTGGCAAAGCGTGTTGGATTAATTTGTTCGGTCCTAGTAATCTTCCTGCTAAATTTCTCAAGCCTTTACGTATCTCTTTATTAAAAATATCTTGTCTGTCATGAATAACTAACCAGCCCATTCGCCATCCAGGTACTAAGAACCGCTTGGTAAGTCCACTGCAGACAAGTATTGGCACATCCTTGGATAGAGCCGCTACCGAAGTAAATTTATTTTCAAATATGACAAATTTTTCATATATTTCATCAGCTATAATGGGTAAACGGTATTTCAATGACAGACGCAATATGTCCTCCAAATGTTTCTCTGTATACACAGAACCACAAGGGTTCGAAGGGTTCAAGAGAATTAACGCAGAAGTCTTGTCATCAATTTGATCCTCTAAATTCTTCAAATCTACTTCCCAATTTTTTTCAGGCTGAAACCAAATGTATAACTTAAACATTTCGATATTCTGAAGTAATTTATATGGTCAATAGAAATTTACAATAATTTAAGATTATGTTCCACAAAATAAACTAACTTCGACTCTAACAAAACCAGTTAATTTAATTTAAAAACTAAACTATTGAGTCGATTTTAATCAAATTTTTATAGTACTAATCTGTAAGTAGGTATATCCTTTCGTATTACTTACTTACTTTCGAATTACTTTTCGTAATCGATTTACAATTACCGGATATATAACGTAACAAACAATATTTTTTATTAAAACCATAGAAACAGAAAATTGTCTAACCAGACATTTTTTGAAAATTTGCTTTTTGTATTAATACGAGTATTTAAAATCTCGTAAAAAATTTGTCAAGTAGATTACCTACCTATACTTATTGTTACTTGTCATTTTTAACAGAACTAGTACAGATCTAATTCGAGGGCACGGCTTACTAACAAGCCTTATTGTCTGCAAATCAACGTTTAGGTAGATAATTGACAAACTATTAAACAGTTCTTTCTACTGTGCTATTATAGCCAGTAATTGTAAATTATTCTGAATTTCTATTAATAATTATTACCTACTTTATAGACGTCATTTACGTATTTATGCAAACTTCAAAGCCAGACAACGCAACTGATAACAATTAAGCGTTTAATGTAATTCATTTTATACATGTACAAAAAGATAAACTAACAACACTTAACTATTGTAACTATAACGTCATGTCGATATCTACAAATTAAAAATGTAAATGGAAAACATAAGACGAAAAATAGCTTTATATTATACTTCAAAATAGGATGTGTAGAACAGATCGATTTGCAGAGTTTATTATCTATTTATTATTTATTCTGTTTAGTTCGGAGTTTAAAATAGCGCTGAATTATCATTTTACTTAATGTGAAAGTTTGTAAAAATATCTGGATGTTTAAATATATGGATGTTTCTTACTTTACACTTAAACTTGATTACTATGCCCAATCCCTCTGCTATGTGAATTAAATTTGGTACATGTATAAATTATATACCAACAAAACGGATAGTATATTTTATTTGCTGATTCATACAAGTAAATAGTGTATTCGAATGGTGCCGCAAATTATCATGTAGGTACGTTATTAAACAGTAATCTAACTCACCAATAGATTATAGTAATTATATATTCTATATAAGATAATAGTACTATTAATAATAACTATTATTATAAATACCTATACTGCTATTGTCTATTTGTAAACAACATATATCCACCAAGCTTCTCTTTATTTTTATCAAGAATATTCTGTCCTGGTTCAATGCAAGCACTGTTATAGCAATCAGGTTCAATGTCGTGTGCCCACATCCGTGGGCCAATACTATCAAAATAACATCATCCGGTGAGATTGCATTTCATTATCACCTACATATTTAAAAATGAAAAATAAGAGATAATCTGTTTGAAAATAAAAAAAATTATTGTTTAGGTAACAAAATTGTACATCCCAAAAATTTCATTTTCATATATTTAAAAAAGCTGCCAAATTTCGCCAAAATTTAAATTCGGACCAATAAAAAATCTACTCTCATTGACATCTATGCTATCTCGAACAGCTTGTAGTAACTCGTTTGGCGGAATGAGATTTCCAAAAGCAGTAGGATCACCTGAAATATTCATTTCATGTTTTCGGTATCTATATACTCGTAAACGTCACTGCGCTCGGTGTATGACCAAGACAGTGGCAACAACTAAATGTATCGCTAGTATAGAAGATATATAATTTGCTATATAGAAAAAAGTATTTAATAGTATTAAAAAAATTATATTGATTATATATTCAGAACAAAATATATAAGTAATAATATGTCATGTCTAATTAATAATAACAATGTTTTTTGTAACTGCGATTATTATAAAAATAAACTTCCTATCACTGTGGTCAAGTTGTTAATTACGTTTAATAAATATTAAAAAATCAAAAAGCTAATATATATTAATAAATACAAAAGCGCGATAAAAATAAATTATTTGCTATTTTAATCCTGATTATCTTTAACCACTAATTAATATTTTATCAGAATATGAACAATTTTTCTTTATTTTTATCGAGAAATATTTTGTTTGATTTAAGACAAAAAAAATATCGATTTCGATGTTCAAAGCTTATTCTAAAATTTTTAAAAAAGTTTGTATCACTACTATATTTTAATAAACAAATTAAGAAACAATTGTTATAAATAAAGAAACTGGAAGATCTAAAATAGCCTCATTTATTAAATTATGATAATAAATTAATCAACAACAAAAGATGTCGAAGATTTTTTTGCCTTCACGATTGATATTACATCTTCTCTGGACTCATCATTTCATATCATAAAAATATTCAAACAGCTAAATTTAAAAAATACGGAAGACCTTTGTGTCTGTAAAAGTAGTTAATTCTTTCATAGATATTTCCATATCAAGCACGTATTGATAATGCGTTTTTCCACATTTAATGAAATTTAGCAAATTAATCCCACTATTTAAATCAGATAAATTTGAGCCAGGGAACTCACCTATATCTATTTTGCACTTCATTGATAATGTTAAATCAAATGTTACAACACTTCATTAACGGACTATCACAGTCAGTATGGTTTCACCGCTGGCAAGTCTACCATTGCCATTTCATTATCACCTACATATTTGAAAATGAAAAATAAGAGATAATCTGTTTAAAAATAAAAAAAAAAAAAATTATTTAGATAACGAAATTGTACATCCCAAAAATTTCATTTTCATCTATTTAAAAAAGTCATGTTTATTTCCTATTGACTACGCCAAAATGGGTACTAAGTTCACTACATAATAAAAAATAAACACTCACCAAGAGAAAGAGGTATAAATTTCTTATTGGGATTCAGTATCGCTGGCATATTTTCAACAATATTTCGTATTAGATTGCGAGTATTCCTCGCCATCGTAGAAGCGCGAATTGTCCATGGTTTATCAATTGTTCGAGGCAACATAATTCCTATATTCAAGTCATTTATGAAAATAATGAAGTAGAGAGTTTTAAAAAACTAGCATCGTTTAGAATATAAATGCGACTCGTTTTATAACGTTTACTAAACTCTAGATAAAATCTGACAAGGTCCAAATCTTATATTAAACAATTTTTATGAAATTCATTGACGAGATGACAACATATCAAAATGATTATGTAAAAAAATTCAATTTAATTGATTTAAATAGATACCTAGTAAAATGGACATATAATTACATTACAGTGTTATATGGTCGGAATCGGTGGTCTTTGACTATCTACGCTACTACGATTCCGAATACGAAGGTAGTGAAGAGGTAAGTCCTCATTACTAGCAATATATCAGGTCAGGTCGACCTCTACACAGTAGGAGGAAGGAATTGTCAGTAATTGGGAGTTTAGTACCCATTACTATCAATATACTCTACCAGGTCGACCTCCACGCGATTCCCCTTGGAAACCATCGTGATTAATTTATCGTTTAATTCGGGACGATAAACCTGCCTTTCTATCTTTATCAATAATCCCTTACTTATGCCCCACCAATGTATGCCAATAACGCAAGCGGGGTTACCATTGCATTTTCATCCATTAAAAAACAAAAAATCTTCACACAATACCCTCTGAAAACCATTGTGGGTAATTCCTAATAAAGTCGCCACGATAGGCTGACTAAACTGACTTCATATCATCTGTCACTTGTGCAATTTATTACGTTTTCATGAATTAAAAATATATTTCGCAAAATATATTTTACATATCATCAATCTATCTTCTATTAGATTTTCTTATAATACTCAAATTACAAACAAGCTGACGGCCCACCAGAAGTAAAACGGTAGCTGTCGCCTATAAACATGAACAAGACCATGGACGTCACAGAATACATTGTGAATGTCAATAACTCTCATGCTTTTTTTTTAATGATAATGGAATGGTAGCCCCGCCTGCGCTAACAGTATACGCTGGCGGGACACCAATGAGGGATAACAAATGAGAATGAAAGAGCACGTCAATTAGCCCATCGTCATGAATACACCTGGAATTCACCACGGTGGTTTCTAGGGAACAACGGGGAAGCCGACCTGATAGGGTATATTATTAGCAATTAGTTACCAGTCCCATGCGTAGGGGGGGGGAAGAGATTGTTAGGAAACAATCCCTTCCCCCCCACACACACACATACGTTGCGAATCCTGAGGACTATGGTGTTACACCTTCGTATTACGTATACCTGCAAATACAGTTACTTTATAGCAGAAAAATTAATGGAACAGAGGTATAGATGACTTTTGATTATTTTTTTTTCTCTGTTGAAGGTAAAAAATCCAATCTTCAGCATCAGAATAAAGATAAAGAAGATAATTTAAATTAATTAAGATATTACTGCGGTTGATATTCTGTCTGAGATTGCTCTTTTTTTTGCTTTTAAAATAAAAGTAGATAAAAGGGTTAAATTAAACAATGGACTTTATTGATTTATTATAAACATTTTACTATGCAGTTTAATCCTCATCGGTGTACTTATTCATCTGAAAATATTATATTTTAATCGTATTTACATCATACTGTCAACAAAACAACATGTTATTGTACTTTTGCATAGGTATTTGCATATTATGTTCTTGTTATTATTTACGCACATTGGTAATGTTTTTACATAGTCAAACATAACAAATATTTACCTCGACGCGTATCTATTATATTAGAGTCCTTTGCTTAATACCTTAATAAAGATTTTAATACTATGTAGTAAATTTTCATGAATAAAAAGTAAACATCTATTGTCGCTAAGTATAATCCCTAAGGCAGTGCTCAGAGGCGTTGACAACCTCGGTGATCAAGGAGAAAGGGATTGTTAGTAATGGGGTCAAATAGCTCCATTACTAGCAATATACCCTATCAGGTTGACCTCCACGTGGTTCCCTCTAGAAACCATCGTGGCTAGTTCTAGTTGAATTCGTCTGGATGAGCTAACTAACCACTTTCATCCTCATTAGTCATCTATCATTGATTCCCCGCCATTGTTTGTATACCGATAGCGCAGACGGAGTTACCATACCATTATCACCCATTAAAAAAAATCTCGGTGATCCAGCGGTATAATACATTGCCCCACGTACCGATGGTCATAGATTTAATCCTGCACATTTAATATTTGTATGACTATTTGTTTGTATTGATCTAGGTCATAAAGTAAAATATTACAAGAATAATACCTATAATAATTCTCTAAAATTTATTGATCTTAGATAAATTACTATCCCTGATCTCTGTAGAATAATCAATAAGGATAGCGCCTGCGGTCTTTTTCTACGATTCGTTTGAAATGACAATTTGATTGACATTGTCAGACAGTAACTGATAGACTGACAGATAAATTCATAAATTAAATTCCAGACAAATTATCTCTTTGAATTCGGAACAAACGTAAAAAAAAAAAAAAAATCATAAATTAAAATTATTTTGACCAGAAATACACAAAATTGTGCAATTAATACATTAAATAAAATGAAAATAAACAATCTTTTTAGACATTTAAATAAGTATACCAGAATGTACACGCTTAATTCAAGATTACATTCAACAAATGTCGTCTCTAGTGATGCTGTTAATTACTGTGCAAATATTGTAAAGTAAGTGCTTGTAATTTGAATAAGTTAAATGGAAATTCAGAAAAAATCAGGTGTCTGAACCTAGAAGTTATTGTGTAATTTTCTGGTACTTTGTGTTTTATTTTACAGATAGACAGCATGACTACGAAAACTTTTTGGCAACGTTACTTATGACAAAAATGATTCGTTCACCGACACTTGTAATTAGAGCTTTTAACGTTGAAGTAGCTCGTATACAGGATCAAACTACCGATGTACAAACTGCAGCATTCAGACTGCAGTTTTGGCAAGATACACTTAAAGATATTTATAAAAGTGATCAAAATCTCCGAAACATACCAGCCAATCCAGTAGCTCAGGAATTATTTAAAGTAAGACCAGTAACTAGTTATTTTATTGAATGATTAAAAATAGACTATAACATTCCAGAACTTATTACACAAAACTAAATTTGAGGAACCTACTTTTAGATTTTTTTAATGAATACAATAAAGATTAATGGGGTATTGTTAATAAGTTATATTATAGAAAGGCACCATTGTACCTTTTTTTATCATAATACCCTTTATTCTAGTATCTTGGTGATGTCAACCATAGCCTTTAGTAGTTGGGATTTTTTTTAATATAAAAAAAGGGGGATTCCAATTTCCTCTTTAATAATAATTATTTATTGCATGATAAACATAAAAATGTACAATGTTAATTAGATAGTTAAAGTGAGCTACAGTTGCATAAAGTACAATTTATATTGAATGAGAAAAAAGTCTGCATTACCATCAGTCCCTAAACTAGGCCAGAACTTGGGGATTATGAGGGCATTTACCTAATGTTTAGTACATAAATATAGAAAATAAAAGATGGTTTAAGCATTAATAATATATCAGAATCATTATACTTTTTGTTTCCAACAAGGTTTGCTGCTGCTATAATTTGCCCAGGAGGTATTTAGAAAAACTTATAACATCAAGGAGCAACATAATGAAATCTAAATACTTCCGTAGCTTAGAAGATCTAGAAAGATATTCAGAAGATACAGTATCCTCCATATATTACCTTATTTTAAGTGTAGCTGGAATTCAAAATGTACATGCAGATCATGCTGCGTCACATTTAGGGAAAGCACAAGGACTTGCCAATGTATTGAGGTAATTTTACTTACTCATTTTTAATTAACTACTGATTAATGTCAAAATTTCCAATTTTGTTTATTAAAAATCACTTTGTTACAGATCAATATTTGTTTCAAACCATCACAAAATGGTATCATTACCCATGGATATTCTCATGAACAATGGAATTAGTCAAGAAACTGTATTAAGGGGCATTGATAGTGAGAATATGAGAAGTGTTAGTTTTGAAGTTGCAAGCAGAGCAAATAGTCATTTACAAAAGGCATGTATTTATTTTTACTATGTATTTATTAATGAAATCTTGAAAATGTTTATTCAAATAATATTTTTTTCTACTCTTTCAGGCCAGAAGTATTACGGTACCAAAATTGGCTAAACAGATATTTTTACCAGCTATATCTGTCAATGCTTACCTTACTAAATTACAAAAGTGTAACTTCAATGTATTTGACAAATCTTTAGCCTTAGGAAGTGCTACTTTGCCATTCAGTCTTTATTTCAACAGATTATTGAATAAGTATTGACTGTTATCTAATTATGTATATAGAAAAAAGCCATTATTTCGTCATTAAAAACACTTTAATGTACCTATTTAATATTATAACTGAATAAATAAATTACAATTGTCAAAATGGGTATTTTTTATATGAATACCACAACTAGTCAAAAGTAAAATGTTATGATTTTTATAATAATACTAAGGGCCCTGAACATATAGCTCTATTCAAAAGCCACAAAAAACAAATCAGTTTTAATATGGTCTTTCCCAATTTGTCATGATCAACATATGACCATGATCACTTATTAACATTTATTAACCCCAGTCTAGTAAAGCAAGATATTTTCTTTAGTGGTTTCTTCTATTTTTTATTTATTATAATTATTTTAAATGTAATAAAAATAATCTTCAATATTTAAAATCTTTAAAAACAAGTTATACTAAAAGTACATGAGACATGAAGGAAACACTAGGTGTCATGTCATATAGGGAGGTGAAAAGATATAGCCTGGAATAGAATTGTTTGGAAGATAATACATGAATTAGATGTCCCAACATGATAAACTCTTAAATAAAAAATAATAAAAAACCACTAATATCCTTTCTAGTTACAAGAATCCATTAAGTGGATTTTTATCAGCTCCCATTTTCACGAATAGTTGTTAATTTGTTCGGGAATTGATTTTAGGCAAGTGAATTACAAAAAGACATACATAAAAAGTGACCTAGACTGTGTCAGTATTATTATTCAAAATTAAAAATTAGATTTGCCCTACTAAAATAATCACTAAAATTAAATAACTGTATTGTACTCATTACTTATTTCCACCAAACTGCTCGCATTGAATCGAATCAGAACCGATTTTACAATCTTTAAACGATATTAAATCGTGTACACAGTAGTCTATATTACCAAGCCGCGCACAGCATCTTAATCGCGGGCAATTTTAGCCAAAAATATGCTACGATGTACGAACGACTCCGTTCGCCTGTCGTCGTATCCGATCGAATTCATTCGGCTGTCATCACGTGCGTCCAAAGCCGTGGCCAAGTGAAACCACTCATTTTCTTTTCTTTCGTGTTTTATGATTATTTTCTTCTTCCAATACAACAGTTAACAATACTACGTCAACTTCAACAATTTTAAAAAATTAAAACACATTAATACTGTAAAAATGAAACTGTTTGACTAGGTGCAAAAACGGATATATTCACAAGCGACGGTCGGAGCCGATCGCATACATCGGCATGCTGCCGAATGGGATTGGGTATCGCCGAATACGTTCGTATCCTTTCTGAACTGACACAGTGCAGTTTGTTGAAAATCATGCCTTACTGAATAGATTAGACACAAAGTAACCTTCTTATTAAATTATTTGTTCCATAAACACATTCATTAAACACATATTTGCCCCATTAACCATTTTATGATTGTCTTATTTTTCTAAATGTCACTATACTACAAAGAGGATAAAATAAAACATTTTGTTTATGTAGAAATAATTGCACTGTTTACTTTCAAGCTTCTTCATGCAAATAAATACTTATAACAAATTGAGATTCAAGCAACATGTTTGGCAACCTGAGTACCTAATAGTACCTTAAATAGCTAGCTACAAATAAGGTTACAGTGATATAAATTCACTCAAAACTTAAATTATTGTATACATTATGTAGTCTAAAGAATAACAATGTGTGTGTATGTACTTAGAAAAGATGTACTTGATCATACTACCATTCATACCAACTATTTCTCCTAAATATAACATGCTTCTTTTATTACTTAAACTCAATTATGTATCAAAAATATAATTGAATAGTTATTACATACAGATATTTATTATGCAATAATGAATCATTTTTTTGCTTTGGTTACATAGAATCCAAATTCTTTGGTAGGTATGCTACTTGTTGAATAATCGTTTGTATACTTTGTAAGACTAACAGAGGAATGTAATAAAAACTGTTCACACAAAAAAATATTTGAGTTCTGTATAAAACAATGAAAAATATAATATCATTTTTGTCATAAAAGTAAACTAATCTTTTGTGCCAACACTAGCCAACTCACATATAATTGTGGAACAAAATAATGAGAGTTGAAATTATAAGTTTGAATGAAACTGAAACCTAGTCAACTAAAAATAAACCAACAAAGAGCATCATTATTCATATTGGTCATGATCTCAAGTGTTTCAAATACTAGTCATTACTGTACTTTCATAATTGTGTTCTTACTGTAATATAAATAATTTAAATTAAATATTATTAACAGTATTATTTAAATTAAGTAACTTTTAAATATAAATTAAAGTAACAATGCCAAAATATAGTTTGTAACATTAGATAACTGTAGTACATTTTGTTCTCCTAACTCCTTCATAGCTGCATAAATAACAAGCAAACAAGAATTGTCATTGAAGTATCAAACCCTGTGAATTGTTGATATGTATATTGTCCCTATGTTTTAACACCATCATAATTTTAATCTGTTTTTTTTTATTTGTTCTAAACTATTCGTTATGTGGTGAAAGTAAAACATACGGGATAATATTGACAATAAGATACTACAATTCTTTTTTTTTTTCAGAAATAATAAGGTGAAATTAGTTGTATAAACACAGCCAATTTAATAAAATCTAATTTGGAATGTAAAAGTTCATAAGTTAAAATATATTCTAAATGCATACTTAAGCCTATGATAAAAAAGCTATCTGTAAGTACTGTATAATCACAATCAGTTTGCTGCATAATAAAAAGCCACCACAATTAATATATAGTTTTCACATTATTCAGAAGGTGTTAAATCTTTTTCGGGTTCACCTTCAGACAACAGCTGCTGTAATAGGTCATATATTGGTTCGAAAGCCTTACGACATGCTGCGTTCGTTGGAGTTAAATAGTCATGCATATCATGATGACTAATGGTACCATCAGTTTGTATGAAACCTTTATCTATTGACACCATTTCAACTTTATTCATATTTAACACTTTCTCACGTAGTAGCTGATTTATCTTAGAATTTTTTTCTCTTAACGCATTTGGATGCTGTCCTCGTGGAAGAAGACTCTGAAATTATATAATATTTATTTATATAAACTTATTAAGTATCAGCTTTAATATTTAACAATAATATATGTCAAAATATTAATAACATGATGATGTAATACTTACAGGTAATACTATATAAGCACTTGGGTGTTTCTCCCTTATGGTTGTTATTATTTCTAAGATTCCTTCACAAACTTGCTCTGGAGTATAATCAACATTATTTGTTCCAACATGTACAACTATTACCTATTAAAACAATATTAAGAACAATAATTACTTATGTGTAGTAGTGTGTGTACATAATATTTTTTTAGATAGGATATTGGATAGGCTGAGAGAAATAGCAGTCTTCTATTCTAACTACAACTTTTTATACTGTCTTATCAAGAAATATTATAAGAGACAAAAAAAAAAACATTAATTATCAGACCATCATAGGAACCATTCACAACATAAACAAAACTGAATCTAGATAAATTTAAAAAATAGATATACTGGAGTGGGTGGCAGCTAGATTTATTATAGTGAGTATTAATACAGAAGTTTATTAATTATTGTGTTTAATCAAGAATACCCTGTATTATAAGATACCAGATAAGCATCTGTAAGAAATTCAATGTTTTTTATTTATATTTGATTTTTAAGACATAAAGTCTAAAATTACTATAATTATCTTAACATTTACTCATACAATAATTAAGTTAATGACCCTATGGATGGATAGTAGTGGGAGATTATATACCATCACCATCTCCTAATACCATACCAACTGGTAATACTATCCTTGGCAACAAACATATCATACTTCTACTTAAATTTATTATAAAAGTATCAGGTACTTATAGGGAGTATATGCATGAACATTATACATAAAATATTAAGAGCATTTATAACAAAATAGTATAGTAACATCACAATTAACTATCAATTTTCAAAATCAAATCAACATTTTTCAATGTTTCTGATTATCTATTTGAAAAATTCTCTGCTAGCAAAATAAAACATTAATCATGTAATAATATTCTAATTTGGCTATCACAAAAAACTTGGATTTTACTTGGTAGATTTAAATGCAATGTATTCTATGATTAACACTTTACTTTTGTGTTTAACAGTTTAAAAACATTAAAAAAAGTTAAATATTTTCTCAAAATTAATAGATAATTGCAAGATTGCAACACTTTAATAAGCAAGGGTTAAGAACACTCCTTAAAAAAATTTAGTCATTCTACTACCACATTGCTTACTCAAGAACAGGTATTCCCATGTTTTACTTCAAGGGTTACTTTTGCACTTGCTTTGATTAACTATCTGCAATATTTTTGATGTTCTCACTCTCACCTTGTTACATATCTACTACTGTGTTATTTTATAATGCATATACACTCACTTTTGGGTCAACATGATCGAGTTCCCCATTTTTTATACGCCAAAGAACATTCTGAGTTTGATCTTTGTGAATACTAAAATTAAGGCAGTGAAGTGGAGCAAACCACTGATTCCAAACTTCAGTGTGTTCTAAAGCTTGTAGTATAGAATCTCCAATAAAAATTACATCTGCGTCTTTTCCTTTGGCATCCGACAGGAACCTATTGTGCTGCAAATAGAAAACAATATTATAGACTTATATTCTTAATATTAGATACCTACGTACATATATCGATATACCCGTAAAGATAAATCAAAGATAGATATTACGAAATTGAAAGAAGTTATATTTAAGTTGAAGTTTGATATTCTTTTAATATTCTAAAAAAATTACAGCAAAAACGACGGTAACGAAATTCATAAAATTTGTATAAATATTCAATTCACCGATCACTCACAATGCTGTTCCATCGACCATCACCTTCCGAATCTTGCTGAGGTGCAGGGACAGAACAGGGATTCATTATAACAAATTTAAATTTGTGAATCTCTAATACATTTATTTTTTTACAAACAAAATGGATAAAATTAATAGCTGGCAAAAAAGAAATTACTACGAAATACTACGATATAAAATCTGTACTCGAAAGCTTGGCGGTTGATAGATAGTTGTCACTGTCTAATCTGACACTGTCAGTTTCAAATTTATCTGTCCATAGACGGGACTTGCATTCCTTAATCTATGTTTCAATCATACATAGGTAGGTAGCGAGAATGAAGTCATTAGTCATCATTATGAAATTTGGACGAATTTTAAAATACTAAGACAATTTGCTTGTAATATACAAAACCTGACTGACCGTGTCGCATATGCAGATTCAACAGTGCAATGCACTAGTAAGTGTACGCGTCTGCTTGTGACAGATTGAAATATGTCAAATATTCGGTTCCTGCGTGATGTATCGTCACTCAAGACTAAAGACTTCACTTAAGATAAACAACCATGAAGGATTTGCATTTAGGAACAATTTCATCCAAGTACTATTCTTAACTTATGCACTTAAGAATAATGTCATTCTATGATCGACAAATCAGATACTTATCAGTCAGTCAATTGTCAATCAAATTAATTAAGCAGTCAGTCAATTTAATGTCAAAGATTAACTTTGTAATATATTTTACTTTTTGGAAAATTTTATCAATTTCCATACAATGTTCATCATTCGAATTTATAATTTAAATAGATACTTTCACTCCTTCTGTGATACTTAATTATTTGATTGGAATCAAATAAACTTTCACTTGTACAGAGAGTACATTTTCTGCTGAAAAATCTAATACGGAATAGGAAATCAGCGTAAGCCATAATTTAACACTTCCATTTTGGCAGTATTTAAAGGTAAATAATAATATTAATGAAATTATAATATTCAATATGACATCTGAAAACAACAACGAAGTAGATATGGTAATATCCTTAGAAAGTAAACATAGAAAGGAAAAGAAAGAACTTCAAGCTCAAATTCAAGCATTAAAGAAAGCTGCTAAAAATGATAAAACAAAGAAAAAAGAATTGACAGCAGAAATAGCCCGCTTAGAGTTAGAACAAGATATTCGTCATAAGGAAGAAATGGAAAACATTAAAAACGAATGTAATAATTCTATTGATATATCTTCTAATCAATGTGAACAGAATGGTGAAAATTATATTACTAAAAATAAAGTATCTAAAGCACAGAAACGTAGAGAAAAGAAATTACAAGAGGAAAGAAAGAGAGAAGAACAAATAAAGCAGCAGGAGAAAGATAACCTATATGGACCCAGGAATACAGAAATTCAGACAATTACTGCAAAACTGAAAGAGAGAAATCTTAAAATATTTTCTATACCATCTGATGGAGACTGTTTATACAAAGCTGTGGCACATCAATTAGCAATAAAGAAACAACAGTCTATTTCTGTTGAAGAGTTAAGGAGAAATGTTGCTACTTACATCAGTAATAATAAAGATGATTTTCTACCATTTATGAGTAATTCTGATACATGTGAAATGCTCACCAACGAAGAATTTAATGACTATTGTAATAAAATATCTAGTACGAAAATGTGGGGCGGCCAATTAGAAATAAGAGCTTTATCAAACTCATTAAAATGTCCAATTAGCATAATACAAGCTACAGGTCCTGACTGTATTGAGCAGGGAACAGAATTTGGTGATGATCCATTGATTATTGCTTATCATAGACACATGTATAGTTTGGGTGAACATTATAATTCAACATGTGTTAATGATGATTCAGATATAGAAGATAGCAATAAATAAAAATATCTAGATATTTGTTATTCTTTTCAAAACCCTATATAATGTAATGAACTGCTTTAATTGCACAAATTAACATTTTTCAAAATTATAATTTCTAATAATAGATCATATAAAACTGAAAATTGAAACTAGATTTTACATTTTTCTACATAGCTCTTCTTTATATCCTCTACATTTTTCCATTATATATTTATACAAATTATAAAAAAAAATTGTAATACTGTATTTATAGAGGAATATCATAATATTAAAATGATTAAAAGATATAGGTATTTTTCACTTTATTGCTAAAAAAGCAAAACATTGTAAAAGAAAGCTGAATTGTGTTAATTTTCTTGCATAATTAAATAAACATTTTGAAGTTATGAATTTAGTAAGGAAATAAGATATAAATTCAATTATACTAATATACAGTTAAAGTTATTTAAATATCAACACATTATATATAAAGGCATATTTATTCAAATAAAAACTGGAAGTGGAAATATAAGAAGCAGAAATAATCAGCTTAAAAGTCACTTGGTAGTCTTTTAATCTACCAATATATAAGGTAATCCTATAATTATTACAATAATTTAAGGTGTGTAGTAAATTTTAATAATAAAATACATAAATGAAGCAAGTATTGTCTACTATTCACTTATGTGAACATATTTTTTTTAAACGCCATTTTGTATAATAGTTGTAGCCGGAGATTTTTCATCTTCATTGTGTTTATTAGGGTCATCTGGTTTCATTGCTGGGAATAACAACACCTCCTGGAAAAGACAATATAAAATATTCTCTTAATGAATAAAAGTAATAAAATAATAGTCTTCAATATTTTTGTGAAAATTAGGAAAACTAGAAGAAATAAAGCTAAAACAATAGAATTTTTATATAATGAATGGTCTGTTTGTTACATTATTAGATAATGAGAAATAACATGATCTCATAAGAACATTGCAATAGCATTGAAATTACCATATGTCGCATTCAACACATTGTAGTCTTGCAACTGATGACAGCTTCACTATGCTAACCACCAGACATTAAAATTTAAAAGAACTTGTGGGTAAAATCAAATATTAAAATTGATTGATTGAAATGCACCTCTACTTATAGATCAATGATGTTATTTGATTAAACTAAAATGGCTGAACGTATTTAAATGTAATTTTGTACATTCACTAACAATTTCTTGAACCTACAGTATAAATTTATCTTATTTCACATGAGCAAATCTGTGTTTTGATCTATTTACTGTGAAAGTTACAAACAAGCTTATAGCCTACCAGGTTAATAAGCAGTTATCGTAAACTATGAACACCCAATACTGGGAATAACAATCACATTGACTACACTATTAACAATCTTGATATCCTACTAATACTAGAAAGTAAATTTGTAAGAATAATAACTCTTTTATGGTTAAACAGCTGAACAGATTTGAATGAAATTTGGTATATAGGTAGAATATATACAATATACATAAAATACTTTATACATTCATGAATATTGGTAAAGCCGCAGGACACAGCTAGTTATTGATATAGATGGTGAATAAAGTATTTACCTCAACATATTTGTAACTATGATTAGTCAAAAATATCAAGGGACATACACCTTACTTACTTGCCATTATATAATCCGTGTCTGGCAAATATGAACGCACAAAACGCGTAAGTTTAAAACTAACCTTGATGTTGTTAGAATCCGTGAGAAACATAGTGAGACGATCAATGCCTAAACCCCAACCACCAGTGGGTGGTAGACCATATTCGAGAGCAGTACAGAAAGCTTCATCTGTAGGTGGAGCTTCATCATCTCCAGCCGCACGATCTTTTGCTTGCTGTTCAAAACGTTCCCTTTGAGTTGCAGGGTCATTGAGTTCTGTATATGCATTACAAACTTCTTTCTTCATTATAAATAATTCAAACCTGTTTAAAAAAATATATTAAAATTTACAAAATAGTAATACTTGTATCTACAAAACACAATCATTTTAACAAAATTAATCTATTTTCACTTAATAAAAATATTATATGACATTAGTGTGGGTTAAAAACTAAACAATACAAAGTAAAAAAAAGGTTTATTTATTTGTCTCATTTTTTTATGCAACTTAGAGTGGCAAACAAGCTGATGGCCTAACTGATGGAAAGTGGTAAACGTCGCCTATAGACATAAACAGTACCATGATACCCCCATGCGTTGCCATTCCTGAGGACTAAGGTGTTAATTTTCTGTATTCTATAAATTCACAGGCATGTCCCACCCTTTAAACCGAAGTACAGGCACGCAAACACGACTGCTTTACAGTTGAAACACGAACAGTTGGCACACAGGTATCCAAGTAAACGACTTTTGTACAAAGTCTTCCTGTCTCAAATAAAAACTGGAAGGCAATTTTAGTATATTTTTAAAAAATTGAAAGTAAAATTATGTCAAAAACTTATTAATGTATTACAGAATTGCAATTATGTGGATACTTCCTGCAAAATAAATATTATTTAGATTTTCAACTATGTTGAGGAGAATATATAAAAAATACAATTTAATTGAGAACTCCGGCCTTTTTTTAAATCGGTTAAGAAAAATATTTACTGGACTAAAACCCAGGTAAACAAAAAATCATGAGACATTTTGTTTTTGGTGAACATTTATTTGTTCAAGTGCTTAGGTATATTATTTTTCTTAATGTCAGTTTATCATTGCTGGAGAGATAATGGCGTATTAAAATTGACTCGCACAGTTTAGTATCAGTCAAAATCAAATATGCAACCCAGCTTGTTAATCAGAATTGTACCACTAAGTTCGACAATCTTATTATTGCATCAATAGATAAGAAATTACTCTATTGCCCCTATTAAAATTAAAACTAAGTAGGTATTCTCTATTAATTTACTTAATTAGGTATAGATAATTATATAAGACATTTTACTTAAGCCTTTATTACTCCAGTAAGTAAATATTTATTTATTCATAGTATCTACGTAGTTAAGTTTCTTAAATAAAGCAGATGTAAGATTCAATAACTAAATTATTTTAAGTTAAATTGGTATTCTAAAACATGCGATTTCTATTTACTCTGGAAATGAATCACAATAGTTAACCACATGGAGAACGACCTGACAAGATATATTACTAGCAATGGGACTAGAAGTGCGCATTACTAATAAACCCTTCCCCTCAATGAAAACTGTTTGTTTTAATAGCTGATAATGGAATTGTACCCCGCCTGCGTTAACGGTATACGCTAGCGGGGCACCAGTGAGAGGTAATAGTTGAGAATGAAAAGGCAGGTCAGTTAGTGATCAATACACCTGGAATTCAGCACAATGGTTTCCAGGAGTAACCGCGAGAAGATCGATCTGACAGGCTGTAATGCTAGCAATGGGGTTACTAATTCCCGTTACTAAAAATTATTTATATTTATAATAAGTTTTGGAGGAAACAATAAAGAGTATCTATCTATCTAAAAATCTTCTCCCCTCAATGAAAACAGGTTAGTTGGCAGATTGTGATAAATAAAAATTGACTACAAAGATATTCAGGGAATCCGCATGCAGGTCACTCTAATATGGGTGTATTACTAGCAATAGGACTTTGATATCTCATTAATAGCAATAAAAATATTTATTATACTTGAAAAGTAAAGTATAAAGCAACAACACATTTGAATACCTACCTGATCTGTAGGTACACATTTCAAATTATTGTGTTAATTTTGATTACATTCCCATTATTTTCCTTATCACCATAACTACATAATGATTGATATTAGCTAGATGTCAGTTAAGTATTTTTCAAATATGTAATTTTTTTCTTATAGATAAGTATTACTATCATTGGATTGATCTAATCACTACAGCACACAGAGAGGTATGTTGTAGATTAAATTAATCCTTCACTTTTCACTTATTGGTATAATCATAGAAAAAAAGAGTACTGCTTTATCTATGGTATAATAATGTTGGTTCCTAAATACCTAAATTGATACCAAGTTATACTTACTAGCTTAAACTGTGACTTGATTTTTTTTTTTTAATTAATAACCTAATTATATAATCCTGAATAGTTCAGTCCAATTAAAAGTTGATCAGTTTTTATAGTATGAGTATAAAAACATCACAACTATTTTCTAATCTTTGCAAGGTTGTTTCATATCAGGTCAAGGTCATTCTTGTAGGAAATAATCATGTTTTAGGTTTGATTTCGTTTCATTTTCCCTCGGTATATAATACACTTTCATAGAATAAAGAATAAATAAATAGCAACAAATTTGTTAAAGTATGTTATCCTAACCAAATATGTAAAAAATAAAGTCTATTGCTATAGTAATATAGAATGCTATTATCATCTTATGATTTTTTATATTGTTTATATAATTATTATTACTTGCCTTTCAGTTAGACCAGGTTTTTCTCTATGATATTTAGATAATGGGCTCATGATTTGTGGATGATCCAATATAAATGTAGGATTAATGCATTTTTCTTCAAGAAACTCTCCCACTAATTTGTCTAGAAGCCTAGCTGTAGTTTTTGGCGGAGGACATTCCACCTGTTAATTATTAAGTAATATATTAATAAACATTTAACAAAGCATAACTTTGTTGATTGATATACTCTTGGAATAAAATATATAATAACATATGTAAAATCTATAAATATATATGGAATGTAATATTCATAAATTTAAATACAAATAACGACAATAAAATAGATATTTTGATTTACCAATGCAAAAAATCAAAAGGATACACAATGCTATAAGCTTATATCACATAATATATAAAAACAATTAATACTTAAATACCTCATGTTTTTCACACAATTGACTGAAAAATTTGTTTGCTTCAGGTGTATCAAATTTATCAGCCGTTGGTAAAGTGACATTAAGCACTTTCTCTAAAGTAGGAATCATGGGCATCCTAGCAAATGGAGGAGTGAAGTCTACTTCAATCTCCTCACCATCAGATCCATCAGGATGATACTTGACCTAAAAAATTATAAATAGTGTAATACTAGGTATTAAACTCAATTAAAATAACATTATAATTGCAACTCAAACATTTCTTTTAATACACACCTTGTAAGTACCATGAATACTCTTCACCATACCTGAAATCATTGATTCAGTGATGGTCATGAGATCATGATAATCAGCATATGCCATATAAAATTCACATGTAGTGAACTCTGGATTATGGGTTAAATCTATTCCCTCATTTCGGAACTGTCTTCCAATCTCATATACACGGTCCAGACCTCCCACAACCAACATCTTATGATAAAGCTCTGGGGCTATTCTCATAAACAGGTCCATGTTCAATTCATTGTGATGAGTGATAAATGGTTTGGCAGCAGCCCCACCAGGAATCATATTCATCATTGGTGTTTCAATTTCTAAGAAACCCATATTATCCAGAAAACGTCTGACATAAGCTATAATTTTTGCTCTTGTATAAAATATCTGTCTTACCTGTAAAATATTTTGATTTGCATTTCAACATATTAAATAACAAAAACATTAAGTATATGTATTTTTATATATAAAATAAATTAAAATAATAAAACAATTACAAATAATTACCCTGTCATTTAATATTAAATCCAAATATCGTTTCCTGAACCTAGTTTCTTTATCTTTCAACCCAAAATGCAAATGTGGCAGCATGTGCAAGCAAGGTGAGAGTAGTTTAATACTTTTTGGTATGATGGAGAGTTCTCCTTTTTTAGTTTTACCAGGGTGACCAATACAACCAATAATATCACCACGCCTCAGTTTATCCGTATCATGCATAAACTTTTCTTCTGACTCATACATTTTTGCATTAGCCATCACCTAAAAAATAATATAAATCTATGTTAATTCTGCAATGGCAGGTCAATTCATAGTTATAATTCATTAAAATATTTGACTTTACCTGAACTTTAACACCTTCTGCTCTTAAATCATAGAATATTAACTTAGCACCAGACTCCCTGATAGAATGAACTCTGCCAGCTACAGACAATGTAACTTTTTCTAATACCTCTCCACTGTTTATGTTATTGTATTTCTCAATAAACTCTTCCAATGATATTGAGACACTGAATTTGTGTGGATAAGGATGTTCTTCTTTTGGTCCATTTTTAAGAGCAGCAACTGCTGCGGTTCGTAATTTATAATATTCATTTGGACTAACTTCTTCCTCTAGTTTTGAAGATTTCTTCTCTGTTGCCACGGGGGCTGGCTGCTGAGCAGCTTTTTCAGCTTTTTCTTTCAATTTTTGCTCAGCTTTTAGACGACGTTTCAATTCGCTACAAATAAAGTGAGACGTAGAATATAAGTAAATTTTACCACATTTATTATAAAAAAATATTAACAAACCGTTTGCTCACTGCAGTTGAAAAATTTGTGCATCGGTGGATGAAAATGTTTCTAGCACAAGCGATCGGTATAGAAGTTAATGTCTTTAAAACCAACATATTTATTCCACACGATACTCACTTCTTAGATAATTTTTCACTGGAAATATCAGCCATTGCAAATATTAACGTATTATTTGTTTAAATATTTACAGAAATATAAATTTTTAGAATCACATCGAGTTAAAATAACCTATCTTTTTCAACGACACGCACTATAGGTAGTTGAAAGGTAGGTACTCTAAATATATATAGGTAAGTATACATAAACCTAAATGAAAAAGTGACTGACAACTGACAGACCGTCAACACGTTTTTGGATTTGGATGATGCAACAAGGAAATAATTCCTAGAAACTTGCATGTTATAATGTTATTCTAAAATATATAAACACACATAGTCTAAATTGATAAAGAAAAATCACATCATATCAATCATTATCTTAATTTATTATCTACTTACAATCCTTACCTAAATACCTATTTATAACTAGTTTATACCCGCAAGTTCATTCGCTTTGCGTAGAATTATTAATTATTACATATAATCTAACTTATCTGAAAATTTATTAGGATTTCCTATCTATATTTGTTTGATTTTATGAGACTTGATTTTCGAATTTTTAAGTAACTTGATAAAATATGGTTAAGGTCCGTACACGGATCAACAATTCTATATTTACTAAATAAATACAAGCCGGTAAAATTAGATAAGCCCAAGAAAAAGGGGGAATGGGGGATTGACGACCTAAAAACCACAGGTACCATGCTTAATTTATTCTAAAGGACTTTCAAATGGTTATTCTTCTTAGGAGTTGATTCCTTATGACGGCAGATATTTCATATCATGGTTAATTCCTGATGAATTCATCATGATGGGCTGACTGACCTGTTTTCATTCTCATCAATCACCCTTCACTAGTGCTCCGCCAGCGTATCCCGTTAGCGCAGACGGGATAACCATTCCATTTTCACCCATCAAAAAAATCACGATGGACGAATTGACCTGCTTTTTTATGTTTAACTATCATCCATAAAAAAAATTATACGCTCGTAGCGCTTCTATGGCATACTATTTCTACGTGTACAACTATTAGAGAAGGTTGCTTAGATTAATTTTCTTGTTTCGTCGATATAAGAGCAGTGCCAACTCAAAAACCAAAACTTACGAAAATACTTTCTCTTTCGATCCCCATAGTCTCTCTAATCTTTGCCTCTAATAAGTGGTTATATTATAATTACTACTTTTCCCAAGTTTTCCACAAACATAATATTGATTCAATTATGCATTTATTATTATACGTGTATTTTTTTTACATAGTATCTCTTATCTGTGGTTTTTGACTCTATAGACGATGCAACAAAATTTAAGAAAAAAAGCGCGGGAAACGTTTAAAAAAGCGGGAGTGTTTTTTGATCTTCTTTAAATTAATTTTATTTTTAATTATATAAGGATTAGTCTTATTTATATATTGTGTATTAGATTGTATATATAATTGTATATTTTGTAGTAATAGTGTTTGTTGCTGTAAATATTGGTAAGTAAATTACCTATATTAATTAGACATTATGGATCCACCTATAGACCCTGGGGGGACAACCCCCAGGTGTCTGCAAATATAACTATCCCATTTAATAATAGTTTTGATATATTGGGTGAATCTAGTATGGACACAGATGGTTCTAGCGTTGCAAGTTCTAAACGTAAGCGAGTACGTGGCGAACGTCGCATTTGCAAACATTGCAATAAAAAACGAAGGAGGCACACCAAAGGTCTCGAATCTAAAATTAAAGATAGTGATTGTCAATGTATTGAGGATGAGAATCAAACTCTAGTATCAATACCAGTTGTAAATAATAAAAAAGTCTGTTAAACCTGCTTCTCCACCCAGTACTTTAAGCAGAACTTTGTACAATGCCGAGGATGTAGCTCCTTATGTCGTTCATGTACAAAAAAATGAAACACATCCTAATGATAACACTACATTACATCCTATTGCATTTGGTCGCTTTTTACACACTAATAAGATAAATAATATAGTGAATGGTAGCCTCAAAAGAATAGGAAGAAACCGTTTATCGCTTTCTTTCTCAAATTTTGAAAATGCAAATGCATTTTTAAATAATAGTCACTTAGAAACACATAATTTTAAGGCATTTATACCTTCTTTCCATGTAACCCGTATGGGAATTGTGAGGGGTATTCCTAAAGATTGGACAGAAGAGGAAGTAATCCAAAATATATCAGTACCTATAGGTTGTGGGAGAATTCTAAAAACCAGAAGAATTAAGAAAAAGACCATTAATGAAGGACAACCAAGTTTTATTAATACTGAAACCATTGTTATTACTTTTGATGGACAAATATTACCAAAAAGAGTATTTATGTTTTACACATCTTTAACTGTAGATTTGTACATTTACCCCACTATCCAATGCTATAACTGCTGTAGGTTCGGACATGTCAAGATGCAGTGTCGTTCAAATCCTCGGTGTTATAAATGCAGGCAAAATCATACAGGTGATAAATGTGAAGTAGATGAGGAAAATGTTTCTTGTATCTTGTGTAATGGTTCTCATTCAGCAATTAGTAAGAAATGTCCTGAATATGCACGTCAGAAAGCCATTAAAGAAACAATGGCCCACAGTTGTGTTTCTTATGCTGAAGCATCAAAATTTCATCCTCCCACTTCTAAACTATATTCAGATGTATTAACATCATCATCTCCGTCTTATAAATCTCATTTTCAATCTTCTTTCCTCAAAGAGAAATCATCATTACCACATATTCAATCATCATATAAAAAAACAGTTACACTTAAACCACGCACTCCTCAAAAAGCACAACAAGGATATGATCGTTCTGCCCATGAAGCCTTAGTTAAGGAATATAATATTCCTGCTCCCTCTAATGGTTGTGCATTATCATCAAATAATATTGACAATAATCAATCCATCTTTGATATTATTCTCATGCTTATTAAAGTGTTATCGCAATCGAAAATGATACAAACAACTTTACCACCGTCCAACGATGCCATTTACAATGTATTTTCTCAATTATTAACTTCTCACAATGGATTACAAAGTCCTAATAATTCAGTGGAACTGTCGTAGCATAACAAACAAGAAATCAGACTTATTTTATTTGATTAATAAATATAATCCTTTTATAATAGCTCTCCAAGAGACTTGGTTAAAGCCAGGATATCCTTTTAGGATTTCAGGCTTTACAAGTCTCCGTGATGATAGAGCTGACGGATATGGCGGTGTTGCCATATTGGTCAAAAACTCCCTTCCTTTTTCTTCTTTTTCGCTTCCTGTATATAGCGGCATTAATGCAGCTGCTATAATTATAAATGGTATCTGTTTTGTTACTTTATATATTCCTGATCCTACATGCCAAATATATTCACAACTAGAACAATTATTTTCAATTTTACCTAAACCTTTTCTCGTAATGGGCGATTTTAATGCTCAACACCAATCGTGGGGCAGTTCTACTTCTAATTTTTATGGTGGAAAACTCCTGACGATAATTGACACTTACAACTTATGTATTATTAACTCAGATGTACCAACACGTAGAACTGCACCGAATGAAGGGTTTAGTGCTCCTGACATTTCAATATGTTCTTCTGATTTAGCTTCTTCACTGTCGTGGTATCCTCATTCCTCTACTTTCGGAAGCGATCACTTTCCCCTCATTCTTTCTTTTCCAATTTCCATTCCCTCAAGTCGAAAGAGTGGTCCTCGGCTTAAATATAATTTATCAAATGTAGACTGGAATATTTACAAACAATATTTAGATAATAAAATATCGGAGTTACCTATTGTTTACCATGGAAATGAACATCAATGTTGTAATGACTTGATGATAAATATGAAGGAGGTTGCTGATTTATTATTTCCTGTTAAAAATAGTGCTTCAGGGAAAATTCCCTCGCCACCTTGGTGGGACAAAGATTGTACGGAAGCAATTAAAAATCGTAAAGAGGCTGAAAAAAATTATAATAATTACATGACACCAGAAAATTTTGAAATTTACACCGCAGTTTCACGTTCTACTCGAAAACTACTGAAAAAAAAGAAATTAGAAGGCTGGAGAAGATTTTGTTCTTCTATCTGTCCAGAAGTTAATTCATCAGTCGTTTGGAATAATATTAAAAGATTCAGATCTGCCTTTAGTGATCATACATCACGTTCTGCACTCGATTTAACTTTAGCGAATAAATTTTTAGATCGTCTTGCTCCTAGTTATGTGCCGGAATGCCTTTACAATATTTCTCTATCCGTCTCTGACGAATTATTCGAACTTGACTCTCCTTTTACTCTAGTAGAACTTAAAGGTGTTCTAGCTTCTATTAAAGACTCTGCACCGGGAGAAGACGGTATACCGTATTCCTTTTTAAAAATGCTAGCGATGCGACATTAATTTACTTTTTAAATATAATTAATTCCATAATTATTTCGGGAAATATACCTACTTCATGGAAGTCTCAGATTATTATACCATTTCTAAAGCCTCATAAACCACCTTCTGAACCATCTTCATACCGTCCTGTTGCACTTTCCTCTGTCTTACTAAAGCTAGCTGAACATTTAGTGAAAAACCGTCTAGAATGGTTTTTAGAAAGTAATAACTTACTATCCCTGAACCAGTTTGGTTTTAGGAAAGGTAAGAGCACCTTAGATAATGTGAGCATTCTTATTTCAGATATTCATATAGCTTTCTCACAAAATTTGTCAATCCTCTCAGCCTTTTTAGATATAAATTCTGCCTATGATAATGTAATAATTTCTATTTTAAAAACTAAATTACAAGCTCTAAATGTACCGGTAATGCTTTCTAATTTCATTATTAATATTTTATCAGAAAGAACAATATATATGAATTTAGATGAAGATACCAAATTATCTAGAACAGTATGGAAAGGCCTTCCACAAGGATCTGTTCTCAGTCCAATCTTATTTAACATATACACATACGATCTAGAATTATTCCTTGATAAATCCGTCAAAATTTTACAATATGCTGATGATCTTTTATTATATTTTATTGCGAAGTCCATAGAATCTGCTTCTGCCAAATTATCTGATTCATTAGATTTGTTAAAAACGTGGTTAGATGCAAATGGTCTTAATCTTTCTGTAACCAAGAGTAGTGTAGTTTTGTTTTCAAGAATGAGATCACCGCAACAAATTAAGGTGCTTTATGATAACTCATACATTCCTATAAAGACTGAAATTAAATTTTTAGGTATCGTGCTAGATAATAAATTAACAGGTCTGTCCCACTGTAATTATATTTCTACGAAATGTGAGCGTAACCTCAACATTCTTAGGTGCCTTGCTGGAGTTTGGTGGGGAGCACATCCCGTTTCACTAAAACTTGCTTATAATGGTCTTATAAGGAGTGTCATTGATTATGGAACTTTTTTGTTAGCTCCAGGAAGTTCATTTGCTTTTAAGAAATTGGATTTAATTCAATCAAAGGCCTTGAGGATTATCTCTGGAGCAATGAAATCAAGTCCAATCAATGCTTTACAGCTCGAAGTCGGTGATCCACCTTTGGTTTTAAGAAGACAATATCTATCTGATCGCTTCTTTTTTCGTTGTTTACAATTATCTGATCATCCGCTTATTCAAAAGTTATCTCAATTACATATCTTTATTTCGTCTTCATCTTATTGGAAACATAAAAAACCTCCATGTTTAATACAAAGTTATGAAAAATATAAATCCATAGAATCTCCCACTTTTACATCGTCCTGTTTTCCCATTTATAAATGCTCATATCAATCTTTAGTTTTATCTCCTAATATTAAATATGATTTTGGGTTATTAAAAAATGATTCAGAATTGAATGCCAAATTTATGTTTATAACTGACATTGAATGGAATGAATGGCACTACATCTTTACTGATGCATCAAAACCAGACAATAGCGGTTGTGTAGGTGTGGGTGTGTTTCATTCACAATTTAATATCGTTCAAAAAATTAAACTTCCACCGGAGTCTTCAGTTTTTACCGGGGAATGTTATGGTATTTTAAAAGCTGTAGAATATATACTTTTAATGAAATTACATAAGGCAATAGTTTTCACTGACTCTATGAGCTCTTTGCAAGCTCTAGCCAAATATCCGTTTAAATCAAAACCAGTTTATCCCATTATTTGTGACATAAGACAAAGTCTTTATCTTTGCATGTTAAGAGGGTATTCCGTTTCTTTTGCCTGGTTACCAGGACACAGTGGTATTAGCGGCAATGACAAAGCTGACCTTATTGCAAGAGAGGCTGTAACTTGTGGTGATATGTATCCGTATCATAATTACTGTAGTGACCTAGCTTGTCTCCCAAAAATATATTTAAGGTATGCCTGGAAGGAATATTGGGAAAAAACAAGTACAATAAAAGGAAGATTTTATCGCCTTATACAACCCGATATTCCTTTCAAACCATGGTTTTGTAAATTAAAGCTTGGAAAGACCGCAACAACTATTATAACTCGTATGCGTCTAGGTCACGTATGCACACCTTCTCATTTATACAAGCTTGGTATTGTACAAAGTTCGTCGTGTAATTGCGGTGCTGAAGTGGCGGACTTGAATCATATATTCTTCTCATGTTCTAAATTTGACCACACCTCCCTTTTTAATCATCTCCGATCCATCCGTGTTCCATTCCCAACTTCTATTCTTACTCTACTTTCTTCCAATGATCCTATTATCTATAAAATACTATCTTCATATATATATGATAACAATATTAAGATTTAGTTATATTACATGAATACATTTATAGTTGCATCAATTGCTTTTCCTATATATTTATAAGTATATTCTCATATGTACAAGTATATGTTTCATATCCTATAAATATCCTAGACCTAATCCTTATCCTTTCTAAATTCGTTTGTGTTAGGTATTTTTATTACTATTATCGTTTCCCCGTTTTGTTCTTGGAAAAATACCCTAATATCGGGGTGAACGCCACAAAAAAGAAAAAAAAAAAAAAAAAAAAAAAAAAACAAAATTTAAAATTTTTCCCGTGCTTTTTTTTTTATTTTTAGGTTTAAGGTTGAAAGTATTTCTTTTTACTATTACATAATTATTTATAATTTTATTGACACTAATTTTTTTATTTTACTCAAATGACAATATTTTTTTTCTTCAAAAAAAATTACAATTACTTTAATTTTTACCCAATCACAAACTTTTATCGATTCCGGTACATTTAGCTCACAATTCAGCCAAGTAGTACACAGTAAGTAATCACTCATGTACAGAAGGGAATGTCGAAAAACAAGTATTTGTTTATGATTTGTATGGTTTACAACTACGGTTTAAAATACCAAAATTATAAAAAAAAAAAAAATCATCTAATACATTTTCAAACGATAAAAAATACTAATAAAAAATAAATCTAGCAATTTTACAAGATATTGTAAAATTGCTAATTGCCGATAGGTAATAACCTAATGTTGCTATTATGCTATTAACAAATAGGAAACGGGATATTAAAAAGGAACGGTAAGGATATCTGCGTATAATGAAAGTATCTGTGGGTTAGTGTTAGGGCTATTAACTGATAATCGACTAGATAGTATTCAATAAAAAAATCGATTATTCAATATGAAATTTAAATTTATCGATTACAATTTAACAATGATTTTACACCATCAAAGTATTAATTATACCTACTGTTAACTAATTCAAAATTTTAAACTTATGCTATCGATTATATACATTTATCTATAGTATCTTATTAAACATTTAATTATTTAAATAAAAAAGGCACAGTAATAAATTTCTTTTTTCTTCATTAGCAATCATTCGTTACTTTTACGACCATTTCTGCCAGTGTCATTCACAAAAGGCTCGTATTAGAGACGAAAAAAATATTCAATGATTAATATAATTTTGGGTTTTTAGGTATGAAAAAATATTTTCCATTTTTAATTATAAAACTATTCTAATATTATTCGAGTCAAATAATTTTTAAAAACCTCCTTATTATTTATATTGATAGAATTTCTGTGAATAAATCGTCAATCCAGTTATAAATTTGATGTTGTTGAATTATATATATTTAACTATAATCAATTAATTGGTAATAAACAATTTTGTTCTTTGAATTTGAATTAATTTGTGCGAGAGTAAACAACTAATTATTAAAATCGATTTTTCAATCAACACTACTGAATGCAACATTGAAAGAAAATTGACATCACAGCTGTTCGATTTACCTGTCTGTGGTCTATCTTGCTAAGAAAATTTATAATTATTTTATTTAAAGTGAGTTTTAATCCCTGTTATTTGTGTATTTGTTATTGATTTAAGTTATAATAACATTTTATATATAAAATTTATAAAGCTAAGTGACTAAACGCCAGGTTGGCAAACGTTTTTTAAATTTGTCAAATATCATTTTATTTCTCTTGTATTCTCGTGGATATCAAGTGCAAAATGTTCAGTGAAGTAGTAAATAAGTATTTCATGCTGTGTTTTCGGTGATTTCAGATATAATCTTATGTAGACAGAATTGCTTACTCAATCTCCAAAAAATATCGAAGTAATATGCCTCTTTTTGGTAAGTCCCAGAAGAGCCCAGCGGAGCTAGTGAGATCTTTGAAAGATGCTGTTACCGCATTAGAAAGAGGCGACAAAAAGGCCGAGAAAGCCCAAGAAGATGTCAGTAAAAATTTGGTAAGTATGCAACATGAATATGAATTGTTTAAAACAGTATTTAATCAAAAGTGATAGATCAATTTGCCTCTGAGTATATGTACATAAAAAATAATTGCGCTTTTTATTGTTATATTAATGATTATGGATCATTGAGATAATAGTTAATGGAACCTTATAATTTTTTAATCAGTGTATTTATTTAGTTCAGGTGTTAGTGCATAAAAACAATGATGTATCTACAATGAGTCATCCAGTAAATCTTTAATATTTATAATATAAATTTAATAACAATTTGATCTGCTTATTTGTAAGTAACAGTGATTTATTTGCCTAAATTGTTTATTTCAATTTTCTTATTTGAACTTTCTCATTGGTGAGTTGGTAGGTATTGGTGGTGGATTACATTGTGATTGTAAGCTAATATCTTGCTCTTATTAGGAGGTCCATTAAAAGGGAAACATTAATAGGATTTTTATCATGGTGATAAAAGAGCCCTACTCAAAGCATATTTATAGTAAATAATGTCTTATATTATACAGTTTTGTGATTACAGATATAATATTTTGTCAAAATTTTATAATTAATTTATAAAAAAATATAATGTTTCATATCATATCAAAGTAATATGTTCTCTAGGTTGTTCTGATAATGTGAAGTTAGAAATTTAAATGCAATCTACAAACATTATAGTATTTGAAATAGGCACTTAGACTCCATTTTATCCCAATCAATAAATTATACCCTGATTATTTAGCAGCACAGTTATTCTTTGCCGAAACAATGTATATAATTGTGATGTAATGCAAATAATCTCTCTTGTTGGTTAATACTATATTATGAATAATTCATGTGAGTTCTTGAGTGGCTTCAGAAAAAAATTATAGATATAAAGGTGTTATGGTTAGATATCAGGTCTGTCCGGAAAGTTCGTATAAAAGTGTTCTGGAATGCGAGAAAGAGGAGTGGGGAGGCCAGGTAAGCGCAGGACCCCTTCCTTATGTCCCTAACAATGCTTCAGTTCTGGTCTGACCGCCGTGCGGTGCGAACTGGCTTGTCACGCCATCTGTGAAGTTACCTCTTAACGATAGCCCGCTAAAGAGCAGCGCGTCGTAATCAAGTTTCTCTCGAAACTCGGCAAGAATGGCCGTGAAATTTTTGCCGATCTCAGAACAGTTTATGGGGATGATGCTGTGAAGGAACCAACCGTCCACAAGTGGCTAAAAAGATTCAGAGAGGGCCGAGACAATGTTGATTGTTTTTTTCGATGTTCGGGGGATTGTCCATCAAGAATTCGTCCCTCCAGGCCAGACAGTTGATGGACAATTCTACGTCGATGTGCTCAGAATTAATTCCAATACGAGAGGGGCGTTAATGCCCCTGCCCACACCTCTCTTGTTTTCCGTGAGTTTTTGAGTAAAAAATCAATTACGGTGACCGAACACCCCCCTATTCGCCGGATTTGGCCCCGTGTGACTTCTTCTTGTTCCCAAAAACCAAATTGGTACTTCGGGGGCGGCATTTTTTAAATGAGATAAAAAAAGCTACGACGGGGCAGCTGAGAAACCTACAACCAGAGGACTTTCAAGGAGCCTTCTCACAGTGGAAACGGCGTTGGCACAAGTGCATTATGTCACAGGGGGAGTACTTTGTAAAATTGATTTACCTGAATAATTGTAAAATAAAATTTTTAAAAAACTTTTATACGCTTTCCGGACAAACCTCGTATTTAATATTTATAATTTAATATTCATGTTTTATTTGTTACAGGTTCTGATAAAAAACATGCTCTATGGTACTTCTGATGCAGAGCCACAAACAGACATCATTGTGGCACAGCTGGCACAAGAGCTATACAATACAAATTTATTGCTGCTTCTTATTCAGGTAAATACAGCCAATATTTGCAAACAATGTTTACTTATAATTTTGTTTAATTTATATATTAAATTATAAAATATATATTGTGAGGCTTTCTGCATTCTTCATGCATTGCTATTTTTGAGGACTAGAATGTTTACATATTAACTGTGTCTGTTAATATTACTTGTAGATATTTTCTAACACAATTTTATTTATTAAAAATTTGTAGTTTCTTATAATAAGAACATTTTTTGAGTAAAACTATTTGTTATTGTTGTACAAATTAAACAACTAAAATATTCACATTTATCTGTGATATTAAAAAGGATTTGTAATATTAAGAATTATATTTTATTATTAAAGTTACTACTTGCTTGTTTGACTGTAAGATTTGGAGATTTACAGTATTTGAAGATTTACAGTAATTTCTTTTTTGTTTGTAGAACCTCAATCGCATCGACTTTGAAGGGAAGAAGGATGTGGCTCAGGTATTCAATAATGTATTGAGGCGTCAAATTGGAACTCGATCTCCTACTGTGGAATATATATGCACCAAGCCTGAGATTCTCTTCACTTTGATGTCTGGGTAATATTATAAAAAATTCTATAACAGCATATTAAATAAAATTTTTAAATTGAAAAACTTAAATTTGACAAACATTGTACTTTGTTAAGATATTTTATGTGTTTGCAACTAGTTATGTACGCGACACCACCTGCTTTGCCAGTAGGATGTGTGTCACGTCTCACATGAATCATATTCCATATAATGGCGAAACATAAATAAAATATTAAATTTATACAGCTTTAAAAAAATCTTTTTCTAGCGAAGTTATCATCTGTTTTTACAAAACAAAGGAAAGTTTTTGTAACTGGAGTCACTGACACTATAAAACATAATGTAACGGTAATGTGTATTGCAAATAAAATGTTATTTTCAACACCTTAATATACAAACAGTGAATATTTTACTATTGTACATATAATGTCATTTATATTTGTTTATACTTTTATGGATTACTAGACGGAGTGACAACCTCAAATCCATTGCAGAGAGTCAGTGGATGCAGGTGCCTCAGGACCATTCCTTATGGCAGTCTATGGGGCAGGCCTGTGTTCTGCTGTGGATGGATAAAGACTGAAATGATGATGATGATACTTTTATGAATAACTTTTTTATTGGTGGATTTGAGATTATTTTCCGAAGGTGGGGGCTCTGGTGCCTTATAAAGGTGCATATGTACTCTTAAATGTCTTTGTGCATAATTGGAAACTTGCCTCGGATCTTGGGGTACTAAGTAATTTTATATATGTGAGCACAGCCTACCCGACTTGAAATAGACCAATACCTCGGGTGTTAATTAACGTGGTTTGTAGGACTATATTATAATAATTAAAAATGTTTTCCACTTGGAGATGCATCTCTGCCTTGTAAGACTATGCTGGTCTTGTTTCATATAGGTTTTTTTTTTTCGAGTTTTCCGAGTCTTGGATTGGTTTATAGTGTTTTTTATTCATATCTCAAGTTGTTATTGGCGGCTCAAGCTTATTTATTTTATTGATATTATTTTAAAATGACTGTGGTTACGTCATAATTATTTTATTATCGATTTAGATATGAACATCAGGAGATTGCATCGAATTGTGGCACCATGTTGCGAGAATGCGCCAGATATGAGGCTTTGGCTAAAATAATGTTATATTCAGATGACTTTTATAATTTTTTCCGTTACGTAGAAGTTTCCACATTTGATATTGCCTCAGATGCCTTTTCTACTTTTAAGGTTTGTACTATTTTAACTTTTAATCGGTGATGGTATAATCAACAATATAAATAAATATTTAATGATATCTCTATCTATATATAATTAGACTATGTAGGTACATACGAGATATGATATAAGGGGTCTTAATAAAAACAGTAATCAAAACAATATTTTTGGAAGTTTTATTTGTTTGTTGATTTTGGTTTCATGCAAAAAATTTTGCACTAAATTGGATCCAATTTCCACGGTTTTGTACCTGGGATAAAGGTACATAAGTATATTATAATTGTATATATAATATATAAGTGTAATATATAATTATTACTAACTAAAATGCATCGTAGTTATTTGTAATAAAAAATATTATTATTATTATCATAAGGTTGTTTTTTAATGGGAAGTAATAGTTTTATAGAAAGGTAACACCGCCTACACTATCGATTATATATTGGCGGGGCACCAGTGAGAGCTGTTAGGTGAGGATGAAAGCAGGACAGTTAGCCCATCATAACATACTCAATAATTAACTAAAACGGTTATTTAATTTAACTACAACCGTTTCCAGGGGATACCGCTTGGAGGTCGATCTGATAGGATATATTGTTAGTACTGGCTATGTTAGACCCCATTATTAACAAACTCTTTCTTTTATCATAAGGGGTACCAGGGGCATAATAGTGTATTCTGTAATGTCTCTGATGATTCTCATTTATAGATAATTACCACTTTCTATTAGGAGGGTCGCAAGCTTGTCATTCTAAAAAAAAAAAAAATTGTAATAAAGAATTAATTTTATTCAATTGACAACAATTTCAGGAATTACTAACACGACACAAAATGTTGTGTGCCGAGTTTTTAGAAGCAAATTATGATAAAGTCTTTAGCCATTACCAACGGCTTCTGAATTCGGAGAACTATGTAACACGACGGCAGAGCCTCAAGTTGCTCGGGGAATTGCTTCTAGACAGGCATAACTTCTCCATCATGACACGCTACATCACCAATCCCGATAATCTTAAACTTATGATGAATATGCTAAAAGAAAAATCACGTAATATACAATTTGAGGCTTTCCATGTTTTTAAGGTATGACTTTATAGTTTAAACTTATAAATTTATTGTAATTTTTATGTTAAAATAAATACTATTTATTTACTTATTAATAAAAAGCGCCCTGAATACTTTATATAACTTTAGTTGAGCAAAGCAAAATTTCTGAAGAAAAGAGCAAATTTTCTCATTTTTCAAATTACAATTACAATTAAATTTTTAAATTACATCAATAAATATTGGTTTAATAAATGAAACTACTTAACTGATCTTATTAATATAATATAATTGTAATTAGATGAATGGACAAATAATCAGCTTCCCATTTCATTAGAAATGATTTCTAACAAAAATATGATTGCAATAGATGCTGATAAGTATCATAGTTACAAAATTACAATAACCAAAGTAAAAAAAAATATATTATTTCTAATACCTGATTTATAATTTCACTTTGATTATATTTTAAAGATTTTATTTTAGCATGTGATATTTATAAAGTTGCCTAATTCCAGGTATTTGTAGCCAATCCAAATAAACCAAAACCAATTTTGGATATACTTTTGAGGAATCAAGATAAGCTGGTGGACTTCCTGACCAAGTTCCACACGGATCGGTCTGAAGACGAGCAGTTCAATGATGAAAAGGCTTACCTTATAAAACAAATCAAAGAGCTTAAGCCAGTGGAACACTAACATTTATTGCATTTCATTAAATCGCCACTTCCTCCTCAGAAAGAAGTTAGTTATAGATGCTATTATATTTAACGCTTCTAAGTCACCAGAGGGTGTTGTGCGCGCAGCGAACACACAGCGTTCAGTAGAAAACATTGGAATTCTAAACGGATTTTACATTCGGTCTGTGATGAGTCAGGGAAGAAAGTATATTTGTGCTACGAGCAAATTACATTTTTAATAAAGATATGTAGGAATTAGCGTAACTTATGGTTTGACTTATTCCTTTGTAAGTTGTTTAAACCATTTTAGTTTATATGACGTGTTTAGTGACAGCTGTGGAGTCACAATCGAAATATATTTTGTCACATTAGGCTATGTGTCTCTAAGTTTAGCGTCCGAAAGGCAAAAAGCAGGTCAACTTAAGATCTTCATAAGAGATTTGTATATAATCATGTATGACATTTTTATTGCAATAAATTTTTGGTTTCCATCTTTTGTACCTACTCTAAATCAATAAATTCAAAATTATAAATTGTTAAACAGAAAACAAATATTCCATGTTATGGCGGTCAGTATTGGTTACAATCTTGTATGTATGTATTATATAATTGTATTTGATAAAATATACTTATAATAAACGTTATTTTATGTTATAAATATTGAAGACTTATTTCTATATATGCTTAGTAGCAACTATGGTTAAAATACACATACAAATTCACAAAAGATATTGTTTTAAACATTAAGTAATCTAGATATTATTGTATGTTCTCAAAATTTTTGTATTATAATTTTAAATTATATTATTTCTTTGTCACCATAATTTTTGCAATATTACATTCTATAGGAAACTGAATAAAATATTTATATCATTACTTTGTTTAATTCTATAATATTATTTTACTTTCGCCTTTTCCCTTTTTAATAATTATCTAATTAATTTGTAAAATTGACTCAGATGAAATAACTTATTGCGACAAAAAATGAAACACTAATGAATTGAATTTTTTAGATTTATTATTATTATTATCAATCTATTAGACACAACTATTTTAAATTAGTTATACTGTACATTTATAGTTATTTTTAAAAATTGTACACTATATTTTAGTAAATATATCATTCCACGTACTGTCCGAAGAAGAATAAATATATTAGTCTAAAGATTTTAAGTCTAATCTATAAAATAGAAATCAATTGCCGAATATGTAAGCATATCATTTCAGAATGGGTGTACTTATTTGGTTCTTTTTTTGCTGTGTTTGTAATCGTTACTACAAGGTTTGTATGTAAGAAAATGTTTGAAATATAGAAAATTGATAAAATTTTGTCCCATTTTCTTCGTTAGTACAAGCGTGCGTAGCTTAGGCGGGCAGCTAGTGCGAAAAAAAATACATGAGAAAATTGTGTTTAAACATTTAATATCGCGAATATCGTAAAAAATGAAATATTGGGGTCGATTCTGAAAAGCCATTTCTTTAAACCTATCTCTAAAATTCTAATCTAGTTCACATTTTTTTTTTGTTTACACGTCCTGTTTATTTTAAGAAACGATATGAACTGCACTATTATGTTTAATTATAACCTTGGTATAATACTTTTTATTGTACAATAAAGAATAAAGAAGGAACTGAATTTCTAATAAATTTAAGTTAAAATTATTATAAATTAAATTTATTATGATTCATAATAATAAGAGGAGTAGCTTTGAACGTGTGATTTCAACTTTTTATTGTTATTATATATTCTTAGATTATGCATAACTACCTACTTACAATGTTTATTTTATTTATACCTATTCCAGTTTAGTTGATTGTACGTATTAATGATGTCATATGCATTTAGTTTTTATTTGTAAAAACTAGTTATTGGCTTTGTCTTCTTTACTGTCTGATAATGAAATTTTATAGCTGTTGGGTTTTCTTTAAAAATCAATAAATAAAACAATAATTATGTGAAACTATGAAATTAAAATTTTAGGTAAGATTAGAGAAATGGCACCTTATATCAACTTCATTGTTTACTTTTTACTATAATCCAAAATAATTATTTAGAATTAGGAAGAAAAGTTCTTGTTTTTAGATACCTTAAGGTATCTTACCTTATTCTCTAATGACTAGATTGCTGATGGCATGTTGGCCGAATCCTTTCTCTAAAATATTGTTGAACGCAACACAGGTTAGATCATCTGTCGTATTTATGAGTGGATGCTGTTCGCAAAGACTTAGAAAAGAATGAAGTTTACTATTTATAATTAATTAAATAAATACTAATATTATGTTTTAATTGCTGTTTTGTTTGTTATTAATTATTAGTATACAAATAAATTCAAAAATTATTAAAAGGTTTCTTCAATTGCCATAAAATTAAAATGCGATCCACATGGAAGTAAACTTATTTTAAAAGCAAAAAAAAAATGTGTAAGTTCGTTCAGAATTTATGTAATTGCGCAGCATGGTCATAATAAAATCGGAGCTAATTGTGACTCTTCGATGTTGTTTTATGAGTATTTATGAAGAATATCTACAATTAAGTGTGATGATACGAGGTCTGTCCGGAAAGTTCGTATAAAAGTGTTCTGGAATGCGAGAAAGAGGAGTGGGGAGGCCAGGTAAGCGCAGGACCCCTTCCTTATGTTCCTAACAATGCTTCAGTTCTGGTCTGACCGCCGTGCGGTGCGAACTGGCTTGTCACGCCATCTGTGAAGTTACCTCTTAACGAAACCCCGTCGGCATGGCGCCCGCTTCCGTTGAAGAGCAGCGCGTCGTAATCAAGTTTCTCTCGAAACTCGGCAAGAATGGCCGTGAAATTTTTGCCGATCTCAGAACAGTTTATGGGGATGATGCTGTGAAGGAACCAACCGTCCACAAGTGGCTAAAAAGATTCAGAGAGGGCCGAGACAATGTTGATTGTTTTTTTCGATGTTCGGGGGATTGTCCATCAAGAATTCGTCCCTCCAGGCCAGACAGTTGATGGAAAATTCTACGTCGATGTGCTCAGACGCCTCAAAGCTCGTGTGGCACGAGTTCGTCCAGAATTGGCGCGAGAGGGGCGTTGGATTCTTCACCACGACAATGCCCCTGCCCACACCTCTCTTGTTGTCCGTGAGTTTTTGAGTAAAAATTCCATTACGGTGACCGAACACCCCCCCTATTCGCCGGATTTGGCCCCGTGTGACTTCTTCTTGTTCCCAAAAACCAAATTGGTACTTCGGGGGCGGCATTTGGGGGACATAAATGAGATAAAAAAGCTACGACGGGGCAGCTGAGAAACCTACAACCAGAGGACTTTCAAGGAGCTTTCTCACAGTGGAAACGGCGTTGGCACAAGTGCATTATGTCACAGGGGGAGTACTTTGAAGGGGATAAAATTGATTTACCTGAATAATTGTAAAATAAAATTTTTAAAAAACTTTTATACGTACTTTCCGGACAAACCTCGTATACCTATTTTTTTTTTATGGGTGAAAATGGAATGGTAACCCCGCCTGCGCTAACGGGATACGCAGGCAGAGCACCAGTGAAGGGTGATTGATGAGAATGAAAACAGGTCAGTTAGCCCATCATGATGAATTCATCAGAAATTAACCATGATAGTTTCCAGAGGGAACCGCGAGAAGGTCGAACTAGTTGGGTATATTGCTAGCAATGGGATTCTTAGTCTTCATTACTATCAATTCCTTTCCTCTGATATACCTATTAGTTGAGAGGTAAAGTTTTGTAATACATATTTAAGATATGAGTCATTGTCAAATTTAAATTAATATACGCAGGTAAACTAGTCCCTCAACAATTTCAGTTTTTTTTGGTATTAGTAATGTCATAACCTCTAACAAATTTTACAATAATACAAAATACATCACATAAGTTAACATCCATTAACAAAGATTTAGTTTCTGTTTTATTTTTGTAAATAACATTGTGGTCATTTCTGGTAACAGGGTGGTTTTCTTTCCACGTGTCCCGTCTGTTATACATATATATAGTTAAGAATGAAATAACTTCATTTTTTATCTATATCAACCTACTTAAAATAGATTATTACTATTAATGAAGTTTTGTAAATATATTTTTTTGTAACTTAAAATGGCAAACAAGCTGACGGCTCACCTGATAGAATGTGGTAACCGTCGCCTATAACATGAGCAGTATCATGGTTGCCATTCCTGAAGACTAAGGTGTTATTTCTCTGTACTCTGTAAATTTACTGCCCTATCCCACTCTTCAAACAGAAATATAGCCATGTAAACAACTGCTTCATGGTAGAAATACGAATGGGCCAGAGGTACCTAAGCAAGCGACTTTTGTACAGTCTTCCTCTGGTAAATATGTTTTATAAAATATATTAAAACCGGTCAAAATTAACATGCGATTTTTAATATTTTTCTTAACTTTATCCAAAGTATTATCTGGAACTGACTGTAACACTGAGTTAATAAGGTCAATTTCAATAGCAGTGGCTCTACTTTTGACCTCTGTTAGCTTGGACAAGGTGTCTACATTCATCGTGGTCATTTGCTAGGTCTGAGGGGACCTCGAGGTCAACATTAAAGTAATGTACCCCACATTACTTCTAAGTTGACCGCGAGGTGTTGAATATCCAGCGTGTTTTTATTACGCGTCCACTTTGTTATCGCCCTGTAAATTAATGTTCTTTCATTGTTTTAGGTTCAGTATGTTGTCTAAGCAGTATTTTAAATATGAAATATAAGTTATACTTTACACTTGATTGCATATGTCTTGTGAAATTTACCACTCTATTACTAGTGGATGGTAACAGAGTTGACATAAGCTTATATTTTTAAATTTTTAGGTGAGATTCTTTTAAAGGACATTTCCTTTTAATAGTCTGTATTTTAAGAAGTGTATAAACTCGGCACGTATGAATAGTTCATTTATAAATTATCAATAACACTAAAATATATTTACAGGATATTATGCGTTTATTTATGTATTTAACTTTTTATTTACATAATCAATGACATATGAACCTTTCAAGTGAAATACATAAGCATAAAGTACAAATTTAAATATATACATAAAGGTACAAAAGGCGGTCTTATCGCTAGGGTAATCTCTTAAAACAACCTTTATATTGGGAACGGCGTAAAAATAATCTTGAAAATGAAGCAGAATGTAATAAAGAAAAAAAAAAAAGAAAACTATAAACATATATGACCCTCGAGATTCGAGCAATACAAAAGAAGTGGTAATCTAAAAATGCTAGACGAAGAGATGAGGCCAGAATTCTCCGTACATATTATTATACACACTCCAGAGGCATCATCTCCTCGTTTAAATACTCGTAGTTCAGTCCCTAGTGGTCAACATCAAGTTATTTAAAAACTCATCATCGTTAGGCTATACCCCACTTATTTATATCTCATGAGTATACTCGTATATTCACAACATCAGCGCCTGTTCGCGGCAGAGTATAAGTAAAAAGAAACAGTTTCAGGTTATATTAATTAGAGATATTATGAAATAAAAGGAAAAGTTAGAAGCAAACAATTAGAGATAAGAAAGTATAAAAGAATATAATACTGAGAAAATCGAAAAAAATTTAAAATGAGAATGCTAGTTGAGAAAATCAATAGACATATGAAATCTTATCAACAAACGCTATTAAAAAAAACTATGAAAATGTCAAGAAGTGAAAGGAAAAATATATTATTGAAAAATATTTGATGAGAATATTGTTCTCTGTCGCAAATGCAAATTATAAAGGAATAACAAATCCTGTTTAGAAAAAAGTTTTTAAGTAATAATTAAAATAAAATATTTTTCGATCGTAACGTCTGCCAGAAAATATTAAATCGTATCTTTAAAGAAAAATAAAATGCAAAAGCTCATCTAAGTAAAATTTGTTCAAGATGTAAAAAAAAACCCACTACGTTATTGTATGACAACTATTAATTTTATGTCCCGAAGATTAAACAACATACTAAAGATTTTTAGGAAAACTATTAAATATAAATAGCTAAGGTAATATTTAAGAAGCAACAGAGTTGTTTAAGAGTTTAAATTAATGGTTGCTAAGCTAAAAAAAAAATTTAACCTAAATGTAACAATAAGATTTAAAACTGTAATTAATATTAATGCCAAAATAATTGCGACTGATTTGTTTAATTTCATAATAAAAGGTAACAGAGTTGTATTTTTTAAACCCTGAGCTACTAAATCTGGAATAAATTTTAAATTATTACTTAAACATGGCGGCCAACTATAGTAGATGATAATTTACTTGTTCTAATATTCAAATATATTCAATTTTTTTTTACATTTTTATCATTATATGTCACATTTATCTGCGCAAAATTTGACAATGACCCATATAAGAATAGGTTAGTGTATTCGTATGCACAGGAGAAACGTGATAAAGGATTGGGCGACTTATTTTTGTCCATTTTAAAATTCTTTATTCAAGATTCTAAGAATTTATTCCTATTTTAAGATTCTATTATGAAACAGTATAAACAATTTTTATTTATTCTTGTATTCGCGAACTATGCGTTCTAGTATTTCGATACCAGAATACAATGATTACTTAGCAAGTAATAAAAACAGTTTATTAATATCTAAAGCTAGAGTACCGTGATTCACAATAATTTTTTTTCACCAATTATTTTGATTAGTTTTCAGCATTTTTCTAAGTGGTTGCTATTTTAGTTAATACATGTATATTAAACATAATTAACACGTTATTTTAAATTTACCAAATATGAAGAATTTTGAATTATTTGCAACATTAAAAAAGTGCGGCGATTTTACTTAAAAAAAAATAAAAAAAAAAACATAAACTACAAACCAGCAACATTAAATATTGGCTGATGTTCCGTTTATGCTATTGACGCACCAGAGTCCATCACCACATTTAAAAACTAACACAATTAATTTACTTATATAATCTTTATTATTATCCACAATGTTACATTACTGGACACGGGTTTTTCATTACAAGAACTAAATAAATACCTAAAATATTCTTCTACTTCGGACATGCCAAAAAAATTTCAGACAAAATGTTACCTATACCCTGGTTAAAAAAATCAGTCTATAAGAATAAATAGAAACTCTTTAATAGATCGGATTTAACCTAATTAACAAAGGAAATAACAATATAACTTATACATTTATAAATATGTTTTATTAGATCCGAGAAATTACAAGTATATCACGAAAATGATAAACCAAAAACTACCATAATTTATTTTGATATAATAATAATTTTATTATGATACAACATTATTCATGAAAGTAAAGGCCAAGATTATAAATAATGGAAGAACCAAATTTAGGAAAATGAAATTTTAGAGTTCATTTAAATGTTTAAATTTTTCGCCCAACGTTAATTTATGTATATCAAAAGTTCGATCGCAAATATTAATAATAGAAAATGGGTGCTTTTATAATTTACTGTAGCACGGCACTATGACAAACGATTTAACCGTTAGAATAAATATCTAGAAATAAAATTTACAGCTAAGGCCCGCAGTACATAAGCAATCTCATCGATGTTGCAAGTGTTCATATGTAACGTTAATTACTTTGGTTTATTTTCCTCCCTAAAAATAAAATACACCTTTAAATTTTTTGTCCACAATAAACGTCATAGCTTGCACGATCATTGGATATATTTATGATGTGATGATAATATTGTACAGTAAATTATAAAAGTAATAATAGGGTAATAACGTCGAATATTAGTTCGCACTTGTAAATTTATTGAATAAAACTGCAAATTATAACAGGAAGTAAATATAAATTTTTCTTGTTCTTTCTGAAAGCTAAATATCATTACACGTGAAATATACAATGTTTAAAACATTTAATTTTGTTGTTCCTATTTATAAAAAATAAGTGTGACAAAGTTGATAAAAAGTACAGCTAAATAAATAATAAGATATTTAAGAATTTCTTGTTATAGAATAGAAGACATCTAACAAGCATTTTTTTGTATTTATATATTTATATACCTATTAAGTAAAACAGAATTTATTTATTATGAAAAATGGTATAAGTAGCACTTTCTACGTTCTTGAAACATATTTATGTAAGAAAATTACTTAGTAGTTTTCTGTTCTCTCGATTGCATGAGCGACAAGTAGGTCTGGGTAGATGGATCCATGGCCACGAGTACTTGTATTTTATGCTTATTAAAGAACACAGAACACGTACATATATATTAAGATTAATTATTTTAACTGAAATCTATAGTGATCTATTTTATAACTTACGTTTAAAGTTAAGATAGTTTTTGCAGAATCCTGTAAGGATGAAATCGAAATCATTAAAATCCTTTGAAGGCAGTGTTTTAGCAGTGATATATATAGAACGTTTTTTTTTTCAAAGTGAAATGGTTTCGAAAAACGGTAATCTAGCCTCCTTGCACGGAAAATTCATTTTTCTTCGGGGATACTAATGGTTTCGATTTGTCTGTTAACAATATTTTAAATTATTACTTTGATACATTAACAATTCATATTGTAATAGTGCATCGTACTTACATAATTTTCGGCCGCGTCTGCATTGCACTGAACACATCTACGTTATGTTAGAACTTTTAAAGCAATAAAATATTTATAATGAATATTCTCTATTCAGTATATATATTACAGTTACCTAAGAAGGTTACTAATTATGATATTATTTTCGATGTATACTAATTATGCACAATTTTTGAAGTACAAACGTTTATTTTAAAGAACTTTCTACTCTCTCAAAATGAACATTTGTTGCCATTATATAAACCAAAATTTATATTTAATACTAAACCTGGTTTGTAGTAGAGACATAAAGCCATGTTTAATATTGCATGTCTCACTCGATTTTTCATAATCCTATTATCGTATTCTGTCAAAATTGTGAATACCTATGATTAAAGCAGCGAAAGTAATATATACTTAATATAGAAAATTAATTTCGTTTGTTATCATGCATATACACAAATTCACAGTAAGAAATATCAGATCCACGATCATAGTTTGATGGGAAGTAGCATAAATTGACAGAGATTTTAAACTGTAGTTAATCTAACATTAAAATTAAATGAATAAATAACTAGTAGTTAACTTTTTATACATAAGTTGTTGGGATATTTTCATCATAATTTAACATACCTAATTGTCTTGAGTTAGTATTTATATACGTAATTATTTCTTTTAACGTAATACATTTTTTAATGAATACAACCATGACAAAGATACTAAGTAACTCTTAAAGATGTAATAAATAACATTCTATAAAGTTTAGAATATTTCATTTGAGACTATTTTCTGAAATTAAACTTATTTGAAATATTAAGTTTAATTTCATAGAGGCAACGCGATACAATTCTGTATTTTAAATTCATTCTAAATCACTCTTATTTTATTATACATTTTTGCATCTACGTATTTTTTATTATTAATTAGTCCTGGAGTCTCAGTTAAGGTGTAGAAGACTTCTACAAATGTCAATCATAGACTTTTAATAGCTTTCAATGTTGTTCTTTTTACCATATATTAGAAAATCCAAAGGTAGACGAACATTTCACATTGACCACAAGCTACTATTATAAGTCAAATTAAGTGTAAACGTCAGAGATCAGTAACTTAACAAGTATTATACGACTCAAAATTGTTAAGAATTAACAGAAAGTACAAAAAAAAAAACAGAATTAACCTTACTGTTTCATTTAAGATGAACTTCGCGACGATTGTTTAAACAAAATACAAGACATGTAGATGGCATTTATGCTTTTTTTTTTTGAAATTACCATAGTAGATAATAACTTCGGGATAATCGTATATAGTGTAGTACTCGTTTTAAGAGTTGGTCATTTACATGGCAGTGACAATTACGTCTTGACAGTACGAGATACTTAACTCATAATTATAAGTTGTCCAGTGTTGTTAGCATAGACAAGACCCTGTCCGGGCTGGGGCGCCCAGCGGATGCAATTAAGGCTGGTAAAGCTGTGTTCCCAGTTTTGTTCTAGTTCCTTTATCGGCGACAGGCCCGTTCTGCTCGAGTTTTCTAAAAAATAATCATATTGTATTTATTAATAATTGTTAAAAGTTATTGTGTATATATGAAAAATAGAATTATAAACAAGTGGTTAGTAATAAATTTAGCTCAGCACGCTCATATTTGAAAATATTGATACAGAAGTACTACAATTCATAGAAGAAAATATCAAACCATAAACTATTTCTTCACGGTCCGATTAATAATTCACGGGACAGTTAATAACTTCGACAACTTTAATGGTACAATGATTTAATACACTGCCTCGTCTTTCGACGACTGTCGGTTTGATTCTTGCACAATAAAAACATTTATAAGTATGTATATTTGTATTGGTGTGAATGTATTTATAACAAATTCGCTTTGCTTTTGACTTGGATCGCCTGGACTGGACTAGATGACGATATTATTATGTAAGAGTAGGTAATTTTGTTTTACTTGGTTGTTTTAATGTGAACTATATTTTAAAGGGATAGCATATTTAGTGAACGTTGGTTCAACTTTTTGCAAAATATTTATTTATTTTATTTACCAACTAAGGGAGCTTGAAAGCTTCCAAATACGCTCCCTTAGGAAATGATGATAGGATGCACTAGAAAAGTTACATACAAACAGTCGCAGACACATTATGTTTTGAGCCAACGAAGACGTACCGAGTGCAAATTTCCGTCGAGCTCTCGGACCGCCCGCGTTACCTAGTCTAGCTACGGCACGGACGTAATCGTAGTCACCTCTCGGGTCGAGCCTGTAGAGCAGCGCGAACACGTTGTTGCGCGAGTGCGGAGTGGTGGTGATGCGGCGCGAGCCGAGCCCCACCGCCAGGTGGCGCGCGGTGGGCGACAGCGCCACGGACACTGCGCTCTGCTCCAGCGCCGCCGTGTGCAGGCACTGCCCCAGCCGCGCCCACTCCAGCGAGTACACACCTGCCGCGCGTCACATTTTTATATGAAAGGACGATATGGCATGTACTGCTACATGAATGTACGGGATACAGAGGAATAACATCTGAGTCCTAAGGAATGGCAACGCGTGTATACTCTGTTATGTATATGGTACTGCACATGTTTACAGGCGACTGTTACACTTTCCATCAGGTGTCTAGTCTTTCCATCAGTTGCATAAAAGAGAAATAAACGAGCATGCGCTTCACCTGATGATAAGTAATTACCGCGCATCATAGACATCAACGACACCAGAGAATTATTATAATAATATATATTAGAATATCGTAATACAAAATTCTACGGTTCTTTACACAGTTAAAAGGGTTCAATGTTACCGAAACGTGATTGGAATGATTTGTTAATTTTTTAATAACAACCGTATTCATAATATAACTGTAAATGTTTTGTAAAGATATTTAGATGTTTGTTACTTAATCACTATTAAAACTGGTGAACAGGTTTGAACACGGTTAACGAGCGGTTATATCCTAACACATTATATGACTGAAGCGGGCAAACCCATGGGGAACACCTAACTAGCAAACTAAAACGTTAATTATAGAACATATTGCAAATAAATATATCACTAAAAGTTTTAACTTACTTTACATTTTGTATCGAAAGTTTTCAAATAATTTTGTGATGTAATATTAAAATCCAAAATTTCAATGACAGTTCATATCAACCTAATATATATTACTAGCTGACCCCGTAAACGTTGTTTTACCACTTATTGCGAAATATAAAAATCGCAATTAAAATACAGGGGTTGATCGTAAAACGATGAAAATTTAAAGTTGTATGTATTTTTCAATACTAAATTATAATAAAATAAAAATAAAAAAAATTGTCAAAAAAAATAAAAAAAAAATTTTGGGGTGGATCACCCTTATCATTGACGGGTATGAAAAATAGATGTTGGCCGATTCTCAGACCTACCCAATATGCACACAAAATTTCATAAATATCGGTAAAGCCGTTTCGGAGGAGTTTGGTAACAAACACTGTGACACGAGAATTTTATATATAAGACTTTGTTAGACAGGTGAACTGAAATAAATGTGTTTTAATCCAAATTTGCCTATTTTTGCGGAAGTCTCTTTTGACATCTTGGGGGCGAGTGAAGGAACAATTTCCTTATTTTTAATATGTATGCCTATATCTTGAATAGAAAATACTAGTTACCTTAAATTCTTTGCATACGTTAATCAGGATAAAAAGGATGCTTAAAGTTATTCAAGATATGGTACTAAATATTATCAAAACCGTAAGTCGTTAAACATAGTTAAAGGTAAATTCTTACCGAGCCATTGATTAGTATTCCTGAACCGGGGTAGCGGCAGCAAGGCTACCAATAGTCGGCCATCTTTGGATATGTCAATGCTGGCATCGTTATGAATCTTGCATCTCTGCACCACTACGTTTTTAGTACCTGATCATTATACATGACACCATTAACATGTTGATTATATTTTTTCCCATTTAATGCAAAATTTATACAATATTCTATATATATATATATATTTATAAACGCGGAAGTTATTATCTCCCGACCCAAGGTAATTTCTGGAAATTCTTAGTGTACCATAATTGAAGTCTATATTCAAAATTTCAAGTTTGTAACTGCAGTGGGTTAGACTAGGTCTTGATAAATTAATTAGGCTGCCAGAATAAGTTTTTATATGTACAGTGAGTGTAAAAAGTATTCGTACACCTAGGGTAATAATAAAAAAAATACGAATTTGATAGACTTTCCTCTATTTATTTAATTTAAATCAATACTGTTAAATAGTTTAACATTCCCGCACTTTGTTTATGATAATTATTGTTTTTTAAAAAAAAAATTATACAACATAAAAATATTTTTATGTTAACTAAGCAAATAATGACAAACAAAAAGTATTCGTACATTCATGCTTTTTTAAATGAAATTCTGTATAAATCATTTATTCAATCGAATTTTTCATATGCCTACAATGCCATTTTTAATATATTGCATACAAGTATAGACGTGTTTAGTTACAAAAATGGGTCGTAATAAAAATAATTATTAATTTGCATAATCAATGCAAATCATTATGTGAAATTGCAAAATTTGTCAATAGACCACGTTCAACCGTACAGACTGTAATTGATCGGTTTTCTATTACTAAAACACTAAAAAACAAACCCAGAGGTGGAACGTCCATCAAAAATCACGCCTCGATTGGATCGGAAAATTTTAAATTGTGTAAAAAAAATCCAAAAATTAGTGCCCCTCGAGTGTTACAAGAAATTAATAATATCAATGATTGCCATATTTCTGTCAGTACCGTTCGGAACATATTACGTAGTAACGATTATCATGGAAGAACTGCGCGTAAAAAGTATTGGGTAAATATATTAATAGAAAAAAAGATTAGAATTCGCATATATTAATAAAAAATCATTTTTGGCAAACTGTTATTTACTCAGATGAATCGAAATATAATATTTTCAAATCGGATGGGCATCATATGGTATGGAGAAAACCTAATATGGAATATAAGAAAGAAAATTTATATATATATATGGGGTTGCATGAGTGTTTTTGGGGTGGGAAAACTTGCATTTATTGATGGAATTAGGGATCACAAAGCGTATTATATTTTAAAAGAGAATCGTCTCTCTAGTGCAGCTCAAATGGGTTTTAACAATAATTGGATATTTTTACAAGATAATGACCCTAAACATAAAGCATGGAATACTAAAGCATGGATCCTGTTTAACGCTTTAAAATACCTAGAGATTCCTCCTCAATCACCTGATATTAATATTATAGAGCATGTGTGGGATTATCTCGATAATAAAATTCGAAATCGACCAATTTCGAGTAAAGAAACACTAAAAATTGCGCTTCGCGAAGAATGGGCATTAATTCTTCTTATATTTTCAAACTAGTTGATTCGATGCCGCAGAGACTCCAAGCTATCATCAATGCTAACGGTGGTCCAACAAAGTATTAATATTTTTTTAATATTCATTTACTTACAAATTTTATAAGTGTACGAATACTTTTTGTTTGTCATTATTTGCATAGTTAACGTAAAAATATTTTTATGTTGTATAATTTTTTTTATTAAAAAACAAAAATTATCATAAACAAAGTGCTTTAAAATATTTAATAGATTGATTTAAATTAGATAAATAAAAGAAAGTCTATGAAATTCGTATTTTTTTTATACAACCTTAGGTTTTTACACTCACTGTATATACATTATACAGATATACATTGCCAAGGGAGGTTAGAGTATGATTGGAATGGTAGTTTGTACTAACTGTCTGCGATATCGGGCGTAGAGCCGGTGGTGAAATCCCAGGCTTGCACGCGATGCGAGGGCGCGGGTTGGGCTTCGGAGATGATACCGGCGTCTAGCAGCCCTGCGATGCCACTCATGCGTCGCATTGCCCCCGCCCCTCCTCCGCCGCCACCTCCACCTCCGCCTCCGCCTCCGTTACCACCACCACCACCACCCCCGGACCATTGCTCTCACCTCCGTTGCCTTCTACATCCACTACCATTGCATTCTGTAATATGATTCATACAAATTGTTTATTACATCATTGGACTACAATTTAGGGTAGTGTGAGATCTTGTTTAAAAATTTTTACGATAATTATTTATTGTTAGGTAATAATGAGAAGTGACGTTTTTTATTTACTCATTCGAATTGAGTAGTTTGTTATCAAATGGGTGTAAAGTAACTAGTATATCATCTGTGGTACAAGTAACAATGTTAATTATTAAAAAATATTTCTTTACGACCCATCTGATGGAAAATGGATGGAATGGTTAACTAAAAATAGTTTTCAACCTGTACTATGCTACACAAGTATAAAGGATAAATTTGAAGTTATAATTAGATTTTGGCTAAGTTTTCACTTTAATAATATATGCCACGTAATTTGTATATATAAAACGCAATAATAATTACATTAATTTTTTTTTATATCTACGCCTTTTTATAGCAGGACTCGAGGTAGGCAGAAATAACTAAGTAAAAACGACTTCTTACCTTCCATACATCTCTTGATTCGTCTACTTTCATAATTCATTTATGCATATACGCCACCTCAGTTGACCTCGGTATACGGTCTATCTGATCATAGTCAGTCTAGGTCTTCCCTGGTACCTGCATCCATCCACTTGCACATTATATTTAGATATCGTCATCTTTACATCTGACATTCTTTCCACGTCTCTCAAGAATCGAAATACTCTTTCTCATTTTTACTTTGGCACATTTAACTCGCTGATGCACTTTTTTCTTAGGTGTGACATCCTGATATTGTAAATTCTTTGCAAGTTTTATATTTCAATCGAGTTAATTTTATTTTTATACTACTTTCTCTCATACGATTGAAATGATGTACCTAATTTATTTTGAATAACTAATTTCAACATACCTGAGCCAATATAATTGGTTGTAGATATTCGTGAATCCGTGGTAACCGCTGAGGCTGAGGGCTTCCTTGGCTTTCCGAGTTGGCCGACTGTTCATTAACATGCATCAGTGGCAAGGCAACGTTGTTCAGAACAGCGTGGAAATCATCAGGAGGCCGGCCAGCAGATTCACTACGCGGGGTTAGAATATGTGGCCGATATGCTGCAAAGGGACGACGATTGTCATGTTCCGATGTATTTTGGAGAGGAGACCGATTGCTTTGTTGATTGTCTGAATTGTTTGATGTCAGAGCGAACATTTCTCGTACTGATGATGGCGTGTATAGACGAATTGTTTGTAGACGCCTAAATCTATTTCGCGCTGCATTTCTAAAGTTAATCGCTTGCATGTGAGCAATGCGAATCAGATTGACTCTGTGTTCGAATTCATTCATTACTTCGCTGTTTCTAGGTCTTGCAGGATTTGGATTTTCTGGAGGAAAGGGCGCATTAGACGGACCAGCCACTGGTTCGTCGTTACTACTGGATATGGGTCTACGCCTGGGTGTCATTAAGGTTGTATCTTTCATTCTATTAGGTGAGCTAAGCAATGCTGGAATTTTGTAAGTCGATACTGGAGGAAGAGCCCTTTTTTTAATAAGCGGGTGAGCAGTTGGGTTTGTTCTATGTAAAGCTTTTAGCCGTCTACTTTCTAAATACAATTCGCGTCTGTTTCTAGCTGTTGCAGAATTATTTCTATTAGCTGCGGCAATTTGTACAGCAAGACGACTACTCCATCTCTGTGTAGTGTTATTTGAAGATGGCGGAATACCTTCTTGTATGATATTACTATCAATAGTCATTGAATGGGATATTGAAGGTTTATCTTGACTATCTTGCTTATGTTCATTAGATTGTATTTGTGATCGGTCTTCTTCTACTTCATTAGTGACGTGTGGAGATGCAGGATCATCAGGCCCATCTACATTGACAGGTCCAGTGTGGTCGACGTTTTGAATACGTACAATATTCAGAGAATCAACAGGTTGAGCTGATGGGGTTGGATTATTTCCCGACCTTCCGTTATTTCGATTTGTCATCAACATTAAGCATGTTAATGCTAAGGCTTTTTTTAATGTTCGTAACATATCTATAATGAGCTGACTAAGTCCCCGTTCTTCCAAACACATCATCATCATATTAAACATTACAGATAGCACTTGCATAGCTCGCATATGTATCTCATGTCTTGTTGCACTAATTTCAATAGCACGTGAGTAGTCCCTGCGGGATCTAGAATATCGGGCGGCTAATCGATTAGCAGTAGGATTTCTTGACCGTCTCCTAAGTTCATCTTCCGGTCTCCATCTATAACTAGATTGCAATCTTCTTCTCATAGATGGGGAAGATCGGAAGCTTGAGGATGTTCTAGCAGAAGGTGATCTACCCGATTGCGGATGTCTATTATCAGTGTGGGGTTCTGTCGATGTGTAAGGTTCATTGAGAGTATCGTTATTTGTTCTCGTATTATCAGTATTAACTGATTCATCACGAGATTCGTCAGTGTTTCTGTCATTACTTTCATTTCTTGGATTACTCCTTGAAGTTCTACTGGCATTAAGAGTAATGTTGTCTGACATCTCAGTTAACATCATACATCTTTCTAACAGTGACCGTGTATAATAACTCGGCGAATCTTGTCTACCTGTCTCTCTATGCAACATTATTACACGTCGACGCAAATTTTCCCACATTATACGCAACTCTCGCATTGTAGTACGATTACCACGCAGCCACATATTCGTCAGCTGTGAAGTGTGCTTCTGTAATGCTTTCACACCAGCTCTTACTTTTCTATATGCCTCATCAGGTGGTATGACATTACTTCTGGGCCAATTATTAGAATCTCTACTGGTGGAAGGACGATTTGGATTAAAATCGGAATTGTTTGTGAAGGGAGTCCCGGAGGAGTCGGTCTCGTTCCTATTGTTTGATGTCTCGTTTTCGTTCCTAATATTTGATGTTTCAGTCTCATTACTAATGTTTGGCGTTTCGGTCACATTTCTAATATTTGACGTCCCAGTTCCACCTCTCATGTCTGAGGTCTCGGTACTGGACCTCAAGTTAGAAGCATCAGCCCCGCTTCTCATGGTGGTTGGAGTCTCAGTACCATGCCTAATATTTATTGTTTCAGTGCCTAATCGACTATTTGATGTTTCATTTCTGGTTCTAATATTTGCGGTCTCCATTTCACCTCTATTATTAGACGTACTCGGACCCTCTCCAGAAGAATCATTTTGTGTCCTAACCCGAAACCTGCACCTCGATACCGATACATTGAAACCACCAGCATCATGGGACGTTTCTTCTTCGGGCAAATCATTATTCAACTCGAACACCATGCGATCCGTAGCCGCTGGTCTGTTATCAGAAGAATGTATGGTATCGGTTGTAGAGGACCCGTCCATACCCCTGGGACCATCCTCCCTAAATGAAGAGTTTCTAGTTCTGAAAATATTGACTTCGAGGGATCGATCACTATCTGAGTCAGAACTCGAGGAAAGAAAGTCGCGACGAAGCGAAGAGCTAAAGAGGCGAAGGCGTGGGCGGGCAGTGTCGCCGTCGTCTGACTGAGCTCGCGCTGCGCCTCGCCTTGGCATGCTGCGTTCCACGCTCTCCAGTGTCGTTAGTGACATGTTTGTGATCAAGTTCAAAAGCCTAGTTCCCGAGTCCCTTAGAATATCACGGATCAAATCTAGACTCTCATTTATGCTTTGAGCGTCGACGGGTGTCGAAATGGGGCTCATTTGGGTGGACGTGGACGTCATAATAGGCCGCGGTGAACTTGTAGCGGAAGATGCGCGGCCTGTGGACGTCGATGGTAATTGGTCAGGGAAGCCCGTTGCATTGCTACTTCGAGCCGGCACACGGGTAGCCTGTGACGGTGACGAATTTCGACGACGTCGGGCGAAATCTCGTGCAAAACTAGAGCGGTCACAGTCATGTCTAGACGACGTGAATATGCTAGTTCGTGATGTGTTCCCGATGTTTCTGTACAACATGTTCAGACCATCAGCCATATTCCTGTTAGGTCGAGGCGAATTATTAGAAGACGAAAATGGATTAAGTAGTAGCCTAGTTGAGTTGAGTTCATTTGAAACGTTTGATCGGAAAGTTCTCCGCGTGTCGCCAAGAGGTTGAAATGCCGAGGAACGGGATCCGAAAGTGGAATGTTCTTGATTCGGTGACAAATGTTGGTTTCTGGAAACCAGATATAAAATTAAATATTTATTCATTATATTTAAAATATATAGATATTTCATCAGTCAATAATAATACCTCATAGGGTTACTGTTAATAGATAATACATCGAAATTGAGTAAACGACTACTACTGCCTTCTCCACTACTGTCTTCATTGTCTTGATGATGAGGTCTTGCAGGGATAGGATGTAGTGTGGAACCTATAGATGAATATTTTATCATTTTATATCAATTTAAATTTAATAAGAGGCACTTCCTATTAAAATGGCAAATTTGCGACTATTAATTTGTGGGCGTTTTCATTACTTAACAGATTATTTTAAAACATATTTTTAGTGACGCTAAAAATCTATGCATAATATATACTAAATCGAAGAAAGCATTACATTTCTAGTAGTAATTGGAGAACAATAATACAAAAATTTATTAGTATATAATTTTATGTAAATTATGAAAAATAATAATATATATAAAACTGTAAGACTAGAAGTGATAATGATAGTGCTATTTGCAATTCAAAAAAGTATTATAAGATCAGAACTAAGTTACCATCGTTATATGCTGAGGTAGATGGACGAGTAGATCGCGTCCAGCTCGACATCCCAGCCGACGTATCAGTTTCCATAGGATCTGTTCCTCTATCCATCTGAAAAAAAAGTATAATAATAATCAGTACCAGTCATACATATCAAGTGCTTATTTTTGTACAAACTACTTCTGTATAATTAAGAAATCCGAGGATAATCAGGACAATTTAGAAAGTTAATATCTACAATTAGCCTAACAATCAAGGGCTCTCACTGCCCTAATTGCTCTATTAATGTTATCTAATATTAAAAATAATATGCTTAAAACTGTAATATCCGATAGGGTAGGCACAGACATTTTTTTTAATGGGTGAAAATGGAATGGTAACTCAGCCGTCGCCATCGGCATACGCTGGCGAGTGACCCATGAGATAGATGAGGACAAATAGTAAGTCAGTTATCCCATAGTGATGAACTTTATAAGAATTAACCACGAAGATTTGTTCACGATTTTCTGTTCATCCCAAAGGTAGACTGGTAGAGAATGCTACTAGCTATATATAACTTAAGTCCGCTTTTTGTACCTTATTTTATTTTGGTCAATAAAGTTATTTAAATAAAATAAATGGTTTCTAGGAGGAACCGCATTGAAGTCGACTTGATGTGAGTGTAATGCTAGCAATTGGGCCGTTAGACCCCGTTACTAACAATCCCTTTCCCGCAAGTCAGAGGCATTAGTCAATTAATTACATTATGGTAAACATAATCGAGACATTCAATATTTCATATGACCAGTTGTTGTATCAGCCGTTAACTGTACACTGCTGAATACAGCCTACCCCATAAGGAGGGTTTTGCCAATAGTTGTAACGCTTGGCAGGCGGATTGGCAACCGCAGTTTGGCTTTCGGTGATGTTTTAAAGGGACGCTGCTGCCTATCCCTCTACTACAAGCTCCCTTAGACGCATCTTACGGGAAAGCAAGGAGCGGCCTATTTTATGCCGGGACGGTACATGGCGTAATGACCACAGTACAACGTAATAACAGATTAAGTCAATATTTCATAAGTACGATATACCAGGGAACACTGAATAAATGTCTGTTATCTTCGAAAAACAATAATACGAGTAAATATGCGATACTGCAATTTGAGCTGAATAGAAATGATTGATATGGAAACTAGCTATGAATATGGTTAAAACGATATTCTAGTGGTGGCTTGAAGATCTTGATCACTTTTTTACTGGACTCTTAGGTTTGTCAAACAATTAATGCACCAGAGATTTCAATAATCAAAATAATGCAACATGTTGTGGTTCACTCATTGAAACTTAGCTAATAAAAATTATCTATTATACTTCGCGCTTCGTCCTCGAGATTATTATTTATAGAATATAAACAACATGTAGTAACGCACAAGTGACACCGCCCCTGCACTATTGTTGAGAGAGGGATTCCCCCTTTTTCCTTTTTCTTTTTATTCCCCGGTAGGTACATAGTCTACTTAGCCCGTTCATTTCATTTCCTGTTCATTCGCAATTTAGTGCTTCACCGCTCCGCACATAATACATCGCGTTGTCGTGTTAATAAAAAAAAAAAAAAAAACAGATGCCAAAAAAGGAATAGTAGTGATCTCAACGACCCAACATTCAACATTACATAGTGTCGTTGTAGACCAGGTATTTATTTACAAAACTATATCTATACACAAAAGTAATTTTTGTCTCCAGAAGAATGCAATCGAGATAGTCATTTGGGCTATATCACCGCATTCAAACGAAATGACGTGCAATTCAGCGGGAATTGTACACAACAGCCGTTTTCGATAACTTTCGTTATCACATTTTCAAGTAACACCCATAAAAGGATATAATAAATATAAATATAGAATTTCATTTTTAATAAAATATTTTTAAATAATTACAATAAATTATTGGCAATATATATATATAAAAGAGAAGTCGTTACTTTTGATTTCAGTTATAGAGAATATTTGATTATAGGGGTGTATTGTATAAACAATAATACTTATTGGAGACAATAAATATTAGGTTTTAACGTATCCACGTTAACAATGTTAGTATGTACCCAGAGCCGTTATCAGGACGAACTCGACACATACTATACTTTTTTATACAATTGCATAAATTTATGCATATACACATCATATATTTATATATTATATGATGCATATGTCAGAGACGCCTTAATTAATAGCGGAATCAGTAGACTGGTTAATAGATCCTCCTGAGGAAGAGATACTAGAACCAGAGACTGTAAACCTTCCATCAGACGATGTAGATGTGATTCACAATGCGTTAACGTATCCAGACGGTAGGGAGTCTGTAGTAAAAAATAATCCGATTACGGATCAAGACGCTGGTCAAAACTGTCCAGGCCCGTCAAATGTGGAGCCTCAGTAGCTAGATACTGAGACTTTAGAAATTCTTGGAGTCGATCCAACGTCTATTAATAATTATGGCAGCGATGTCCATAAAGAATTGCCATTGCGATTTTAACACATCGCCCAAGAAGGAATTAGTAAAGAGCCTAAAAAATAATTAGTAAATAAATACCCACTACCAGCTAACTGCTTACTTGTAGGCTCCCACAATAAATCCCGAGATAAAAAGCAGAGCTAGCTACTACGCGTGATAAAGGTATTGAGATAAAAAAGAAACCAATGGCTTCAGCCATATCTTGTTTAGGTCAAGCTATTTCAACATAGCTTAATTGTAATCAAAAAGATAAAGAACTTTTACAAAAACTTATGGATCTCAGCCGTCTAATGTGTGACATACAGCATAGCGACTCCATGACTAGACGACACTTCATTCTAAGTGCTTTAAAGAAGGATATGAAGGAATATCTTACAAACACAAAAGTTGATACCTTCTTATTTGGCTATAAATTGGCTGAAACAATAAAATCGGCCGAAGCTGTTAACAAATCAGACGTAGACCTAAAGGCGGTTTCTGATGGTACCAAAAACCTGCCAAGAAGAACCGACATTCTTCCTTCAAGGCCTTTAAACCGGAGAGCTCCAGCACCAGCACGCAAGCAGCCGGGCATGGGAGCGAGATTCCGTCAGCCTGCCGCAGCACGACCCTTGATTCTCCCAACGCAGCCGCCTGGGCACATAGCGACGTCGTGGGTTCCACCACCACCACCGCCGCCGCCGTCGCCGCCTCCTCCGACACAACATCCACGTCGTCGTTACTACGTACGTCGTTACTAGATACGTATATTACAGTTAAGTATGCAGGTCGTTTAACACACTTTTATGATCAATGGTCTATTATCACAAATGTTCACTTGATCCTTTCATGGATTAGGGGTTACAAAATAATTTTCTCGTCACCTGTTTATCAAGAATCATACAGATATACCTACAGATTCAGAAAAGTATCAATATATTGATGCAATTAATAATCTTCTACAAATTGACGCTGTTTCAGAGTGTATACCTTATAAGGGCAGATTATGTCTAATATTTTTAATATAATACAAAAACTTAATGGCAAAATGAGGCTCGTATTGAATCTCAAGAGATTAAATAAATTTATCCAGACGGATCATATACGAATAATATTTATTTACGAAGAATTAGAAGATTTACGAACTGCATTAAAATTAATATCAAAAGATTGCTATATGGCAACATTAGACCTTAAAGACGCTTATTTTTTAATAAACATTCATAATGAATCTAAAAAATATATCCGATTTATTTTTGACAATAAATTATATCAATTTAATGTTTTGCCATTTAGTATACCGCACCTTACATTTTTATTAAATTAATGAAGCCGATTACTAGACTTTTAAAAACTGGCGATTTTTTATTTACCTTATACTTAGATAATTGGTTTTTATTGGGTAATTCTTATCAACAATGCTTGACAAATATTGAGATGACTTCCAAACTACTATCTTCCTCAGGTTTTACAATTAATCAGGAAAAAGTAACCTTGAGCCTTCATTATCTTGTAAATTTATGGGAATAGTTGTAGACTCACACAGTTACAATTAAGCTTACCATTCGAAAATAGATTACGAATTCGATCTCAATCAGAAAGTTTTTGTCAATATGAACGTATTTTAATCAGGGAATTTGCTCAACTGGTAGCTTTACTTGTGTCGGCTTGTCCAGCCATTGAGTATGGATGATTTTGCACTAAAGAGTTGGAGCGTTCAAAATTTCTTAATCTAAAAAATCATAACGATTATGATAAGTATAGAGGAATATACCTAGTTCCGTATATTCTGACTTTCAATGGTGATTAAATAATATAGATAGCTCTGTGTATCATCGTATCAGAGATGATACGTATGCCATAAATTTACTCTGACGCCTCAACTACGGGGTGGAGGGCTAATTATGGTAATAGTATTGCTAGTCAGATGATGAACTAAAGCATCATATAAATTATCTGGATGCTGCGTTTTCTGGCCTTAAAAGTTTTTGCCAGAGATTCACATAATTGCCAAATACTGTCAAATAATACAAATAGACAATACTACTGTAATATCTTACATTAATCGTATGGATGGCATTCAATTTCCTCATCTTACTCAAATAAGTAGAGAGATTTGGCAATGGTGTGAGAACAGAAGGCTCTTTATATTCGCTTCCTATATTAAGTCTACAGATGCTGAATCACGCAAATCCATCCAGATATAGAATGGGAACTGGCTGATTGGGCCTTTCACCATTTGACAAAAAAAAAAAATCTATGTACCAGAGGTTTATTGAATTACAAATCGCATAAACAAAAAATGTGAAATTATGGCACATGGCATAGGGATCCGGACGTAATTGCTATTAATTCATTCACAATCAATTGAGCAAAAGTTTTACTTTTATGCCTTTCCATCATTTGCAGTGATTCTTAAGACGCTTAGAAAGATCATTTCTGATAAAGCTTGCGGTATAATTATTGTTCCTCTATGGCCTACACAACCGTGGTACCCACTATTCAGAAACCTCCTTGTCTCTGAATTAATAACTTTTTATCCTGCGGATAATGTTTTATTATTTAGTTCCAGTTATCAACGTGTAGGCTCAACGCTTACCTTGGTTACAGGAGTGTTATCAGGAAAGCATTATCCAGGAGAATTTTTCCACCAGCCTCTTTAGATATAATGTTAGCATCATTCTCTGATAGCTCAATTAGACAATATGATACTTGTTTAAAAAAGTGGTGGAATTTTTGTAAAAACCATTCAGTTTATTTTTATAAAGCTTCGATTCCTATCATAATTTCTTTTCTTACTCAGATATTCCATGACGGTTATCAATATGGAACATTAAATTCAATAAAGTTCGGCGTTATCCTTGCTTTTAGGTCCTATTTTATCAAAAGATGATAGTATAGAAAGATTTTTCAATGGAGTATATCGATTGAGACCTCCTCTTCCGAAGTATAACGCTACATGAGATACCAATGCTGTTTTAGATCATTTAAGCACATTGTGGCCTAATGAAGAATTATCATTAGATAAATTAACAAAGAGAACCATTACCTTAATAGCAATAACGATAGCTCATAGAATACAAACTCTATCCAAAATTGATATAAAAAATATAGAATTTTTCAATGACCATATAGTATAATTAATAATATAATTAAAATTCCTGACTTCCTTAAAACGTCACGAAGAGGTTCTAAGCAACCGATTATTGTTCTACCTTTCTTCTTAGAAAACTCTGCTATCTGTCCAGCAAAAACTTCAGATTGTCATTTAAATAGAACAATTCTTCTAAGGAATTCTGATAATCTTTTTAGTGGTGTCTGTCGACCTCACAAAGCGGTAGACAAACTATTAGCCGATGGGTGAAACTGACATTAGACGAATGTAGACTGAACGTACATATTTGTACTCTCTGCGCACAGCACGCGAACGCTCTCTAGGTGTCAGTGTAGATACAATACTTAAATGGAGCTGCTGCGGCTGGAATGCCAACTCCACTGCTTTCGCCAAATTTTACAGTAGGCCTATGATTAATACAGATAATTCGTCCTTTGCTAAGCCGATAATTAATAATAATCAAAAATAATTTTGTTTATCGAATTGTGTGATGATTAAAAAAGATTATGTACTATTATAGATTAATAGTAGAATAACATAATGTCGATTAATTTTTAGTTCTATTTGTTCACTTTGTAATCCAATAAAACATACAATCATAAAAGAAGTGTTTTCATTGATAATATTTTTTGGTTGGAACTCTCAAAGTCTACATGTTGTTTATATTCTATAAATAATAATCTCGAGGACGAAGCGCGAAGTATAATTAGTGATTAAACGAACTTACCCAAGTGAAGTTTTATCACAATTATACAAACATACTACCCAGTTTAATTATACCCATCAGAACTGTACCAAAAAATATTTCAATGGTCAAACATAAGTTTTAAATAATTTTTAACTCTGAACTTAATGAACAGGAAATGAAATGAACAAGACTGTGTACCTACCGGGGAATAAAAAGAAAAAGGAAAAAGGGGGAATCCCTCTCTCAACAATAGTGCAGGGGCGGTGTCACTTGTGCGTTACTACATGTTGTTTATATTCTATAAATAATAATCTCTTCGGACGAAGCGCTTCGTATAATTGTGATAAAACTTCACTTGGGTAAGTTCGTTTAATCACTAATTGCGGTGTATGCGTATAGTCATTAATACGATTTTTTTTTCAATGTCAGTATTATTAATGTGTTGACTAATCATATTATGAAACAGGTAAAAAATGTACATACCGTGTTTGGCGGGGGCGGGGTGCTTGTATTTACAAGTCTGTGTCGAACTCTGAATAATCGTTGGTAATTCCTAACAAGACTATCGTATCTCTGTACCAGGTTTTGGTATGAATTCACTATCATGTCCTGAGCTGATCCTGGGTTATCCTGTTCTCTAGATTCATTTGGATTATCATCAGGGTCATCTCTTCTATTGCTATTACTATTGGAAGCAGAACCCGGTGTTTGATTCTGCTGAACGAACAAGTTACCAAGTCCCCCCGAGTTTACCCATAAGGATATTCCAGTTATTAATTTATAACCTAGAGCATCAAACGCTACATATCTGCAATTCAAAGAAACGATTATAAACGTCATCAAACATACAAACGTGTAAAATCAAAACAAAAATTTGTCCTATAGTAATGTGCTCCGTGGTACATACCTAACTTTTTCATTTATGTTATTAGTGGAAACTTTAGTAAATGGCGCAGGTTGACTCCAGTCCCAGAAATATAGTTCATTATGCGTCGCAATCACTAGCAATTGGTCACGAGGATGAAATGCAATAGATGCTATTACTGTCTCGTTTCGCACGTTCCATACTTCACTTCCACCCTAAATACAAAAAATAAATAATTACCACACAAAAACATTTTGAAATTATATGTCGTAAAAACCCGACTATAAAATTAAAATGATTGTTCTATTTTTTTTATAGCATGTTTTTTTTATTTAGACCTATATCTTCCACAGTGACAGATCAGTTCATATCAGTACAAGAAATGATATAAAGAACTAGAGAGTAAATATAAAGATAAATTCGTATTTTATATTGAGCTTTTATACGCAAAATTTCGATACTTTGGATATTGGTAATGTACAGTAGAGATCTGTATTTGGAATTGATCTGTAAATGTTTTGAAAATAATATATAGCCACCATATGAATATAATTTGTAAAATCGGTTCAGACGTTTTTGAGTTCATTCATTACAAACAAACAATCAAATCTTTCGTTTTAATAATATCAGTATAGATATAAATTTAGCCAACCATCATTATGGGGATATATATAAAATTATGCGAAAAATATTACTCAGCAGGAGTTTGATATAAATAGTGTTATTAAATTTATGGTACTTTTTAAATTTAGCACAAAAAATAGTATACCATAACAAATTTTATGATTCAGTATATGACGTACTCACACTGGCAATATCCCACACCCGCACCTGACCGCCTAAGCAGCCAGAGCCAATTAATTGAGGATGGGATGGGTGGAAAGCGATGCACCAAGGCGTCCGTGGGTGGCCCTTTAGTATGCGAACATGTTTACCACTCGCCAGTTCAGATACATAAACATTATGGTTACCATGAGTTGATGCAACTTTGGTCCTGAAAATGAAACAATAATTACTTGTCAATAATGGCACAATCTTCTCGCAAGTCGCTTATGAAACAGTCAGATTTACCAAAGACTTCTAATTTTACATGCATCTCATCTCTGTTTCATGCGATTTATAAACTTATGATGCACACTAGGTTGGGAGAGTCCCCACTCCTTCCTCTAGTAACTAGTAGAATATGATTTATTTGTTTTTGATCATAATAGGTTAATAGATATAAAATAGTTCTTCTCTTAACTTTACACTTTATTGTAAAAAAATACTAAGGAATTTTATATTCATATTTTACTTACCCATCAGGGCTAAACACCATCAAGAATGTAGACCTCGGGTAACCAGGTAAATCGCATGACTGTAATACAAAAATTGCATATTTATAAGTATCATAATTGCTAAACTAACAATGCCTGAATTGTATTATTTTAATATACATAATTTGAAAAATAAAAACAAGTTTATTACATCCCCATTTAAAAATCTTAAACTTCTAAATGGAAAATTAAGATTTTGATATATACAATTAATTAATTCAATTAATAAGAAAGTAAGTTAAAAGATGATTTTGTCCAATTTTTTTCAGTCAGTCTCAGAAATAAAATTTTTAATGTTGTGGGGAATCAATAAATTCCACCTATCATTATGAAATAGAATTGTTATACTAGTCAATGAAGTAACTTTTTAAAGACAGGTAAAATGGTATTTTTATATATTATTTATTGAATAAATCCAGTATAACATATGATGATAATTAATGTGAAATTGTATTATGCAATATAAATATTTGGCATTGAAGATTAATAAATGCTATACAGTATAGAGATATTAAAAATTGTATTAATTTCACTAAAAATAAACATAAATCCCAAGTTTGTGATCTTACTCTTATCTTAAGAGGTTTCTGAACAAGAATATCTTCAGCTATATTTTCTAGCACTGTCTTATTGGCAAGGCAGTGTGGAGGGTTAATGCCTTGTTCTCTCCAATGACAGCTACGAACAATATTGACGATATTCCGTGTTTCATCAACTGCTTCATTCTTGTATCCAAGCCAGTCATTGTCACTAATTGGGTCCATTTTCCTATATTATAAATTATATTTAATAAAATTTTATACTTTCAACAGTCTTTATTACTGAAAAATATGAGGTAGACTATAAATAACAACACAACCAAGAATGGTTGTGTTGTTGTTATTTATCCAGACCTGAGCCTAATTCAGAAATGCATGTTTTCTAAATTTACCTAAAATCAATGAGGAATTAAACCAAGAGTTTCTTTTTACAAAGTCTGGAAAATGGAGTGACAACCTTAAATGCATTGCAGGGAGTTGGTGGAACCAGGTAGCTCAGGATTATTTCTTATAGTAGTCTATGGGAGAGGCCAATATATATTTGAAAAACATTAGCACATATTCAACTATATTTTTATTGCCTGGTTTTTGGAATTTAAATATATTAATACTTATATGAATATCATCAACCTTTATGTAGGTCATCAACCTTTATTAATTTGAATTTGGCGCACATTTGCAGTTGAATAAAATGTCAAAACAACATATGTCATTTGGAGATTAGATTAAACATAAAAGATTTACTTGTAATTATTATATCTTAAATGATTTTTAATTTGTAAAATAATAGTGTGAAATGCTGTTTCTCTTTTCAGGTGTTTTTTAAAAATTGTTATACAGTATGTATAACAATTGTTTGCTAAGAACAATTGTTTTAATAAATGTAATCTCTTTTCAGACAACAATCTGTATTTAGGATAATGTCATATTTTAAAATTTATGAAAAGCAAATTAATTGATGAAAACAATATTGGAAACAATGCATTTATATATGTTGCCAGACACTACCTGATGTAAAATAGCAATTATTATCTACAGACATGAACAGCATCATTGACATCACTGAGAACACACTATGATGCCAATAGTACCTCTCATGCTCTGCTTTTCTTTATGTTACAGTTATCAAAATATTGTAATAAATATATTATACTATGTTTAACAATTTTAATATTTGTTAATTAATAAGGCACATTCAATAAATATTACACTATTTCTTTTCCATCCCCACCCTCAAAAAAGTTTAGATTATTTATATATATATATATATTTATGTTCTTACCTTGCTTATTAGGTGATTGTTGTATTAGATATTGTATAATAAATCTGCAAAAATATTTGTGTTTATTATCTGTACAGTTGTTGCTTATATAATAAGCTATTTTGAAATCTTGTTATGAAATTTCACTATTACTATAGAGTATTATACAATATATCATGTGTAGTTTCTTATAACTAGCTAGATGCCGCCTTTGCACTTAGGTATTTATTCAGATTATTGGAGTGAGCCATATTGTATTGAAAATGTCAACAGGTTACTTAGTAACTATGATAAATAATTAAACTTCTGAATTTGTATTTTATTCATTAATAATTTAGATAATCAAGTTACGAAGTACAACATTTATACACTTTTATTAGGTACTCAATTGTTAGTTAACGATAGATGATGCTTGAAAACAATATTTACCCCGTACATATTGCAAAAAGCAACACCACTCACTAATATTTTGCGATAATTTTAGGAGCTATTTCACTTAATATTACTCCAACCTAAACAATAAATACGCATTTACAAATTCTACGACTAAAAAGCCACAATCCACAACAGAAACAATCTAAAAATCCAACAGCGCACAGCTGCGAATTGTCAACTGTCAGTCAACTTGTCAAATAACATATGAAGGAACAGATAAAAAATATAGTCTAGGATGCACACGCTTGCCATCGAAACGACTTGAAGTCTCGATGCGTTGGATACGATATTTTTTTTATGGGTGATAATGAAATAGTAACCCCACCCGCGCTGTCGATATACACCGGCGGGGCACCAATGAAAGGATGATAGATGAGGATGAAGCAGGCTAGTTAGCTCATCGTGACGAATTCAACAAGAATTGTTCACAATGGTTTCCAGGGGGACCACGTGGAAGTCGAACTGATATATATAATATATATGATATATAGAAGAAAAGAGCATATTTCTTTTTAAAAGGCCGGCAGCACACCTGCAATGCCGTAGGTGTTGTGGGTGATCATGGGCGGCGGTAGTCATTTACCATCAGGTGAGCCGCATGCCCGTTTGCCCCCTGTGTTGTAAAAAAAAAATATATATATTGCTAGCAATGGGGCTATCAAACTCCATTGCTAACAATCCCTTTCCCCTCTGGATACGATATTTGGCGTATCTTGGTAAGCTTGTAATCTCCATAATTTATAATAATAAGATAGGCGTTTATACAAATGTTTGTGGACATGGGACCTGCAATGCAACGTGCAAACGTGTAAATCCAACTTTATAAGTTAATTAAATGAGGGTGAAATCGAAATTCGTCCACGTGACCGGCATATACTCATTGACCGGGATAAAAGTAGTTTCCTCCTTCTCCATCTCATATAGTATGTATAACCAAACAAATTACATACTTTCATTTTTATAATACATATAAATATATAGGTACCTAATAATTAACTAAAGTTTATTACATAATAAATAAAGTATATTTTAATAAATTATATATACAAGTGAAGTGAAATTAAGGCGGGAAGTGAAAATTTCTAGAAAAGAACATATTTCTTTATAAAAGACGAATTTTATTTTTCCGAAATTTCGGAATTACATTTCATGGTAGACCCGCTGGTGTTCATTGAGTTATTGTCACACCAGCGAATTCTGCAGATGAAGTCAAGACAGTTAGACGAAGCGATTTCATTAGAAATTAACCACGATGAATTCCCGGGGAGAATATGTGGAGGTCGACCTGATAAGGTCACACGGTAGTCACTTGCCATCAGGCTAGCCGTATGCTAGGATGTTGTCTGTGTTAAAAGAAAAAAGCAGAAAAGTTGTGGCATTTGTCTTTTCTGTTGGTGCTCTACATAACCACTACACTCGCTTATTCTATGCATAATATTTAACTATCTAATTAATCATTGTTTAGGCATTAGTCAGTAAGGTTACTCTTGAAATAAATTCTAATTGATCGTTATTGGAATTAAGACGTTTCGCACTCTCAAATATTAGCGTCATAATGGTTCCATGTTGTTCTTATAGATGCATTATAGTGTCACTTGTTAATGCAAACTTACAAACAGATACTGATTTCAACTTAATTTTTGATTATTATTTCATGGTTGCATTGCAAAATTGTCATTGGAATTAGATTGGATTGATTTCGATATTAGATTAGAGTAGGCCTGCTGCTCCTCAAATATAAATCTGATATACCAATTTATGTAAGTAGAACCATGTAAACATGACAAAAAAATGATATAAAATTGATATAAAAATTTTTAAGTGATATAGATTAGGGGGAAAGGGATTGTTAGTAATGGAGACTGTGAATCCCATTGCTAGCAATATACCCAACCAGGTCGACCTCCTCGTGGTTCTCCCTGGAAACTATCATGGTTAAATCATGATGAATTCATCATGATGGGCTAACTGGCCTGTTTTCATTCTCATCTATCACCCTTCACTGGTGCTTCGGCAGCGTATCCCGTTAGTGCAGGCGGGGTTACCGTACCATTTTCACCCATCAAAAAAAAAATTTGTTTAGAACTGCCCTACATACCTACTTTAAATTTAGTAGTTTGTATGATAATATTTTTGCTTAACAAATTAAATTCTTTAAATTTATGTTATTAATGTACTTACCATTTGTTTAAAACTTCAATTGATATTTCGTATAGTATTAAGGTCTAATTTATCGAGTTCATTGAATCTTCTTAAAATACGCAACATAGGGGTCGGGCCCCAAGTTTGAGGAACGACAGTTTATGTAATAATACTTCAGGATCGATCGTGGTAAAGATAATACCCATAGTTCATATTCTGGTATAGGTCTCTTCATTTTGAGAGCGATTACCTAAATAATATTTGAGACTGTAAGTATATATTTATTAAAAATAATAAATATTATAACATATTGTTATTACGTAATGGAATACAAAATCGGCTTGATGTTTGTTTGAGCAGTAATACTGAACAAGGATAAATGGACTCTAGAGATCGTTTTGTTTATTTTCGATGCACTTAAACATTAAAGTTTTCAGTTTTCCAGGATTGTAGGTAGGTAAATACTAAATTTATTATACTACTGTAGATTATACTTTATTTTTGATAGAATAATCATCCAGCTTCCGGGCATAGAATGAGCCAATCCGTCTTTTTCTGTGGGTGCTGTAAGAGGCGACTAAGGTATCTTAATAGTCGAGGGATGGGCAGCAGCATCGCTCTTAAAACATCATCAAAGCCTAGGAAAGCAATGCCCTATTTAGCAATGGGGAGTTAACGGCTGATATAAATCATATACTTAATTGTTAAACAAGTTTTGTTTATATTTTTGTAAATAACTTTATAAATATACCCGTATTATTTATTATTAGCAACCTGTCACAGCTCGTTCGTGTTAAACAGTTAGCTCCGTTTCGGTGGAATGTTTCTATTATTATCCTGTAGCGAGCATTTGATATCCCAGAATAAAAATAATGTTAATAAATAATTATGTTGACCTAATATGTATGTATATATACTTAACCGTTGTAAATTTCAATAGGTGTAAATTAAGGCACAGTTAATATAATAGGTACTATTATAAAGTATTTTATTATGACTTCTTTTTTCTTTAATGGGTGAAGATGGAATAGTAGCCCCGCCTGTACTATCGATATACACTGGCGGGGTACCAGTGAAGGGTGACAAGTTAAGACGAAGGCAGGTCAGTTGGCCTATAATAACTAATTGAACAAGAAATAACCACTATGGTTTCCTTTGGGAACCGCGTGGAGGTCGACCGGATAGGGTCTATTGCTAGCAGTAGCTATTAAATCTCATCACTAACAATCCCTTTTCCCCCTTTCACTATGACTTGCTACGGATGTGGATACGAAGAAACTACTTTTAAGTTAAAGAAATTTATTTTTATGTACATGTTATGTATAAGGTACAGATACAGGTGAAATTGAACTCATATTCGTTTGAAGGGAGTGTTCTATTAGCGAAACTGAACAGTTTCATAAAACAAACGTGAATCGGAAAACGGTAAAAAGTTTTGATGTCCCATACTAATATGCCGCGTTCAGCTGTAAGCATAATTTTTTGACATTTCTGTTTTTTTTTTTTATTTAGAAAATTGTTGTTCTAAAGTGTTTTACAGCATGATTAAATATTTTTTATGCGTGATAATGATATGATAACCCCTCTTGCGCTGTCAGTATACGATGGCGGAGCACCAATGAGGGATGATAGGTGACGATGAAAGCAGGTCATTTAGTCCATCTTGACGAATTCCACTACAATGAAGGAACCGCATACCAGGTAGGGTATATATATATATATATATACAATTATATATGCCATATTATAATCATATATTCTACTGAAACTGAAAATAAAATTTTGGATAATAAAGAAGTATAAAATATCAACTCAACTATCATTTAGGTAATACACATTTTAAATATTTGTTTTAATTCTATGAACGTATAAGTACTATAGGTACACGTATTATTTCAGTTGCTTTATATCTGAAACTACCTCTTGGATATTATGTTGCTACTACAGTAGCATAAACTTGATTTACGAACGAACATGGAGGTCCTTGTTGCACCCACAAAATTAGAGATTATGAGATATGTCTTCCCCTGGTAGTAGGCAGGTCGGCAACGTGTCACCTGGGTCAAATTGCGTACTAAATCCTGCTTATTGCGTAGACACTTATATAGAGTAGGTACACATTTAGGGCGCAGTCGATGGTTCTGAAATAGTTTATAAATACTACCTCTCACCATTAAGAGTTCTAAATTAATAAAAATATAATAGTTATAAAGATCTGACAGCTTAACTGATAGTGATAACTGTCGCTTATAGGGAAAGTGATTGCTAGTAATGGGGTCAAAAGTCTCATTGCTAGCAATTACCTTATCAGGTCTACATCTGCGCGGTTTCCCCTAGAAACCATCCTGGTTAATTTATAAGGAATTCGTCACGATGGCCTAACAGACCTGCTTTCATCCTCACCTATCACCCTTCACTGGTGTCCCACCAGTGTATACTGACAGCGTGGGCGGGGTTGCCATTCCATTATCATTAAGAAAAACTTTCTCTTATAGAATAAATAGCACCATGGATGTTATAGATTACATTAGGACGCCCAAGGTATTCATCATGCGTTTCCATTTTAGAGGCCTATGATACCTCTATGATATTATGCCTCTATACTTTGTAATTGATCTACTATATTGCACCGTTTAAACCGAAACAACAAGGCAAGCATTGGCTTGGTATACAAATAAATCAAATTCTATATTAATACTTATACAGTTTATAAAGCGGTTAATTTGTTAGAACACGATGACGAAATACTATTTCTTGATTCCTACAGAAAGTACATATATATTTACATACATTATGTGCAGGTAAACGGAATCATAACGAGATTTTTCACAAAATTTGATTCTCGACAATTTTGCGCACGGAATGGATTATTTTCCGGAGGAGACGTGATGCGTTAGCATGATTTAATATCTGCCCCACAATCATTTTAATATTTCACGTGAAATTTACGAGTTCACGTAAAGCATTATGGTCATCAAATACACATAGG